GTACGTTGTGGCTTCCTTCTTCCTTCTCTTCCCTGTCCCCTGTGCTTACAGGGCCTATAGGAGTTCACCATCCACTTTCCCCTTCTGGAATTGAACCTCAGCTCGGGCAAGTCCGTTATCTACGGCACGGGCGAAACCCCGAATTCGTGGACGACCATCCCTGACGTCGCCCGATACGCAGTCTACGTACTGACTCGCCTCCCGCCGTCTAAGTTGCACAACCGAGTGTTCCACATCGAAGGCGACCGGAAAACGTTCAACGAGATCGTGCGGTTGTACAGAGCCAAGCACCCTGCGGAGTATCAGGTGACGTACAAGCCTGTTGATGCACTCGAGGAGCTTGTGCAGAAGAGTGAGGGCAAGGACTTCTTTCACGCGCTGATGATTGAGTACGCCACTGGCCGAGTTGCGCACGATCCGGCCAGGTTGGACAACGCCGAGTATCCGGGGTGGAACCCTAAACAGGTTGCGGATCTACTGTGATCGGGAGCTGCCGGACTGGACTACGTCCTAGTTGATTTCTGACATTATACGTTATGAAGCCCCAATAGATTGTCGGTCAATGTGTATATCAGCGAGTTAAAGGCGTAGTAACTCCATGAGGAATATTGGTCGTGTTAACGATAATATGGGGAAGCTAAACGATTTCCACATTAGGTAATGTGAAGTGGGTGGGAGGTGCGCCACAAATGGCCCGAGGTCACCTGCCCCGGCGCTTACCGTCTCCGCCTCCTTACGGCCAGACCCGATGCACCAAGACCGGTTTCGCCGCTCCGCTTCTCAAGTCTGGAACTACTCCCACCCGATATCCGCCAATAATAATACCATGACCACCTTTGTATAACGACTATATAAAGTCAGGAGGACAAGATAGCCCAGAAGGACAATCATCACTTGTTTGAAGTACTGCACAACATGCCATGTTATACACGATTTGCAATTGCAGGAGCCAGCGGCACCGTCGGCACTCATTTCCTGCGCGAGTTTGAGCACTCGGTGCACGGCTTCGACGTGACGATTCTCACTCGCAGAGAAGGGGTGAGCATTTGCGTTGTCCTGGCTCTGTTATTGCTGACATACTCATTGGACTTGATGGTAGGGAAACGAGCTTTTTGCCCATGAGTGGGCCAAGAAGGGTGCCAAGATTCGTCCTGTCGATTATGAGGACGAGACGGATCTTGTGAGGGCGCTCAGTGGGATAGAGGTCCTCATTTCCACGGTCGGAGCAAGCGGTGCGCAGCAATCCGCATGAACAGTAAATTACGTGTCTGAGTACTTCTCAGGATTCACCCTCCAGGTGCCGTTAGTCCGAGCGGCTAAGAAGGCCGGTGTGAAACTATATGTGAACAGCCATTGGGGCACACCTTTGACGGCAGAGGACCTACCAGAATTCGCCCCGCTTGATGAGTTGCGGACTGCTGCTCTGAGGGTGGCAGAAGAAATCGACTTACCATGGTGCGAGTTCCGGACGGGGTTATTCCCGGTATGTCCACTTACAATGCACAATAACTAATGCTAAGCCTAAATAGGAGTACTGTATACCTATTCCGTACGCTGCGGGGTGGCTTACGAGAAGGGTGCGCATACTGATCTGTTGATAGAATCTTCGGACTGTCTGAGCTGAGTGAGAGGCGAGCAACGATATACGGCGATGGGAATGCCCAGGCATCATGGACAACTCAATTCGATACCGCAAGATATGTGCTGCACGTGTTGCGACATTTGCCGTTTGAGGAGTTGCACAATCGACGGTTCAATATCCAAGGTTCGTCTGCGCTGCATAACGACGTCACGACTCACTAATGATGTCATAGGCGATGCGAAGTCGTTTAACCAATTGGTCAAGTTGTACGAGACGAAGCATCCAGGCTCTGCTGTTGAGGTCATATATCGTCCTCTAGCAGAGCTCGAGGAGAAGGTTGCCAACAGCGAAGGAGACGACCGCTTCTGGGAAGCGCTCATGTTGGCAATTGTCACCGGAAAGGCGAAGCATCGGGAAGAGACGCTGGACAACAAGGAATACCCTGCTTGGCACCCGAGAGGTGTTGCGGAAGTTTTGTGATCTGTATTCCCATCGTGTGATATACTGTATGCCATGATCTCCACTGTTGTACATTATGTTGGTATTATGTATCTTGTTGAAATACAAGACAGAGGGTATCGCAAACGTACGAGAACAGTGATAACTAACAACATCAGAGAAATAGTGCTGGAAAGGTACACTGCATGTTGCACAAATATTAGTCTGATGATACAATGATGCAGAAGAGGAATATTAGAACGAATTCCATAATGCTAGGCCGAATCAAAGCCGTCCATGGTTGAGTCACACACCAGGTGGACCTGTTCCTAAGCGAAAAGCGACGTGTCCAGGTCATAGCCAAAGTCTAGAACAGTGACAACATGACTGTACGATGCACTGTGCAGGTCGTGGTTAGCTACTGACAAACGATCTGCAAACTGTTATCACTCACGTTGCAATCCTCGAAACATCGCATGCGACGTCGAAGATCTGACTGTCGTGCACGTCAGGGAAGTCTCGCACAAGCTTCAGTTCCTTCCCCTCTGCATCCACATCCCATACTTTGACACTCTTGTCATAGCTCGCTGAGATGACACGGTTCATCGTGCGATTGACAGCAAGAGAGCGCACAAGATCGTGGTGGCCTTTGACAGTCTCGAGGCAGGTACCGGTGGAGGCGTCGTAAAGCTTCATGAATGGGTCTTTCGATCCTGAGATGACAAGATGATCCTAGAGGATTCGTCAATACCTCATGAACGTACAGAGTGGCACATCGCAAACAGTTAGTGCAACACATGCAATCCCTCGAGAATGACCCTCGAATCGGCGCAAGATCTCGGCGGTCTCGATATTCCACATCATAAGCTTCCCGTCGCCGCTGGCACTGACGATCGTGCTTCCCTGAAGGATTATGCAGTTCACCGGACCCTCGTGGCCAGTCATGATCCTCTTGAGGTCGTAACTCTGCCGGTCCCATACCCGCACAGTGTTATCCCTCCCTCCGCTGACGATCCGTTGATCGTCAAAGTCTAACGTTAAGACGCCTCCCTCATGTGCTTTCATTATGCGGTGTAGAATAATGCCCTTCTCAAGGTCCCATATGAGGATGGAGCCGTCGCTGCTGCCAGATACCAAGAAGGAGGATTTGCCATCAAATTTGAGGCAGAGAACGCTGCCGTCATGTCCGCGCAAGGTGGAAATAAGCTGCCCAGTGTGAGTGTTCCAAACTCTGATCGTCCTGTCCCGGGAGCCACTTATGATACGATCCCGGTCAAACTTGACACAGTAGACACTGGATAATCATATCAGAGGGTGGGTTAAGCCCAAGAACCACATGACCTACAGACTCTGATGACCCATCAATTGCCGCACCCTGGGAAAGCCGAGCCGCCACCTCCTGTCGAGAATGAAACGGCTCTTGAATAGATCTTTCCAATCAAGTGGTGACGGAGCAGCATCCTCCATATCTCCATGATCGGCGGATGAGGTCCTTGAGGTGATTCTTGAGGCTTGCATTGACGTGCGGTAGCTTTTTGACGAAGGAGTAGGGCTTGAGGAGAATATTGTGGGGAGCAGAATGGAAGGAGACAGGATAGATGATATCGAAACCCGCGGATTTCTTGTCGACGAAGAAGGTATGGGGATACCCCTCTCTTCCAGTACTGCCTCCTGGTGCCTCTGCACGTTGGTGGCTAAGCGTCGATGCGCGGCTTCCACATCGACGCGCCAACCAGGTTGGGCATGAAAAAGGGCACGCCATACCGCGTCATCTGTTGCCAGCGCCTTCCAGTACTGGTTAACAATGATGCACGAGAGAACGCTGGAGAGGTCGAGCAACGAAAAGATGTAAAGTGAGAGTTCCACAGGAAGGAGGGTAATAAGATCTGAGCGACATCAGTATAAACACAAAAAACTATGACGGCTATGCCCACCTATGCGAGCCCTCGCCTGAGCAGAATCGAAGAACCCTTCATCATCGACTAGTTCACCTTCCTCTCCATCCAGGGGACCATCATCGATCATAGCCTTCCCCTTCCCCTTCTTCTTCGGACTCAGAGAGCTGATGATCCTATCCCAGCCTCGCCTTGATTTTCTCCTCAGCGGTTCTTCATTATCGCTTCCTATAGGGGTTGGGGCGGAATATGATGTCTCGAGAAGGGAGGAGTCTGACGAGCACTCGTGTGAGGACGTTCCTTGCGTTGAACCTGGTGCAGACCGGCTGCCCCGGAGACGTGAGAGGTCGCGTGGTGCTGAAGGATGCTCAAGGAAAGAGAAGCGATTATTGTCCGGTTTCGTTTCGTGGGGAGAGCGCGGAGATCGCAATCCTACGGCGAGGAATGCGCGGATCGCCTCTGTAGATCCTTGAGTAATGGGCATGGGTAAACAAAAGAAAGGGCGCACGCGTTGGAGAACTCGGTGCAGTGTTGGATCCGCCAATGGATGCCCCGGCCGAAAGAGAAAACAGATGTGACAGCCGATAGAGTGCTGACTTGGATGTTTTATCCACCACCCCGCGTCTCACAAGCTTTCTATGGACCAGCTGGTCTGTTGACGCGCTGGTGGTCTGCCGCCTGCTGCTGTGCTCTCCGGCCACAGGATGGTTCATCGACGTAGAGGTAAGAAAGAGAGAGATGGTTTGGACAGCATGAGACGAAACAAGCTAGTATATATTCACCCCTGTCCGTGACAGAGATGTGAAGAGACCGCAGCAGGCGTCTAGCCGGCGAACAACCAGGCAGACACGAGAAGGAGAGGTGGCGGTGCAGAAGCTTCGGCCCCGTGTGGGGATCTGTTCGGAAATCCCTGATCGTCGTCGTTGTATCTCCTCCTTGGCTTCTGCCCAGCTTGAATAAGTTCCCTCAATCGAAATGGCAGTCGAAGACCCAAGAGACGCTTCCAACGAGACTGCAATTACTCTCCCTAAGTCCTGGAGGCAGCAAGACTCTGGTACGTACCTCACACTCTTCCCAAAGGGGTGAAGAGCTGACGTGTCTCACCCCACTTCATCAGACTTTATCGGCAGCGCTAGCATGATGTTCTCTGGCGCTACAATGCTTACACGAAACAGGTTAAAGATATCCAGCTGATAGCCGAGGAGTTTCTCACGTTTTCTGTACAGGTACATGGGATGGGCTGCCCTGTTACTCTCTGTTTCGAGTCTCGCGAACCAGAAGCCGATGAGGACTAAGGAAAGCCAGACAGGAGGACCGTTATCGTCTATCCTGTGCGTCATGCTAGCCGATATTGAGTTCAATGATGCTGATTAATGTTCTAGGTTTTCTGTAGCCACCCTCGTCACTTCTTATGTTCCCATGCTTCTCGTAAGCCCCGCTGCGCAGAAAGCGACATCCGTGCCGCTCTCTACGGCGGCTGCAACGGCTGCATGATTCACAATGGATATTTGGTGTCGCGATTACATCTAATGTCAATATCTACATCACTCCTACACGCTCGTATTCTTTGCTTCAGTTTTCATCTTCTCTACCTCCCTGTCGATAACCTGCTTGACAAGCTCAATGTCGGCAGCTGGGACATCGATCACCCGGCGGGGCTTTTGCAGGAGGCCCTTGAACTCCTCTGGCAGAACCTGTGTCTCAAAATTGAAGCATTTGTGTCCGGACAGCGCTTTCTCAACCGCATCGGAAAACTTGGCCGGATGTGCAGTTGAAAGGACGATACGGACGAGCTGGGGGCTGTAAAAAGTTATGCATGGCTTCATGGGTAGGTGAAAGGGACGCACTCTTGTGGTAAGAGGTCAACAGCAGTCAGACCAACAGCGGTATGTGGGTCGGCGATATATGGACCCTCGGTGTACCAGCGTTCGATGGTAGCGAGAGTCTTCACACTTCGTGTTATGCCGAATTCCATGGAGCGAGAACATCAACGTACCTGAGCATCAGAAACACTCCTCGCCACGAAGTCTCTCCTCGCCAACTGCAAGACCTCTGTGGGCACCGCGACCCGCCCATCCGTCTTTACTCGCTTCATCCACTCGGAAATCGTCTTCCCCGCCAACCGGACTCGCTCCGGGCTGGTGCTCGACTCTGCAACAAGGTACCACAGCAACCGCTCAAAGTTGCTCGAAACGAGGATATCCATGGCTGGACTCAGCGTCTCCTTCACCCCGCTCGCATCTGTGGCTTGCTTCCCGTCGCTTGCCCCGTTCGCAGGGAGCATCTCTCCCGCACCTGCTTCGGACGCACTGTCAACTTTCTCGTACTTACCCGTCGCCCAGAACCGAGCGAGGATGTCGTTCGCATTGGTCGCCACTACGAGCTGAGCCATAGGCACACCCATCTTTTTGGCATAATATCCTGCGAGGATATCACCGAAGTTTCCGGTGGGGACCACAAACTGGATCTCTGCACCCGGCGGGAGCTGGGAGCGTATGGTGAAGTAAGCAAGGAAGTAGTAGACAGTTTGTGCAAGGATGCGTGCCCAGTTGATCGAGTTGATGGCGCCGAGACGGTGAGTAGCATTGAATTCACGGTCGCCGAAGAGCGCTTTGACAATATCCTGGGATGATGTTAGACTGAATGAGCTACTGCTGCGAAATGTACAGACTTGGCAGTCATCGAACGTGCCTTGCACCGCAATATTGTGGACATTTGCGTCCGTTACTGTGGTCATTTGTGCTTCTTGGATGGGTGAGACCTTGCCCTTAGGATGGAGAATAAAGATTGAAATGTTCTCCTTATTACGGAGTCCATATATGGCGGCGCTGTATACTCCGGTCAGCATTATATGGCAGATTTGAAGCGATATGCGCACCTTCCCGTGTCGCCGCTCGTGGCGCCAACCACAGTGAGCTTCTCCTTCTCCTCTCCAGGGGCTTTATGCGCATTCCGTCTTTTCAAGAAGAACTCGAACAAGTTGCCCAAAAACTGAAGTGCGACGTCTTTGAACGCATATGTGGGTCCATGGAACAGCTCGAGTACATACAGGTGGTCATTCAGCTTCTTGAGCGGAGTGATCTCCGGGGCGCGGAAGGTGCTGTACGATCGTTCGATGATGGCGCGCAGATCGGCGCGCGAGATCTCGGACTCGGATATAAACAGCGAGATGACGGCTTTGGAGAGTTGTTGGAAGTTGTAAGAGGCCCAATCCTCCTGCCACCTCGGAGGTGGCATGGGGATTGCTTCAGGGATGAAGAGGCCGCCGTCCGGCGCCAGGCCGGTCAAGACTGCCTATAGAACGCTTGGCATTGGTATTGACACGTTTGATGACATTACACACCTCTTCAAAGGATACGGCAACCCCATCACCTCTTGTCGAAAAGTACAACATGGCCGCAGCGTCCAACTTAAGCTTTTCGCCATGACTCGGCGCTAAGCTTAGGGTTTCTCTCGGAAGCATTGATGACACATCAGGGTCTCGCACGTGGAAAAGTAATTTCCGGATTGGGAACCATGCCGTTACGGGTTTCTGGAGGAGTGACCGCCAGGGATAACCATGTAACCCTAGGAATCATTTTGCCTGTTGTACCTTCAGCTAAAGATAAAAGAACTTTGAGTTCGTGATTGCGCCCTTCCCCTCTCAATTTTGTCCTTTCTACGCGTAGCGACCATCACATGGATCTGGGGTTGAACAAGGTCCATGCTCTAGTGACAGGCGAGTTATCTTCACCATGTCAAGCGAAGCTTGAAGCTTATGTCGAGGAAAGGTGCGAGTGGAGGAATTGGATTCGCTATCACGAAGCTCTTTCTTGGTGAGCATTCTGCCTGTTGTAATGGCACTCTGGCCATTGTCCTATGTGACGCGTTCTAGAGCAGGGCGCCCTTGTCACCGCCCATTATAACACCGAGCCGCGTGGTCTTCAAGACTTGAAAGGCAAGCCTGAATGGCAGGAGAAGCTCTGTATTGCTGGGGCCGATTTGTCGAAAGAAGAAGATGTGGATCTCTTATTCAAGAAGGCGAGGTCAGAACTAGGAGACATCACCGTGTTGATTGGTGCGTACGATCCCTCTTGCCATTACTAGATAAGCGCTGATGACTCCACAGTAAGTCACGGTATCTGGCCGGTTTGTTCGAACGTTGCCAGGGATTCTTCGCGTAACTGAGCATCAATCTACAGGAGAATGACGCGCCTGTGGTTGACATGGAGCTCCAACAATGGCAGAACACCCTCGCGGTCAACTTAACAGGTTCGGACTAGCCGACAGCATCAAGATGACATCAGTGAACATTCTTCAGGTCCATTCTTGACAACTCGAGCATTCCTTCGGCAGTTGCGCGAGCCCTCGACCAGGCCTGCGATCCTTGATAAAGTGGCAGTGATCCTGATCGGAAGCACTGCGGGGAAGTTCGGCGAGGCGGGGCACATCGGTAAACCCCTGGCCGGGTATCCATCGTTCTACTGACGTTTTTAAAAAAAAGATTACGCGTCTTCCAAGTCTGCTCTTCAGATTGGCTTTTGCTTGACTCTGAAAAATGAGATCGTCAAGATCGCGCCACGCGGGAGGGTGAATGCCATCGCTCCGGGCTGGGTATCAACGCCGATGGCAGCGAACGCGATGCAGAACCCAGAGATCAAATACCGAGCATTAGCAACGTACGTTCCTCCAACCATCGATGGTCAATCGACACCCAGCTAACAACAACATCATCTCCAAGCACACCACTGCGCAAGATCGGTACACCTGATGATATCGCCATGCAGGTCGCTGTGCTCTCGTCGGCTACGGTATCGGGGCATGTGACAGGCATGTGTGTGATGGTTGAGGGCGGCATGGAAGGTAGACTGCTGAACAAGATGGAGGACCTGGCTTAGCCTGTGGAACAGTATCCGAAGAATCGATTGACTGGGACATGCTTGCCCTCTCTGGCTACTAGGTCGCGTACTAGCCGAGGAAATTGTGGAATGCAGGGGAACGATCCTAGAAGCAGAAATCTCTCCGCATCTGCGGTGGGAAATTTCGTCAACATGGTACCATCGACACTATAATGCAATGCGAATATATCCCAAATGCCCTCCCCTAGGTGTGCGAAAGGAGCAGATGACGCAATGAATGCACTCAACGTCGAGCTGTGCTGTCGCAGCTGTCGTAGGAAGATGTCATCCTTGGGCCGTTAGATGCGAGGAAGCAATTTTGCAACATGTATGGTTCGCCAACAATCTGAACAGCGCGTGAAGTTTGTCTCTCGCGCACAGTTAAATCCCAGGAGTATCAAGCCAGCAATTGTACAGTCCGTTGGGTGGGCGGCGGTCAGAACGTCGGGACATCCGAAAGGGGTTCGCTTAGACGCTGATTAGGAACTACTAGTGGGGCATCAACCAATGGACCCGTCCGTATCCTCCTTGTAAAGCATACTATAGTTGACGAAGACATTCAGAGGGAACGTGTGAGAAAAATAGTTGTCGAGAGACTTTGGACATCTTCCGAGATTGACGACAATTATAAGAGAAAGGTCCATCCGGGAACCAATTGCAAAGGTCGGAAAGCTGTACAAAGGACTCAGCAGACCCTATTCTGAGTCGGCGGCATCGCCTCCTTGATACTTATGGTGACACGGCTCATTCCTGCCCCGTTGTCACTCCTGACTGGTCCATTCTTCCCTTTCTATCAGCGTTTCGAATCTAACTGGGACAATCAGGGCGGCACTGCATGATGCGAAGCAACCATAGAACCCGTGCTTGTGGTCAGCGAACGGAGGACCGATTGGGAGAAGGCAGCACATGGAGCAAGCGACATTATTCCGACTTGTTTATATGAGTTTCAGATGCACACCGCTGTCTCCGCTGGGGGTGTCTACATCATCGAGCACCGCTCCCTCGTCGTATACAACCTGGCGTCCAGACGTAAGAGCGAGCCCTTCTCACCTTTCTGCTTACCTCTTTCCCCTCAAGTCCAGCGGTGGCCACCAATGCAGGCCTTCTCCGTTCTCACCAGCCTTCGTAAGGTTGGCAAGGGCAGCAAGCGTGGGCAGCCAGCACCTGCCCTGCCTGCCCCACCTGCCCCACCTTCCAAGCCGAGCTCTCCGGTGTCATTCTTCTCCCCTGGCTTACCTACGCTCGAAATGGCGCCGCATATCCCTCCCAGTACGCAACCTGGAACGGAGAAAGCGCGAACTCCTCCGAGCGGTGACTCCTTTGGTGTGAAGCCGGCACGACCACCGCGTATTAACACGCCAGAATTGAGTCTTGACTTGGACTTCGAGTCGGAATTCTCGATGCCGGAGTTGTTTGTCACGAGGGGCACGTCAGGGTATTTGCTATCGACGACTCCATCAGAAGGCGCAACGCGAGGGGTCGAGACCTACGACGTACGTTCGCGATATATGCATCATTGCGCCTTCAGTAATATTTCTCAGATGCAGCAGCCTGCCATGAAATCTGTACGTAATACCAGCCTCAAACCGACATCGGTACGCTCTTCCTCGGTATGTATGCTATAACCAATCCTTCCTGTTGTATACTGATGCTATGTTTGCCATCTTCGAAGAGTACGACCACGCGTCGTCCAGTACCAGCACGCATCCAAATTCCGAGTCCTCGTTTACGGCCCACCGTTGGGATGTTAGCAGAGAACTCCTCTGATACAGGGAGACCAAAGTCGAAGACGCCTCCGTCGCAGAAGGTCGCCATGAAAGGCACAATGGCGAGTATGACCCCTTCTCTCCCACATGCAACGCCAAGACACTCTATGAAATCCTCAAAGTCGATCATCGGGACAAGCTCGCTCCATTCCAGCTCAAATTATCCAGAATTCCTATCGTCTATGTTTATCCTCCTCCCTACGGAACGGACAAGAGAGTCATTCGGACACACGAAGCAGGATTCCGCCATCCTTCCGATGGATACCCCCGCATACCGCATACCCTCGTTGTATCAGACGCGAGACAGTCGCAACTCGAGGACGAAGAGTCTGGGACGCAGGACCAGCCTGCCGCTCTTGAACACTAGTCTGACGGACCCCGATTCCGAGAGTAGACCTCGCCCCGTATCGGCTCTCAGCCCAAGCAAATCTCCGTTAGAATCGCTCACCACGGATGACCAGAGCACTGGCCGGCCACTATCAAAAGCATTACCGGAGTTACCCTATTCTGCTACAATACCTCTTAACCATAACAACTTCTTCTTACACATCGATGGTACGGAGACAGCTGGTGAGACTTCTGATCTCTCGACGTCTGGACTAGACATGAATTCGTCTGCAGCATCCACTGCGCCAACTTCAGCTTCTCTCTATGATGCCATGGGTGTCCCGTATTCTGCAGGTCTATCACCTATGCCAATTCCAACCGTTTCATCAGAGGACTCCAAATCCCTCAGGGAAATGGTTTTCACCGCTGCGGAGTTGCAAAATTTCTTGGAAACGGTCCCAGAAGCGTCAACGCCGTCTTTAGATTACAAGACCGAGCCACGTCCTGTCTTCACTGTACCCCGGACTATTCCAACGATTGAACCAAGACGACGGTCCGCAGATGGATCCAGTCGACCTGTTTCCTCAAAGTCCAGGACAAGCAGCATGTCCCATACGAACCTACCGATTGGCATCTCGGACCCTGTCACGAGAAAGCGTGCGTCTGTCGGCACAGTCGTGACACCGTCAGAGATGCACAGGGAGAAGTCGCTCCACTTTGCTCCATTCGGGCAGATCCCACCTAGTACTCTTGCTGCTCCCGATAGGGTGCATACGAAGCCAAGACCACTACCATCAGTGCGTAAGATGGGTGACGGCGACTCAAAACCGCCGATGCGTTCGCTGCGAAGGAAGATGCACATACGCACAACATCGAGTTCTTCCAGTGACTTCCCTTCACCCCCCCTTCTTCTCGGAACAGCCCCCAACCTCGATTCATCTGCCTTCCCTCAGACGCCAAAGCCTTGGTCCAGTCCGGAGTCGTCTCCACAGAAGTCACCGCCAACGTTAGCACCAATCATTCCGGACATCCCGATTACGGATGCCATCCAACAACGTGGAGACTCATCTGGCAGGGATATTTGGCATCAGGGATCTGTAATGGGATCCGGGAGGAAAACTAGCCGTTCTCGACCTGCCCTGCCAATCGGGCCACGCAAGGCGCCAAGCCGAACTCCTTTCAGTCCCACCCCACAGTCCAGTCCGGGCCCCCAATCGTCGAGCACGAAATCAGCAACAAGTCCTCGATCATTTGCAACTGCGCACAGGACGCAATCTAGGCCACTGACGCCGACCTTCGTTTCCCACCAACTTCCATGGAGGGGATTGACTTTAGAAGCTGCCCAGTGGACATACACGTCAGATCAACTGCAAGAAATTGTCGGCCGTGCTATACGGTCCGGAACTGACTCTTCTTCAATTCGACTATTAAATACGGAAACGCTGGATATATATATGCCGGAGGAAGAAGAGCGCCTGGAGTCGAAGCGAGATCAGCTGAAGACGAAGTTCCGCACGAACAGCCGCAGAAGACGTCTTCTGCTGCGGGAAATAGAACGGGCCACAGACCCCACATCTGTTCATCAGCTCGCAGCCGAACTGGCAGAAGAGAACGCCTATGCCGATCAGCTCACAGACGACCTTTATGACGTTAATGATCAGCTCACCCAATTGGGGAGGCTGAGAGATGCCCACTCTTCCAGCGCTCTATCCATGGCGCTTCGCAAACTTAACTCGAGCTTGATACGGACCAAGGCCGAAGTCCTGGAACTTCAAACGCAGACTGGTCAGCTTGAAGCGGAGCGCGATGAGGCTTGGGCTATGGCCGAATCTATCGAATATCAACTTAATTACTTCAGGCAGCAGTTAGACGAAATGACACAAGCGAAGGGCGAAGCAGATGAAGCAGATGAAGGGGCGTCCCTGAGCCGCTCCGCCAGCGCAAGGTCCAGCCGTGTCTCCGCAGCTCGTAAAGCAAGCCTCCGAGCGTCCAAGGCGAGCTTACGGCTCTCAATCGGTCGCTCTAAGAGCATGCGCTCTTCTAACAGCAGCGTACGTTACATGAGTATTATCTGGCCGCGCTCTCCTACCGGTCGCAAAGAGGAAATTCCCCCGGTACCTCCCGTGCCTGTAAAGCCCACTTCTCTCGTCTTACCGTCTCCCGCCTCGCAACTGCCAACTTCGCCAGACAGTCGTGGGATATCATCTGTTTCAACCTCATACGCTCAGGCCAAACGCGAAGTGTATGAGATGCTCGGTCTGGAACTAACTCCGACACCTCGCGTATTACGCCGTGCTCAGTCCATGTCCTCACTGCAGACACTCTCAGCAGCACTGTCTAGTGCTTTCACAGGTCCGCCGACAGAATCACCGGCTGCGTCGAGTGTCGGCCCGTTACCCTCACCTTTGATAAAATCGTGGAATATCGACTTCAAGGGACGTCCCAGGCGGTCATTTTCGGTGAACGGGCCTTTCTTCATGTTTCCTCAATTTCTGCAGAATGTGTCGGAGGACGTAAGTGCTGTACAGTCTTCAGAGTTTCAGGAAATCTGACTTCCAAATAAAGACCGTATTTGAGGACGAGTCAGTTATAGAAGATTAAGACGCCAGGAACAATCCGTCCCCACAGCAGGACTGAATGAATACTCTTTTAGAACATAGTTATCAACAGATCACTCGCTCATCGCTGCAATCTCTTTCCCCTCGGTCCACATGAGCCTGGCGCTCGTTGTTGTTGTGCCCTCCATATCCTATCATTAAGATTCTATTTCTTCATACCTATCATGGACATATTCTATCTTCGTCAGCGTTCTGCCTAATTCAACACAATGTATCCGTGTCATAGTGGTGGTACATAGCAATTCAATATAATGCCGAAATCGCCATCGGCCGAAGCTGCACAATAGGCGGAGCCAAAGCCACGCGGCCATCCAAGCGCTTGTTATCTCTCTTACCAGTCCTGCACCGACGACTGGCACGCATTTTCTTGCGCATTGTACAGGCTCAAATGTCTGTGTCCTCGGATACGAGTGGGAAGAAGTATGCCATATCTCTGGTAGATGTTCAGGCAGCTGCACAACGTATCAAGGGTTATGTGCACCGAACACCAATAATGACTTGTCGAACTCTGGATGCTCTAGCAGGCCGACATCTAGTTTTTAAGCCGGAAAACTTACAAGTTGGGGTAGGATGTCGCTCCATGGGATCATGTAGCTGAAATACACACAGAAAGTCGGCGCGTTCAAAGCACGAGGGGCGTTCAATGCAGTCTTGTCGATCAGGGAAACTTCGCCAGACACTCTCAAGAAAGGAGTAATCACACATTCGTCTGGTAACCACGCCCAGGCACTTGCATTAGCAGCTCGAGATGCAAAATGTCCAGCCCATATTATAATGCCGTCCAACGCTCCTTCCGTCAAGAAAGACGCTGTGCGGGGATACGGTGCAACGGTTCACGAATGTGAGCCCACATTAGAAGCACGGGAAGCGACGGCGCGAGCGGTGGAAAAAGAAACAGGCGGTGTATTTATCCACCCATACAACAATCCTCTCATCATGGCGGGACAAGGAACAGTTGCATTAGAATTGTTAGAGCAAGCTGAAGAAGCAAGAACTCCGCTTGACGCGGTGCTTGTTCAAGTTGGAGGCGGTGGACTCCTCTCAGGATGCACAATTACGCTGAAATCCCTAAGGCCAGAAGTGAAGGTATTCGCTGCGGAGCCGAAGGGCGCGGATGATACCTACAGGAGCTTGAAGAGTGGCAAATGGGTTCCCAGCATCAGACCGGATACGGTGGCCGATGGACTCCTGACCAGCACCGGAGATTTGACCTTTCGTCAGTTTATCCGCGAGCTCAGACGTGAGAAGTGACTTACTCCGTATCTGCAGCCATCATCAAGGACCAAATTGATGACATTTTTGTGGTCGATGATCGGGAGATAATCCGGGCCACGAAACTTGTGTGGGAACGAATGAAACTTGTCATAGAGGCGAGTCCTTCCAATCGCTCTCGGGACCACTTCCTGACTGCCGGTAGCCCTCCGCAGCGGTCACGTTGGCAGTGGCTCTGTACAATGCTGATTTTAAGAGGGCTGCCGAAGGGTGCAAGAACATCGGCGTGGTCTTTTCAGGTGGTAATGTGGACTTTGAGCGAGCCGTGACGCTCTTTAAGACATTGGAGGAGCTGGACAGCTGATTCAGTTGAGCTCCCGGGTTGTACCGTAATAGATGGCGATATGAACAAGCAGATGGAAAGACTGCAGCCACAGGACAATCCAAATCCACGACAGCAGGCAGGCATATTCATGTACAAATGGGGAAGTCGCTTGGGAGTGCTTCGCGCCGATCTTCCGAAATCGTTGGAAAACTTATTTGACGCCCGGTCTTCCGGAGTTCACGACCACAGGAAGTAGACGGGCCCTGACAGGGAGTCATTTTTTCTTTGAAGCTCAATTGTAGAAGCAGTGATCGGAGTCGGGACGATTTGCCGATCCAACTGCTGCCTCACGTGTTGTCATTGTTCAGGAATAAGCATCTAGCTTGGTTCAAGTCAAAAGATGATTGGCTTGCCGGACAGGGGAACGTCCTTGGCCTGTCAAAAGTCTAAAGCCTTGCTCTGTGGTCGGAACCGAGAGCTACGGTGGGCACTCCCGACGTGGAGGATGGGAATGTGTGGAGGTATGACAGCCATGACACAGAGATCCCCACGTTCGTGATTCTGTGATTTGCGATATTCTCCACGTTATCCACCCATGCCAATTTGGACATTGTTGGTTGTTCCATGTGTTACCTGCGGAGGCCGGGACGCGATGCAAGCCAAATTTATCTTCCGCCCTAGCAAATGTAAGTGGTTGCCACTGATTGCCGGAGTGTTAAGTGTCTTACCGATATCGGCGAGGGACCGGCAGTCTCATGTGACGGCTCGGAAAATTAATTCAGAAAGCCATTAATGGTAAGTGGAGAAGGCGAGGGATAAAGTCAGATGACTGGAAAAGCGGGGTGGTCTGGGGGAGACCCCACGGGACTCCGCATAAGCACAGCCACCTCCGCAACTGCCTGGGCAGATGACACGAAAGATTTTAACTTGTTCCTGACGGCTTCTAACTCTACATTGATCCCGAAGTGGACGCCAAGGAGGGCCAAGGTACCGTATCCTCCTTAATCTCGACTAGCGACCGCGAAGGATTGCAAGATATGACCGGTTTGAATGCCCATTGGCTCCAAGCCTAAATCAAATTAAGGTGGGTCCGGAGGAAGCCACTTGACGCCACGGGTCCCTGCACCCGAGGTTAAAAGGAGCATCATGTCCGAACCTGGGTAGAATTCCCGTCAGGTCTGATTCTAACGGCCAACCCCCTTCTGTGATCTCCCCCAACATGGTTTCAGCAGGCAACACGTCCCATTACCGTCACTATATCGCAGAAGGATTCCGTTGGTACAAGTCTAAGAACCTATGGATGCTCCAGGGTTGGATTCTCCTCTAGTGAGTTCGGGATGTCCTGGTCCGAATGCCGATACGGATCTGACCAGTCGCGCAGCTTGCTAGGGAACTTTGCGAACGGTTTCGATGGTGCGCTAGTTAACGGCTTGCAGGTGAGTCAGTGGTCTGGTTGCTTCTCGAACGGGTTGAAAGCTCCTTTTCTTCCCAATCCGCATTGGTTTTCTTCTTAATTCACGTGACATCATGCTAACAAATCTTGTGTATAGATCTTGCCAGGTATTGTACATCACACCTTTGCTCTTCTTTGTATCTAACAGCCCGACAAAGAATGGCAAACCTACTTCAACCACCCTGTTGGAAGCACACTTGGGCTTCTCGGAGCTATCCAGAATATCGGTTCACTTGGCAGTATCCCCGTAGCGCCGATATGGAATGATTACTTCGGGCGACGAAAGACCGTCATGCTCGGAGGTGCGATGATGCTCACAGGTGCCGCCCTGCAAGCATCCGCGAAGAACGTCAACTGGTTTATTGGCGGTCGATGCCTTCTCGGGTTTGGCGGTGGTTTCAATAACAACGCTGATCCTCTCATGGTTATCGAGCTTTGCTTCCCGTCGCACCGTGCTCCCATCGCCGGTTCCTACAACTCAATCGTCAACATCGGCTCTGTTGTTGCCGCCGCCGCGACATTTGGCACATACTACATGAGCGGCCAATGGTCATGGCGTCTTCCCCTCCTGATCCAGGTCATCCCTACTTCGATTCAATGGTGCCTGATCATGTTCGGTCCTGAGTCTCCTCGTTGGCTCATGGGCAAGGGCAAGGAGCAGGAGGCTCTTCGCGTCCTCGCAAAGTACCACGGGAACGGTGACGAACACGACCCTCTCGTGCTGTACGAGTTCGAGGAGATCAAGAACGCCATCATCGCAGAACGCGAGCAGAAGCGGTACGGCTGGATCCACTTGTTCAACAGCCCAGGCATGAGACGTCGTTCGTTCACGATGATGGCGCTCGCTGTCTGCGGTCAATGGTCGGGCAACTCGATGGTGTCCTACTACCTTAACCAGGTGCTCACGACTGTCGGTCTGACTGACAAGCCTTCACAACTGGGGATCAACGTTGGTCTCTCTATCTGGAACTTCCTATGCGGTTTCATCGCCGGCTTCAACGCAGACAAGTTCGGCCGCCGGCCCATCTTCCTCACCTCGATCGTAGGCATGCTCATCACCTTCATCTGCGTCACCATCTGCTCGGCACAATACGTCGAGGCGCACTCGGTGGTCGCAGGCAAGCTCACAGTCCTGTTCATCTTCCTCTTCACAGGCTTCTACGCCATCGGCTGGGCCTCCGTCCTCCTCCTCTACGTGACCGAGATCGTCCCCTTCTCACTCCGTTCCAAGGCCCACTCGCTCTTCGCCATCACCCAAGCGTCCATGCAGGTGTTCAACCAGTACGTCAACCCGATCGCCTTCCTCGCCATTGGCTGGAAGTACTACATCGTCTTCGACTGCTTTATTGTCATTATCGGCGTGTTCGTCTACTTCTGTATACCGGAGACGAAGGGTCATACGCTGGAAGAGACAGCACTGATGTTCGACGGAGAGGACGCGGTCGCTCAGCTCCAGAAACAGGCAGAGGAACAGGCAGCCATCGACAGGGGACTCGACGAAGAACATATCATTCACCACGATAGGACGAAACATGATCTTGCAGAGACAGACGATAAGGAGTCGATCGAGCATCGCGAGAGGGCGGATGCGTTCCAGGCGTCACGCGCTTGATCCCTTGGTCGCGTGCCTCACCTAAGGCCCAACCTCAACACTTGACATCCAACTCCAACACCTGGCGTCTGACACTTATCAGACTAGCCCAGGCCGGACGGTACAGTATCGCTATTGGTGGATTGTGTTAGTACTGTGATAAAACACCTAATGACATGTATGTGATCGATGAGCGATCGTGTGAACTTGAAGACCAACTCTGACTCTGGGTGAGATTCTCTGTTCGGGGTGTGGTGGGGGCTGAGGAGGGAAGGTTCGTTTGGCGAGCAAGGCTTTTGCAGGACTGGAAGTTCGAGCTACCTGTAACGGAACTGGCATAAATGGCGGAGCACACGCAACGCGGACAGCAGTGTGTAACACAGTACTAGTGTGGAAGTCTTTCCAGACACGACACGAGAACTTCCTGCTAAGCGCAGGTACAAACTCGAACACACGGTACGGACTGCCGACGTCCGCTGAACGTTGGTGCCCGGCGTATCGTCGGAATTAGATACATATACCAGGAGAGCCTGGGAGTGCGACTCGTCTTACCTCTCTGATCTCAAGGGGACGAGTGAGGGACGCACGAGCCTGGTGAAACCAAGGAAAGCTGAACGCCCAGCGCTTATGGACATTACTTGTTTCATCCCCTAGGAAACCGCACGCGGCACGACGCACGCCAGAAGCCGAGTTTCAACAACGGTGGTTAGGTTTCGACGTATTCCGATCGGGTTAATTTAGTTCGATTCGATTCGGTCGGGGTCGGTTCGGTGGTTGGGGTTGGGTTGGGGTTGGCTGTTCAGACGGTTCAGACAGTTCATTGATCACTCGGTTCCGTAGTGCGTCAGGTAGACTCCGGTTCCTGGCCCGGAATCCGTCGGGTTGACCGCACTGGTTGGGAGTCAATATGTGGCTACAAGAGTATACACTCGAGTCAGCCTCATGCTTCATGGTAGTCATGGTGACCCCTAAGCTTTGGGTGCCACCTGCAGCTGTCAGGATAATACGGCATATGGTTAATGAAGGGAGCACAAGGGAGAGTTTATAGAACTCGGTAACGTTTAACGTTGTGTGCTTAAGTCAGAGTTTGGGAGGGCCAATAGACACGAGCAGGTGCGCACTTGTAACCTGGGAGGTGGGATAGCATGCTGCACACGTCGGATGGGGCATACGTATTGCACACGAGCTCGTTCAACGTTTCAGTGGATATTATTGACAGCGTGGGATGGTGGGGGGTTGTTGGGTAGGATGTTGCGCGTGTGAAGTGGTAAGGAGGTATTTTCCGTGTTGGAAGGATGTGATAAACGTTTGTGGATGTTGTGGATGATTCCGAAGTAGCTGCACGTGCGGATGAGGATAGGGGACGGTGGGGTCGCACGACCGGAATGGCTTGCTGTGATTGGTTGAGAAAGGGACGAACGTGCGTTCTAGTGTGCTCGTGTGCGCTTGTGTAATGAGATGTGAAATAAGAAGAGCGCACGACCTATATGAGCAAAGTGAATCAAAGGTGATGGAATCACTCTCACTTCCCCTTCCAATGTCAGTCTACGCTCCCCTCTCCAGCGCATATACCCCATCATTAGGGGCATCTCTCTTCACTCAACCACCACCATCCTACTTCTACCAAATGTCACGTACAGCACCTCAACAATCCCATATCCCTCATCAACATCCACGTACAATAAAGCATCTCCCAACAGTAGATATGAACTTGCCTCCCATACGCCCGGTAGGTCAGAGATACGACGGTTCACCAATGCCTTCATTCAAGAACGTAGCGTCGGGTCAGACATCGCCTTATTCCCTCCCTACCACTCCGGAGAAGAAAGATGAACCCCCAAAGAAACGCGCTAGGAAGGCCACCACTACCCCTGCGACTGCTGCTCCTGCTACTGATACTCCTCTCCCTCCGTTAACACCGACGACCCAACCCCAGTCAACCGATGCCCCCGCCCCTGCTCCCGCCAAACGCGGCCGTAAGCCTACACACACCTCGCGCGCAGCACGCGACACCGCCCGGAAAGTGAACCACTCGCGGATCGAGAAACGCCGCCGGGAGAGGATAAACGATGCCCTCTCCGCACTGCGTCGGCTCGTACCGCGGGAAGAAGAACTCGAGAGGATGCAAAAGGGGGAAGACGCACCTTTCCGTTCTCTGGAAGCGCAGGATGCGGCCGAGGCTGCGGGACTCAACACCCCCGGGAACGGCAGTGGCAAGGGGAAGGGGAAAGGAAAGGAGTTCAAATTGGAAGTCTTGGATCGCACGGTTTCGTATGTCCGGTTCCTGATCGACCGGGTGAAGCAGAACGAAGGTGACGTCGAGGGTGCGTTGAAGAGCGGCGCGGTCGCTCCCCTGAGTACCCTGAAGCGGAAACGGGAGGATAGTGATGAGGAAGACGACGATTTACCGGATGGGGAGGGCGGGGACGAGCCGGAAGACGAAGACGAAGGCGAAGGGGAAAGCGAGAGCGACGACGACGAGGATGAAGAAGAGGACGAACCTGCAAGAGGCTCATCCATGGGGAACGGGTATGCCCATGCGCCCACCAGCGCAGGAGGGAGCGAGACCAGCCCCTACCCTCTCCTTCCAACACCGACGATGCCTTCCTGGCACCCGCCCTTCGGCTCCAGCTCCGGCGCCGGCGCGGGGTCGAAATCCCATATAAGGACAAGCTCGGCCCGCTCGCTCCCATTCCCTCTTTCCCCGGGAACGCACTTGCCCTCCCCCCCGGCGTCGGGAAAGCAGGAAGCTACTGTCTCCCCTTCGAGTCAGCCGCCGGTGTTGAGGCTGCCGGAACCGAGTCTTGCCCTCCCTCCTTCGGCACGAGAGGGGTCGACGCAGTCTACCCAGTACTCCCATACCCACCCGCAACACTCCCAGTCACCAACCGCCGCCCGCCCGACAGTCCTAACAACCCCTACCCAACGGAAAGAAGAAGAGAACGCAGCTGCCGCCGCCGCCGCCGCAGCGTCAGTGTTGTTGCTGCTTAAAGATCCTTCACCTCGGGTGTCACCAGCTGACGCGGGCAGGGGCGCGGGGGGGATATGGAGGGTGCCATCCTTATCTCCCAGAGTGGGGCCTGTGGACTCCTACCCCAACGCCCAGGGACAAAGGCAAGGGCAACCTCTTGCCCAGGCAACAGATCGCCCATATGGGGGGGGACGCACTCCTCCTAGCTCTAGTCCGAGTCCGGCCAGTTTCTTGAGAGACAGAACCAGCGGTGACCAGATGAGGAGGAAGCTGCCTCCGTTACCTCAGCTGGCTGGTCTGACTCCACTCTGTGCGCCTGCGCTTGGTGGGCTTGGGAGGCCGTTGGGCGCTGGTGCAGGGAAAGTGTGGGAAGGGAGGGCAGGGGGGAGAGAGTGGGAGCGCGAGAGGGAAAGTCTGCGGGAAAGGGAAAGGGAGAGAGACTGGGAGCGGGAGAAGGCCCGGGATTGGGAACGGGACAGGGAGAGGGAACGGGCTGACCGGGCTGGAGCTGACAGAGGGGACAGGACAGAGAGGGACAGAGAGCGCGCCGAGCGCGGGGAGAGGGAGGCCATTACCCCTATGAGCGTGTTGGGCTTGCCGGAGAGGTGGTGAGCTCTGTCCCGCCATCTTGGGACTATGTGCGCCCTCTCCGCACCTTCACTGGCTGCCTGCCGTACGCGTCTGCGGTTCTCGTCTACTCAAGGAGCGCCCTTCCGGATATATTTCGACTAGCCTTGACCATCCTCCGCCGAAGACTCTGCCGAAGCCGAAGCCGAAGCCCTCCGTAGCAGACTTGGATATGAACCCACACCAACCCCCACTCTTGGGACACTCCCCAGACCTGAAAACCAACAAACACAGAGGAGTCCCACTCCCCATGTGTACTAGACTCAGACTCAGACTCAAGACTTGGTCGAATTGTATACTTAAAGGACTTATCGTGTTCTGTTCTCTTCTTGCGCTTGTAGGTTGCGGCTTGCGGCTTGTGGCTTGTGGCTTTTGTTGTTTGTGTAGATGTAGTGTAGTAGTGTAGGTGGTGTGTGACATTTGGTTGACATTTTGAGTGACTGAGCCATTGGTTGACTGAGCGACTGGTTGACTGAGCCATTGGTTGCTTGGTTGGTTGGCAGCTCGGGATGGGGTATTGTGTGCGTAGATCCGGACGCAGGACGCAGGGATTGCGGGTGACTGTACTTGTTGATAATTGATGCACTCAGGACACTGTATGCGACGTGACTTCCAGCTCTTGTAACGGCGTCCGACAGCCATGGTATGCTCGTACCCACGAACAGCACCCAGGGGCATGGACTGCGAACGCTTGAGAGAAGTGGAGAACGACTCTACATACAGTAATGGTCTGTTACAGGGACTGGACAGGCCGGGCATTGAAGACCGCCGAGCTCGTCCGCTTCAGACCAGCGAGGAGCTCGATAGATCTAGACATCCAGCAGTGTACGAAACTACATGTAGTCGACTTCCAGCTCTTGGCCGCCGGTATGGCTTGGCTTCCAGAAACCTGCGAGAGCACAAGTTGTTTGGGTCGCGTGAGATGGTTTCCGTGTTATTTGTCTGAACTAGTCGAGCCTTCTCGTATTTCTCGCCCGTACGGGATTGATCAGAGCGCGAACGTGAGCAACGTCCTTTGTCCAGAGTGGAATCGACTCATTTCAACAACTCAGACACTGGCACGTGTGTCGGCGTCTGGTTATCATGTCGCGATCACTGAGCAACAAAAGATCAAAGATCGATGGTCTTCATTTCATGCACAGATGGCTTGCGAAAGCTTTTGCTAGAGAATAGCAGTAACTCTAGATCTATCAAAGACCTCATAGTCCAGCGGATTCTTTTAGGTATACGTAGAGGATGAAGCCTTGTTCAACTAGGATTGTTTGACCTTCTGAGTGGCACTGCTGAAACTGTACAGTTTTCCACTGATTAGAATGAGTCTTACTGACTTCCACCTCGATCTGGTTGAAGAAGGCAGGATATGCGCACCGCCAACACGCCAGCGTCTGCTCAAACAAGATAGTTTGGACCGAAGGACTGTGCTTTATCTATACGGTTCCTCAGTGGTGCTATATATGGTTGTTTTCCCACCTATGGCAGCGATCATATGACCTTGATGGTGCTACAACAGACTTATGAAAAGCTGGTCCGAACAGGGCGGAGTCGGGTCATTTATCTAGTCTGCGTATCACCAAGACATTACATTGCGACCTCTTGGTGGAAAATAATTTGCTGCAGTCTTGGCTCTTCACGTGGGAACCATGACCTACTTGTATGTTTTCTTGTTCTTGGCGACACTTTGTCTTGCTGCTCCTTTTGATGTTCGACCTCGTGCCGGGCCAAGCGGACAAGTGCTCACCCCAGTTGGTGGAACTACCATAACCCAGTTAGGGTACGTGAAATCAGTGCAAACCCAACTAAGGACCAAACAATTGGATAGCGGCGTGTTGGAGTTCGCCTACCAGCCAGTAACGGAAGCGATGAATCCGGGCTACGCAACTCAATACGTCAATCTGTTTATCTGGAACGAGGATACGGATATCATCACTCCGGTACATTCACACCTGCTACTTTTGCTGAATTGATATGCTGAGAGGTCTTACAGCTTGCGGTCGGACTGAGCACACCAGACGAGGAGGAAGATGCCATCGTATCGGGTCTGATCACCGCTAACTTCAGCTTCGCCGCAGGGGGAGTGTGCGGCAATAACTTACAGCTCGTGGTGTATGAATATCAGACTGGAACCGAGGCGCCCACGGATGGATTCCAGAGCGCGGCACCGTACTTCGCGGTCATCGATTGTTTCAACAATGGCAGTGCGATCACCTCATTGGGACATGATGGAGGAAACTGGAATTCTCCAGCTGAGGGGTCAACCATCGGCTTGCATCGTGATTCGGAACTGCTCAGCTACTCGGCTCAGTCTGGGGAGATATTCTTCACCTATTCAATGGACATCGATGTACAGCAGAATACGTCCCCTATAGACGATGAGAGTACTTGGAAACCAGTGAGTTTCCGATGCCCTCCTCATGAAGGTTATCTTTTGATGGGCAAATTGCAGGTTATTCATCACCTCTCTGGGTACTTTGCACCATGGGGAGCAGCATACTTCTCGCCCTTGCATTGGGGCTTTATCGGCGGCGTGCGCGTGAGTAGTCCTGCGACGGTTGAAGTTTGAACTGATTCTTACTTGCACATAGTTGAGAACTACCGTATATGACATGTTGTATAACGACTGGACATCCGGCACGAATTACCTCAATGTGACCGTTGTCGACACATACTGAGGCCGAGATCGTTGTGGACAGAGTTGGCCATGAGAGCACCGACCGTAATCGATATTTTTGTATGTCGCGGTGCAAACTGCAGGCTTTTGGTTCTTCCACAGCCTGAACCCGATTGTCACATAGCTTTCCGCTTCCATCTTATCGGTTGAAAGAACATCCATGTTTGATGCCAAGCTATTTTCCTTCTCCCTTGTATGAGCGGCGACGTGCCTGGGTTGTCTCCCGAGCAGGACAGCCATGAAACCTGATCATCATCACCTGCAGAACAATGCACTATCATGAATACTTGAGGCTTTCCCATGCGATTGTCTGTCAAGAGAGGATGCGGCGTTTGTGACTTGGGCCTGAAATTCGACAGTTCAGGTACTGCCCTAACCCAGGTAGATGGTAACCGAGCGGTGTCCACCAATCCCGAAACGACCGGCGAAATGGGCTAGAATATGACGAACGATGCTCTTGCAATACATAGGACTAAAGGTCTTGCCCTTGTGACATACCAAGGTCGCGTTCTGCCGTTCAGAATGAGCGTACCCGCATTGCGATGGCATATTGCAATTTGTATACAAGCCTGTTTGGCCATTGCCCGGATATCCGAGTCCTGTGACGGTGTATCTTGATCTTTTCATCTGGAACGAGGACACAAATGTTACGACTCCGGTATGCGTGCAGTCTAGTCCTTCACTTATGTTTCTCACCAACAACACAGCTAGCGGTGGGGTTGGCGGCACCACAAGAAGAACAGGATGAGATTCTGTACGATATGGTCACTGCGAACTTCAGCTTTGCAGCAGGCGGGGTGTGCGGAGACAGCCTCCAGTTGGTTGTGTACGAGTATCAGACCGACCCAGTCCACAGTTTTCAGAGCGCCGCACCATATTTCAGCATTGTGGATTGCGTTAACGACAGAAGTGAGGTTCAGTCCGCAGGAACTGACTATGGTGACTTCCTTGCTCCGGTAGAGGGTATGTCGGTAGGGGAGTTCGATGATTCAGTAGCCATTGACTATGTACCTCAATTCCGGGGAGGCATGGTCACATATTCCGTGGACTTCGACGTTCAGCCAGGCACAGCTCTGGTCGAGGATGAGAGCTCTTGGTTGTTTGTATGTATGCGGGCTGCTCAGCTCCGGGCTGCTGATTGAGGTCGTCGTAGATCGTTCATCACCTCTCCATTTATGCGGCAGATAAAGGGTTGGCGTACTTCATGCCTACTCACTGGGGTCTCATGGGACAAGTCCGAGTAAGTACAATGATAGGGAGCCGAGCAGTAATAATCCTGATCATGAACAGTTGAGGGCCACGGTGTACGAGGTAGTATATGGCGTTTGGGTATCGTATACACGGTATCTTGACCTCAACATCGTCGAGACGACTTCCAAATAAACACCGCAGCCTGTCGCAGATGAATCCGTGCATATTCGGTCCAATTAGATGCTCGAGGGAGTCTGGCCCGTGTACATTCCATAACTGTCGTTACCAGAACGCAATTCCCTCTCTGGGAGAGTCAGAGTTGATACCGGTACCGCACCGTTCCTCGTGCAACCGGACGTGAAGGAAATGAGTGCAACGTGCGTGCCCGATGAGGAAAGACGGTCCGCCGATAGCGGATGGCCCCTTGAGCTGGAATCCGTGCATGGCAGGCAGAAATCACAGGAACGGACCACAAGGACTTGATTAAGTGGGGCGAGACGTGTCGTCGACTCCCCTCGTGCTTGCAAAGAATGATCTCTGTCTTGCTGTTCAATGCCATCGTGATGGCTGGTTCTTTGGCTACGCGTGTTCAGATTGAACCCCGCATAGGACCGAAAGGAATCGTCCTCAGCCCTCCGGGCGGAACGGTGGTCGTTCAGGGGTATGTCATCCGACCAGGCCTATGAGTCGCATTGTTGAGCAAAACGTATTGTAGCGAAGATACCTTGCAGTTTGTATACGAGCCGCTTGTGCAAGGGAGCTTTCCTGGGATTGCGACGTCATACTTGGATTTGTACATCTGGAACGAGCTGACCGACGAAACAACTCCTGTATGACGTACACTCTTCTTGCGTGTGACGAGACTTTATGACTGCTCCAGCTTGCGATCGGCTTAACCGCCACCGAGGAAGAACAGAATGGGATTCTTGACGGTCTCATCACGGCCACCTTCAGCTTCGCTTCGGGAGGGGTATGTGGTGACTACCTCCAACTGGTGGTGTACGAGTACCAGACGGGATGGGAGGCTCCGGCATACGGTTTCCAGAGTGCGGCGCCATACTTCAGCGTGGTTGACTGTCATGTGGACGGAAGCCAAGTTCAGCCGGAAGGGGACAACAGTGTAGTGTGGTTCTCCCCGTTGGAGGGCGCAACCGTAGGTGAATATGGGGATCCGCTCCTGCTCGCTGCTTGGACTTTGCATGGATATTCCTTCAATCCACGGTCCATCGACATCGATGTTCAGCAGAACCTGTACCTCGGGGAATCTGACGGCGATCAAGGCGAATGGAAACCTGTGAGTGTCGCACTGAGCCGCGGGGGAACCGAGCATTGACGCCTCCTGCAGGTCGTTCGCCGTCTCAACACATATATGGACTTCGACTACGGAGCATTTGGAGGGTATTTCCTACCCACTCACTGGGGATATCTAGGGGATTTACGCGTAAGCTCTCCAGGGGCATGAAAGTAGTACGAGTGCTTACTTCCTGCGCAGCTAAGGGCCATGGTCTACAATGAAGTGGACGGCGACTGGACCTCGTACATCGGTTATCTCAACTTCACCGTGATCTATGGCTATATTCAGTGATTGTTATGTTGGACTCGACGAATCGTGAACGATTTCTGTGATGTATGCGGGCATAGTCTTGCCCTGTAAGGGGTTCAGTCAGGGCGCCTGTTCAATATATGAACCATTCTAACATACCACGAGTCCACGAGTCCATTGCATACCAGCAAGTATGCAGTGACCACAGACATTACTGATGTCGTGTGGGTATTTGTGACAATTGCGTTCGTAAAGACATGGAAATAGGGTGATTCCCGTGCCATATTTAGGAGGGAGGACCCGAGGCCGGACGAGGGTGCATACATGTCGATCTCGCCGTATCATCCTACGAAGACCGAGCCGTCGTCCTGAACGCTTGCAAACTTCGCATGCCCCAGTGGTTTCCTGCTTCCTTCCTCCCGGCTCGCAGGGAAGTTCCGCAGGGCATGGACCAACCATTCCCTCGTCACGGTCGGGCAATACACCTTGACATACGCACAGTCGTCCTTTCTAGTATCTTGGACGGATTTCGGTCTCTTCTTCGGCCTGTCGGTGGTCGGCACTGCGAGGGACGACTTGCGTTGCGCAACAGAAGCGAGATGGGACGGTACGTAACAAATCCCCAAAGGACCACAGTTTCCCTTCTCCTGTATCTTGATCAAGAACGCCCAGAGCCTGTGTATGCTCAGAGGTGTCCATATGACCAGACCATATTCCCATTTCTCGCCCGAGGGCGAGGGATCGACGCGTCGCGGAAGGGGCCATGTGGGGGAGAGCATCGCTTGTGATACCCCGTCATATGGCGGCCTTCGGGAGATGGGGATGTACAACGTCGATCTGGCGTAGGGTGACACCTTCTCCTTTGGGTGGAACTCCTTGGGGCATGGAGGTGGGAGTTGGGGGATACGGTGAGGCGAGGGCAGGAGATGTGGCTGGGGGATGAGCGTCCATAGGTTCGGAGTGGGCAGGAGGGTAGACAAGTAGTCGGAGGTTGCAAAGTGGGAGAGCGTAAGAGAGGGAAGCTCGATAAGGTCGTCCCATGCTGGTATTGAGCGGCGAGAGCGCTCGAGCGAGGAGAGGAGAGGGGGAGGAAGAGCGTAGACGTAGGATCTGCCTACTTGCCGGAGCTTCGGAGGTTTAGGAAGGGCGGGGGTGTGCCAGCCATCTTCGGAGAGCAATGCCGTGGTCTGCTGTTTCAGAGTTTCGACTGCAGGTGGTGTTTGACCAGATGGAGCGAGATATAGCACATGTACAGCACCATCCTGTTTGACGCAGTACTTCTCCCTCTCCTCGATCAAAGATTGCGAGAGCGTCATCTCCCGGATAAGCATTTCCAACGAGCAAAGAACAGCCCTAGTCTAGCAGGAAAGCTCAGAAAACAGTTCAAGTGCAGATACTGTAGCACAGGCTATGAGATAACTCGAAGAGAGGAAGAGTCACCGTCACGTCGTCCGGCCAGGAGCGAGCGCCCACTTCTAGAACAGTAGGTCTCAGATGAGGTCCACTGACCCGCATGTATGCATCGGGACGCGTCGCGGGAGTTTTTCCGTAAAAAGCAGTCCAAACGCGTTCAAGGGGTTGACTTCCTTAGGCCTGCTCCTTTGGCCTGTTCTACAATGACGAGATCATTGTCTGGATAGTGTTCGGAGAGACTGTTGCAGATGTTCCATTGTCGAAGTCAACGCTGAATCCGCCATATTGTCGGTTCGATAACGATAAAAATACCGTTCGTGGGCTTCCATAGAAAGATCGGCGGATCGGGAGCGCTCGCCCGATAGCGGATTACGTACGCTTCTGTCACTGCTCTTCTGCTGTGCTGTTTCTTCCAAATCTCTTTGTCCTCTCGGGCTTAGGGACGACGCATCGGGCAAGTCAAATGCACAACGTTATTGTACGCCTACAAAACACGTGTACCCAATTGAGACAAGGTCAAACAGAAATGGACAAGAAAACAAAGCGGAGATACAGGCGAACATTTAATTTGTCTTTCCGAGGACAGCCGAGTGGCAGGTGTTTGTTTGATGCAGGATTTACAGAGAGAGCATCAGCCCTGCGACTGCGGCCAGGCCGGCGAGGAGGACGCTCTGCGCGGGGTTGAGCGTGAAGCTCCCAGAGGAGCTGGGGGACGTAGACGGAGACCTGTAGAAGATGTCAGTGGAAGAACACATCGGATGAATACTGTGCTAACGAAGCAGAGGAAGAGCTCGTAGTGGAGTTAGAGCCAGACGCAAGCGTGGACGAAGGGGACGAAGTTGCCGAGCCGGAGGAGGTCGCGGTACCGGGGATGGGAGCAGGGGTGACCACCACCCCCGCAGCGCCGCACGTTGCGACTGCGTACTGCTCAGCGGACTCGATATCGGCCGTGTCGCATTGCGCGTCGATGCACTGGGTGACAGCGGTGAGGAAGACGCTGGACGAGCAGAGGCAGGTGAAGTCCGTCGGGTCGCAGGTGGTCAGGTTCAGAGGGAGCATGCCGAGGCAGGTGGTCAGACAGGCTGAGGAGGTTGTGAGCTTGGGTGTACAGAGGCTTGGGTGTACATACCAGGAGGGGACTGCCTGGGGAGGAGACCTGCGAAGACGACGAGAGGTGCAGAGGCAGCGAGCAGCAGGGAGAAGCGCATCGTGACTGTTACTCGGGGAGATGGATGAAGGGAGGTGCGAATGTGACCAGAGCGAAGGGACGAGGGAGAAAGAGCGGCGACGATGGGATAGCCGGATATTTGTACGTTCTGTGCAAGTAGGCCAGGCTGGGGTCGGATCAAGCAATGTGTTTGTTGTGTTTCGTGGAGGGGAAGAGGAGAAGCAAAGGAGGGAGAGGCTATAGAGTGGGAATATAAATGGAGGGAAGGGCGCTGATTGGTCGACAATGAGGGAAATTCATATTCCTCAAGGTTGGGCCATTGCGGGTCTATTGTTCACTCTGCAACTTGCTAGCCTGGGTCTCCTGGTTTATTCAATTCGTGTCAGCGCAAGACCATCGTGCCTGCTTTTTTCTCTTCCTGTTTTTCTGGACCTGACCTTCCCACGTGCTGCGCCCCCAATCGTGCATTCCAAGCGGCCTACAATCTGCTGATGCCGACAAAGGAAGCTGCGAATAGGCAAGAAGAAAAGGGACGACTGAAGCGTGATTGGATGAATCCGCGGGTCCCCTTGTGACACACAATGGCCTAGGACCCCGTTGTCTAGGGAAACAAGGAATGTTAATGTATATGGTCTTAGCTCACCTTTGATCGCCTCTCACTTACTCACTGACTGGCCGACTACGAGGTCTCTCGGCATTGTCAGACCATCAATGAGTACCGTTTGGTCGGGAACCAGCGCAGCTTCCGAATCCAGACTCACGTAACAAATTGCCCATATAAAAGCTCAGCGTCAACAACATATCCTTTTGTACATAATCCCCATCCACTGCTTTTGTTGGTAAAACAACACTGCATCCCTCTCTCCCGGCAAGCATTGAGATAAAGACAATAATATGGGTCTAACGGCGGTGGACCCGAGCAACAAGAGAGAAGGCGGCACGAAACACTGATGAGCGGCACGATAACATCAGCTGATCGATCCGTCCCAGCATCCTTGTTCGTCCTCCCCATTCCGAAGCCGGTCATTCATTTCCCTTCTTCAGCTGTCTCTGGCCGCGCAACCCTTCTGGGCTCAACGTGCAGGGAGTTTCACCGCGGATTCCCCCGCTTCTTTGTCTAGCTTTCTGCTTCCCTTCATGTGCTTTCAGCGCTAGCGGCGGTGTTTGAGCGGGGTTAACCAGGGTCGGCGTTGAATAGCGTTTGATGCCCAGCGGGGGTTGTATCGATTTCATCCTTCGTCAACTCCGACTAGTCATCAAACTTGGGGAGCTAAAACAACCGCCGCCCAAGCTACACTTGTCTAGTGCATCATTGGGTCCCGGTTCCTAACTGTGTCGGAACGTTCGTCGTCTCTGCCAGCAGGGAACCTCACACCACCTACCCTTCCCCGAAGCGTATCCAAAAATATCTCTCAACATCATAACCCTATCCAGACTCAACGGAACGGGTCCTTTCAGGCCAACACTCCGCGGCAGGTTGTGAAGGATAAGGGGTTCGTCATTGAATCTGTCGGTTTGGGACTTTTGTGCCTTAGCTAGACTCTGGGTTCGTGTGCCTCTCGACCCAGTGGGCTGACCTGAGTTTTCAGAGGGGCCTAAGGCGCAACCGTTCGTGTGCAAAGCAGATCGCCGCATCACACCACGCCGAATCCTATATTATATTATTAGACTATTACTTCCCCAGACGGTTCACGTCTTCTTCTTGATCAGTCCCTCGGTCATGTCGAACGAGTTCCCATCCGGCTGCAGATCGATATACTCGTCCTCTCCCAACCGCGCCCTCCAAGGATCTTTGACTCGCAAAGTGCGAAGCAACCCATAATCCCTCGTAATCCCGACGATTCGTACATCCACAGGCGGGGAAACGGTGGTAAGCCTCACAAGCTGGTCGCTATGTAGCCAGTAGGTGAGGTACTCTTCTTCGAACAGGCGGAAATCGCCGTGTTGGGAGAGGAAGAGCGACCAGATGGCGTCGAATGTCGGGAGGAGGCGGGCGAGGACGGATTCGAGTGTGGGGGGAGGGGCGGAGTGTAGAGAGAGCAGGTGCTTGAGGGACGTCGTCGGCCGGGTGTTTAGTACGTTTAGCCCGCAGCCTAGTCAGGTGTCAGCTAGGTGCGAAGCGGTATGGATAAGAAGGGGGCATACCGATCACGAGCTCGAACCGTCCTTTGAGGTAATTAGTGCCTACCAGGATCCCGCCCAGCTTTCTCCTCTCCCCCCGTTCTACGATGGCGTAAACGTCATTTGGCCACTTAAGCCTCACCCTCTCTGCCGCTGCCTCTCCGCCCAGTTCTCTAAGTAGGGCTCGGCAAGCCCGGACGACAGCGACGCTGAATACGTATTGGACGAAGACGAGCCTTGAGGAGGGGAAAGAGGGGGGCGGGCGGAGCCGGAGTGAGAACTGCAGGCAGCCGGAGGGGGAGAGCCAGATGTTGCTCCCTCGGCCTCGGGCGGTGAGTTGGTAGGTCGCGAGGGAGAGGAAGGGGGAGGGGAGGGCGGTGAGTAGAATGGGGTTCCTGGGTGCGGATGAGCGATTGACTGGGGAAGGTGAAGGCGAGGGCCACGTACCGGTCAAGCAGGGTTTGGGTACTCGTTACTGCCTCACCGTAGAACATGACTTGTCCCATTCCCCACTCTTCTCCTTTCGTGTCTCCCTCGTTCTCCGCCAGGCCCAAGTCCTCCCTCACCCGCTCCAGCTCGGAGGAATACCCTTGCAGGTCAAATAACGGGCATTCAGCCTTCCCTGGAAGCCCCTCTGTATATGCGATGATCGCCCTCGGACCAGGTGTGCTGTCCAGTGCATTGTCTGGCAAGCGCGCCCTCGCCTGCGACAGGAGTGTCTCTGCTGCTGCCCGGGGGTAGAGGAGGAACGTATCATTGGCATCTTTGATTTCCGGGACTTGGGATTCGGAGGGCGAAGCGATGGATTTGAGAACCTCTAGTACGCGGCGGCTGAGCTCGGGTCTGGAGGGGGAGGAGACGAGAAACTGCGGGAGGGGTGTCGTAGGGGCCTCGGTCTGAACAGGCGGATCAAGTCCAAGCAGCCGGAAAAGAGAGAGAACGAGCGACTTTCTCGCCTGCTCCATCCCATCCCTCCCTGAGCTGTGATAGCCAGACTTGTCCAAAGCACTCTTGGCCGGCTCGGCAAGCAAGGGATACTCGACATGCGGGCTGGTGAGCAGGGCCAAACCTTGACCAACGCGGCAGAGGATCATACATATCCCCTTTTCCGGTGTCGGGGGGTTGGCATACCGCGCCAAGACAGTGACTTCTCCTGACTGGAGCACGGCGGGGGGTGGGTGGAAGTGGCCGCCGCCGTTATAGTACACCCCTTTGAGCTCCCCTGAGCTAGGTGCGTGTGTCCCCCATGCGGGGAGGTCGAGGAATATGTCCACAGCTTGTGCACCATCCTCGCTCTCGTATTTGAACCCTGGGAAAGTGCACCCCTCGCACCGTCCGGGGAAGAAACGCAGTTCCCTCTTCCCCCAAACTTCGAGTTCTGTCCCGCGCTCGAAGTCGCATTCCTCACTCGCGAAATAAGCCCCCGCACAAGCGCCTAGAAACTTCCCCCCTTCTTCTACATATTTCCGAATCTTGGGAAGTGCAGAGGAGAGGGAGGAGACGTAAGGCAGGTCGCGGCCGCCCGGGATCACGAGGAGGGCGCAGGTTGGCTGCCAGGGCTCGTTGATAAGTGCTTGGGGGAGGATGGGCTGGACGGCGTAGGCTGAGGATAGGGCGGTGCGCAGAGAGAAGAGGGTGTGGGTGAGGGAGGCGGTGGATACTCCTGGTCCGGAGTAGACTAGGACGTTCATCGCTGTTGGTCGAGGAAGAGGAGAGATATGAAATCAGATATTTCATGTCTAACCCTGACCCTGAAACCCTGATGAGATGACGTAACCATTGTTAACATGAAATTCACAATCAAATAACTGCCAACTTGCACTTGCTCGATCTATCTTTTACTGTTACTCCTGGTACATATCAAAATGACAATTATACTCAGAGCCGGACGTTCGCTCTTCACAAGACCCCATTCCCAGCTCACAAAACCTTTCACAACAAGCCTATCCAAACCGCCCAACTTCCTCCCTTCCTCGTACGAGTTCCTCATATCCAACCCCTCTACATCACCCTCCCGAGAAGCCACCATCTCAAAATTCAAAAACGCACTCCAGATACAACGCGCTCATCCCGACTTCCTCGGTGTCCCTCTCGAAGGGGTCTGCGTCGAGTTCCCAGGGCGCACGCTAAGAGTGCTAGAATGGACGAGCTACGAGGTGCCCGCCCAATCCCTATACGCCTTGACCAGGCTGACGTACCTGGACAGGGACACATGTACAACTTCCGACAAGGGCCTTCGTACCCTCTCTTTCTCAAAGCGAGAGAGGGCGCCTATCTCCGCCCTCCTCAAATGACACACTATTCCTTCCTCTCCCCCCTAACTCAAGGACCGGTGGTGGAATACATGAGCCTACCGTTGCTTTCTGCTACCCAATTCCCCACTTTCTCTAGAACGACCGCATCACTATTTGGGGAGTATATACTCCCTTCCCCTGGTGCACTCGGCTTTTCCCTTGGACAGCAAACGGAAGACCCCTCGCAAGCACTCGCCCTCCTCGCCTGGGAGGACCACAAGTCCCACACGCACAAGTTCAGGGAAAGCCAGAGATTCCCGGAGTTTAGGAAAGAGCTGGAGCGGGTGTGTGCTGAGTTTGTTAGTGGAGGGAGAGAGGGAGTGCGGATTTGGCATGTGAGGTGTTGTGAGCCTGGGGAGGGGGTGGGCACGGGTGAGCTGGAGTCGGAGAGGGAGGATTAGGTTTGGCGTCGGCGGTTGTTGTATCTCGTTGTAGGAACGCTTGTGAATGTAGACGCACATAGTGACCACGCTCCGCTGCTTTGTACGTGAATAGAAATGTATCTCCTAACTGGTTGGGTGGGTACCAACTGGAAGACCTCTACAATTGGGTTTAGCGCCTTTGATTTCTTGATTAGTTTACAGTGTCATGCTGCTATTATTCTCAATTATCATACAACCTCGAGCATCCTATCCTTATCCACAGATGCTTGATCAACGATCAAGGCACGACCCTCACAGCCGTATGGACAAACAGCGTAGAGAAAAGGTACGGCGACATCTGGACATCATGCAGCGGGAGATGGCGGTACCCCGGGCGCAGGTTAGCGAGGGACGTGACGTACACCGCGAGAGGGGCGTCGTCGTCCGTATCGGCCGTGTCGCGCACTGCGAAAGACACGAAGACGACGTCTTTCATATCACCCACGCAGTCAAACGTGAACGATAAGCGGGCTTCCCAAATCGGGCTGAAACCGTTGTCGTGCACTACTGCGGTGCGCAGGGATTGGGTTTTCGCCGTGCTACTGCTTGCGGGAGGCCGGGCAAAGGAGGTTTCTGTTAGGTTTGCTTGCCACTCGGGCAGGTGAAGCGATACTTCTACAAACAGATCAGCGGGAGCCTTTCCACCCGCTTTGTTCAGCCGAGCCTCGTCGCCTTTGCGAGGCAACTGTTGGCCAGAAATGATAGTTACGGCGAATTCGAGCTTCTCCCGCTTTGACAGAAGCGTCTTGTCCTTAATCCGTAGAGCGGGCGGCTTGAGCACATACCCACACCGACCGTTCCGGTTGAACATCGCCGAGTTGATCATCAGGCCCAAGTCGGGTGTCTGCCAATTGAGAGCAACAAGCTGAGCTCCGGATGCCCAGAATTTGTGTGGCTCAAAGTTTGTAGATGACAGGCGCGTACCGGCTGGGTATATGCGCGTGAGGTGCGACCGGTTGTGTTTGATAAGTTCACACATGCTCGTGCGCATGAGCTTGTTAGCGGCGCGTTCTGAAAGGGAGAACATGTGCTCCACAGCGTAGTGCTCTTTCTTGTTGAGACCTCGCCAGCGAACGCCGACGGTGTAGACGAGCAATGCCAGGAGATGAGGGGACATTTTCGGAGTCTGGCTGGTGGATGGCGGAAGGGACGGCGCCTCGGATGGTAGAGGTTCCGAAACAATCTGGGAGCCTTCTAAGATGGATGACCTTGGAGACATTTCTTCCCCTGCATTAGAGGCTGAATCGGAAGAACTTTTTTTTAGTCGCATGGGAAGAAAATTCGTTAGCATAGACTTGTTGTTTGGCGAGGTCAGGGGGGTGTAAACTGGGGGCGGCGTTGGAGGTAGTGCATCCGGATCTGACAATGAGCTCAATTCAGTGGCCGAAATCTCTTCCTCTGTTGATATTGTTTTCAATTCTATCTGCTGAACCTCTCCGCTTGATGATGTTGTGATGTAGATATTCTTCGCCTTCAGAAGAATGCGATATTTGAGCTCTTCTGGACTTGGCAGGTGTGTTAATGGCTGCTCCGATAAGTGTGTTTGAATCAGCATATCCCCAAAGATGCCCTTCATGATCTCTACTACCGCATCCTGCTGCTTGAGGCTGAGGTGGATTTCGGCGGAAATGATGACAGGGTATGGGGATGCCACGAACGCGTACTTGGCAATTGCATGACAGACATCCCGTACAGACACGTTCGACGTGAGGGTTCTGCCGTGGGTGACGATTGGATCCAGGTCACCATCGTACAGATCCACTGTAATCAGATAAGCTCTTCTTCAACTACCAGACAGCATATACGCATACTTTCGACAGTTCGGCATCCACTAAGAAGCGCACGTATATATCCTTCGACCGAAGATTCCCCGACCAATTGATGTCCGATAAGATAAGTATTATGTGATGATGATATGAAGTATTCTGCAAGTGGTCGATCCATCGGGTGCGTGACGACCGTCGAGGAATCGACCATGGGGGAATTGTCTAGTGAGAGAAGAAACGAACTGAAAGATGCGATGGAGAGATGCAACGTGTTTTCGGGCATGAAAGCGGGAGGTAGGGGTGTGCTAGTGCGTGTTGGGAATTCATCGGTTGTATTAGGGGCAGATAAGTAGTGTATGGCGTAGCGTTCGAAAATAGTGCGAAGTCCTTCCTCCGATCGAGTGTCCTGTGACCATGTCAGATAAATGTTGTTAACAAAAGCGTGTGACATACCTCCTGCGACATCCGCATGAAATAGAGGAAGACATCCCACGTGAATGCCGCAGAATTGCATTGCTGAAGCAGATGCTTATAGATCCGTTGTACTTCGGGCCTGCGTCGAAGGAGGGCGATGAACCTCTGAAAATCTGGAAAATCGAGCGAGCCACGATGGGTAGTGTCAGCCTCCTCAAACATTCCCTTGAGGTCGCTTTTGGAGCTATTGACACTCAATCGCGCGCATAGTGCCTCTATCTCTCGGAACTCCAGGTATCCAGAACGGTCTGCGTCCGCGCTCCTCCAGCAACGGCGCAGCCATGCCTTGCGTCTTCTCTCCCACGCATCCAATACGTCGCTCGTCTTCCCGTCAGAGTGGCTGCCATAACTCTCGTCCAGACCGATCGTCAAAGGGAGGGGGAGACCGAGCATCTCACGTCTCTCCCTCACAAGGGCTCGGAGAGTGATTATCCACGTGTGCCGCAGTTCTGCGGTAGGCGCGATCAGGTTGAGAGCACGGTACTTGCCTCCCATGACGTAGATGATGGAGATGAAGTACGGGTTGTGTAAGCGATAATAGGCTGCTGTCCCTGCTGATAAGGGTCCATTTGTGCGAATTTCCTTGATATTCTCGATTACCACTAAAAGAAAAACATGAACGATAGACGAGAAATCCGCTGAATCGGCACGCACCAATTCCAGACTTCTTGGACTCCCAGAGGATGAGTCCACGATCTGGGTCAATCCTGAAAACACGTTGCTTGATGTTCTTCGCGTTGACTTTGAGCAAAGCGACCCCAGTAACCAAGAGCGACGGTACGTGTACCTCTTCGCTGTCGAAAACATCGTCGTTTTCAGTGTGGAACACGTTTTCATAGCCTGGCGGTGCAGCACGGGAATCAAGAGACCCGCTCCTAGAACGCAGTGATCGCTCGCGGCTCTGCGTTCTGCGCACTCGGTCGATGACCAAGCTCTTGACCGCGTTTGCAAGACCGGAATCGCTCAGTCGCCTCTTCTCTGACCTTGGAGACCTTCCCTGAGCCTCTGAAAGAGAGACGAGAGAATCCATGTGTAGCAAAACAGCATTCTTCAAGTTGGACGCAAGAGGGGCGTCGCAAGAGCCCGAAGATGAGAGATAGAGACCAGCCGCAAGTCATTCGCCCGCGGTCGTCCCGCCCTAAATATTAGACCAGAACACCCGTGAGTCCGCGGCGAGTTAATCGACTTCATTTAGTTGCTTCCGCTTCGGCTCCGACCGGCATGCCATGCTTCGGCGATAAGACGCCTGCTCAACGCCACTGTTGGAAAGGCGTTCCTCGTCGACATCTACACCGTGCACAATGTCCTCCACGCCCGCCCCGGCGGCGTCGACGCCCGTATCTAGTGATTCTATCGTCGCGAAGAAGGTGAGAATATTTGATCAGATGATATTATCATTCCTCATTTTCTCGCTAGTACGACCGTTGCTTGGCCGACCTCCTCGTCAAATCGTAATGTCCTCACCCGGAACACTCTAAGCTCCATCTAAACCTGCTCTCTCTAGTGGCATCGGGTTCTCAGTCGGTGTCGTGATCTCCGTGCTGCTCTTCAGGCGTGCGTCCCCTCCCCTACTAAGCCGAACCAATTAGCCTGATCAACATCTAGGTCGCGCATGGCCCATCTCACTCACGACGGGCATTGGCGCCGGCATCGCCTATGCCGACTGTGACCGGTCGTTCAACCCTGCCCGCGTATCCGGCACACGTATATTACCTGCTTCTGCAGTACCCAAATCTTCCTAATTCACCTGTTGGCGAGTATGTACAGAGGAGGAGGAAGCGGGAAACAAGGACGATTTCCCAAAAATGGCGCAGAATAGACCACGTAATGCCATGATGCATATACCTCTTTAGATGCTGCCTCAGGCTATATGAGCCAAATTCCCAAAGAGGTTGCTCTACTCTCTTCGACGTCTTGGGTGACCTGTGTCCCAATATGAAGCTTCGATAGCTTGAGAACCTTCATTGGCAAGGTTGCTTGGGCTTTCTTGGAAAGGGCACGTTGCAAACCTCCATTCCACAATATAGACAGAAGGAACACATTGTTCCTGTCGCACTCAACAAGAAGCTGAGCAACGTGCAAAATTACATGCATCCACACCAACACAGTTCAGTCCTCTTCCTGTTCCCTATAACCCAACACCCTCTCCCCTTCCCTCCCCACTCAAGCCGACCCCTCAGGCCTTTTCGCCACCCCCCTCTCCTTCTCACTCACTAACGGATCCCCAATCTTGCCGGGCGGCGTACCCCCCAGTTTTGCCCATTCCGTCCTGCGCTGTTCCTCCCCGAGCATCATACGGCGATACAATATATCTAGCCAAAGGGTCAGCGTCTCCCCACTACTTGGGACAACATCCTGTAGCGGAAAGGAAGGAAGGGAGGAGGAGGGTGGGGCGTACATCCACAAACGACAACCAAAGGTAAGCTAACGACGATCACTCTCAGTCTTCCGATCCTCGCTTCAGCCTCGAGTTCCGCATACGTCGGGGGAACAGAGGGATCTCGTTTCGGGTTTCGGAGGAAGGTGCGGCGCGCCCCCTGCGCGAGAGGAGAGGAGAGGACACGGTGCCGGAGAGAAGGGAGAGAGAGAGGGAGACGTGGTGACATGATCTTGTCGAGCGTGGTTCAAGAGCGCAAGGATTTCTCTGCTCGACAAATGACCGGTGCCGTAAGAAGTTCAAGTCGGACCCTTGGCTATATCCGAGTGTCCACGCCCTCAGCTCCCAGTAATACAGTTTTTAGATTACACGAAGACCATACAAAGCGACGAGAAATTTGTAGTGACCATCCCCTACCTGGCCTGACCTTGCCTAGCTGAAAACCAAGCCGAACCTAACTAAAACTACTTTGGGAGAAGAGTCAAATAGACCACAAAAGATACCGTGAAGAAACAGGCAGATCCGGCCGGAGGGTCCATAGATGTAGTATCGTGCAGAGGGATAGAAAGAGGAAGACGAAGGAAGTTAGCACTTGAGGAAATTACCGACGACCATGACGGGGATACCGTACAAGTCCCGTCGTATGGTGAACGAGAAGCAGCAATTGATGAACCTCTCCTGTTTCGGTTGTTCCTCCCTCAACTCCCTCGCTCTCTCCCGGTCCCGATCCCGTTTTCGCTTGCCGATAGATGTGGGGGGTCGGGTGTTTCCTGCAGCAGAGAGGTTCGGCTTGTAGCGCAGGACGCAGGTGGTGAGAACCGCCTTTTGCGCAAGGTCGAACGCGATTTGGCCGTATTTCTGTGCGAGGTCAGCAGGCGCACACACTCCATATGGGAAGCGACTAACCTCCCAGTAATTGACACTCGACTCCTCAGCCATCAGCTCATAAATGCACAGTCTGCCTTCGCGCATAAGCTCATGCGGTAGCCCGACCAGATCCGCAAACTCCTTATTGCCCTTGTATATCTCGCCCGTCCTCCGCCAGAGACACGCCGGTACGCCCATGACGGAGAAGACGCGGTCGTAGTCTAGCAACAGGCGCTCAAACGCTTCCTCGATGAAGACAAGGTCAATATCCCGCAACCCTTGAGCGATGGCGCGAAACGCAGGGCGGAAGGAGGACAGTGCTTGCTGGATAGCGGTCTTCGATTCGGGCGAAACACTGCAACCGCTCAGCATCAATTGTGCATGTATGCGCAAAACTTACTGTTTCTCCATCCACCGCGTCAACCGTTGATACCCCACAACGTAGTTGAACGGTCTCAACAGGCCAGCCTCGTACTTGGCCCTGATGACCCTGGCAAGCCGTTCATCTCTTGTCCCCGGTTCCTGGTCGGCAGCAGTAAGCAGATACCGCTCATCTTTGGTCGCCCCCGGGATGGCAGCAAGGAGCTCCACTTTAGCCTGCTGCTCGCTGGTAGACGCGTGCTGTGGCTGTGGGGAGATGCCGTCCACTACGGGCGTCTGCTGCGACTGGTGATGATGGAAGTTGACGCCCGTGGTAGAAGTCGCCGATTGAGGGATAAGCTCCGCTCCCACGCCGTACCCTCCTAGATCCGCATGACTCTGGGCCCTTGTTGGGCTCGCAGTAGGACGGGCCGAGTCTAACGGCGTCGTCGTCGCTCCCCCTTGTCCCAGACTGCCAAGTGACGGTAGTGTGGGCGTATTGGTGAAAAACGTCCGATCGTCAAGCGTCTCCAAGAAGTCACTGACGTAATCCCACACGCGTAAGATGTTGGTTCCCGACTATTCGGGAAAAAATGCATTACGCGCACGTACCTTAGCACGTTAAACTCGCTCCCAAGAGTCTCGCTCGCAAACATATTTCCACCTTGCATGAAATCCCACGGGTTGTTCTGCTGCACCATAGTTCCAAGGCCGTTGATGAACGCTATCCCAATGATCAGCACATGCACAGAGTAAGCGCGCGCGTGCCCACGTTGCTGCCCTATGATCCCACTCGATCCACCCACAGCGCTCATATCCAACGGCGGTGGTCCAGGGAAAATCGGACCAGCCGCCTGGGACGTCGTTGTTACCGCAGAAGCCGGTGGTGTGTCTGACTGTGATTGTTTCCCGTTCGTAGACAACGTCGCTTTGGGATCGTCGTGGCACAAATGACCGATCTCGCGCTTGATACTGTACGACGAATCAGTTCACCATCCAGTTTCACTTTCACCTTCAAAAGCGCACCATCGCTGACACGGTCTCCCTATCGAGTCTTTTAGCGTTTTTCATAACATAGAGGAACATGCTCACCCTCGTCACACGTCATATGGCTCCTTCTGCAGTACAAGCACGCATGACCGACTTTCTTCCGCTTGAGCGTGCCATCCTTTTTCAACTTCTTCTTGGGGCTGTTCGAGTCCTCATCATCGTCCCTCTCCGGAGAGTCCGCTATGCCGTCTCTCTGCTGTTGCTGTTGATGTTGCTGGAGCTGTTGTTGTTGTTGCTGATGTAACACTTGCTGTGGTGAGAGCTGCATAGACTGTTGCGGGGAGAGGGAGTGTTGTTGTTGTTGCTGTTGTTGAGGTGTTGATTGCTGAGACTGGGGTGTCTGCTGTTGCGGTGACATGTACAGTCCTGGCTGGAACTGGCCATACTGCTGCGCGTAGATGTCGGTGCCCGCGAGCTGCATTGTCGAGTCTACCGACATGGCGGGATCGGGGGCGGGGGCGGTGGGGAAAGGTGGAGTAATATATTGATGAGATGATGTGGAGATCTAGGAAGGAAGATGAGAGGAACGGAAGCGAGCGGAGTGGCGGGGGAAGGAGGAAGTTGGGGAGGGGGGAGAGGTGCCGGCGGAGAGGGATACGAGACAAGGAAGGGGAGAGAGGGTTGAGAAGAGAGGATGAAAGAGAGGTAGGTCCAGGCTGTTGGTGGGGGTCACGCTCTCTTTCCTCCAATACGCCCTCGGACGTACGGCAGGGGTCATGCCTTCTTCTCTCTTTCTCAGCCAAGCGCGTTCACGCTCATGTCAGCACTGACAGGTCATACACACAGCCACGTGAGACTATGTGCTCAATTCATGGGGGGAGCAGCTCACGGGGTCCCGATCGTCACCTCTGAAAATGACATAGCCACTAAGGAAGAACTATCCACTCGGCAGGTCACAATTACAACAATTGCCATATTAATAACAGGAGAGAAATTGATGAATATACAGTTTACCACAGCGAGATGTCCACCTTCTCTCGCTTGCGCTCAAAGAAGTGTGTTCAAAGGGTCTCGACCATTCCCAAGCCACAATTCCATCCGTTCAGCGCGGGGTTAGCCTCCTATCCAACCCAAGAGCCGCCCGCCCCATATCACCTGCCATATCACATCTTTCTCAATAACAGTCCAAGCTGCCGGAGTCGCGGAGCGCCCATGAACGAGAAAAAAGTTGCCGGGCGCTTGATGGCTTGATGGCTTGTTGCCGACATACGGGGATCGGCGTTGGCTAACCGCGGCATGGGGAGCCGACTCCGAACCTCCGACCGGCAGTTGACCTTTCTCGGCCATGTCCGTCCTACCGCGGGTACTGTCACTGCTTACATCTGGATCTGCTACAACAATGAATACTTGCTCATAGTCTGGGACAACCTCGGACAAGCCCAAGAAGAGCCTTCCCTCCGGCTCTCGGGCCAGCTAGCAGGAGCACTATATAGTTCTCTCGGACCTCCACTCGCCGACCCGATCCGACTCGGCCCATCGTCCGCTGGCTTCACGCTTCATTTAATACGACGTGCACGCCCGGTATTCGCGCAACCGTCTTTGCTGTCTGTTCTACTCTTTCTGTCTACGAGAAATCTGCTTTGAGACTTGATAATCTGATTATCGCTCTTGCTACTGCTGGAATAAGATGGCACCTATCGGACTCGCGCTTATCGGAGGTGGGATCTTTATACAAGAAGGTACGTTCCCCTCACTCCCGCTCACCAACCCGCTAACGCACCCCAGCCCACCTACCCGCAATCCTCAGTCTTCCCCCATCGACCGTGCACATCGTCGCGCTCTACTCGCGCACCCTCGCGAGCGCCACCGCTGCCGTAGAAGAATGCTCCAACTTCGGGCTCGGAACGCCCGCTGTGTACGCCGATGATACCCCTAACGACCTCTCCGCTCTCCTGAAGCGAGAGGACGTACAGGCTGTGATCGTTGCTGTCCCTATCCCCAACACGGGGGAGGTAGTCATGCGCTGCCTGGAGGCGGGGAAACATGTGCTGAGCGAGAAGCCTGTTGGGAAAGACGTAGCAGAGGGAATCGAGCTGATCAAGAAATACGAAACACTCTACAAGCCCAAGGGACTCGTACGTCTCTCCCCAACAAGCGATTGCGCGCACTAACGAGTTTCAGATCTGGCGCGTCGCCGAGAACTGGGAAGTCGAGCCCACCTTCAGGTTCATCAAGTCTTCCATCTCGGCAGGCAAGATCGGTGCCATCCAAACATTCTCCCTTACCTCGATAAGCTACATGCCCCCTTCAAACAAGTGGCTCGGTACACCTTGGCGGGCGAAGCCTACGTATCAGGGCGGGTTCTTGCTCGACGGAGGCGTGCACCAAGCCGCGTTCTTGCGCACCGTACTCCCCTCACCTACCGTTAGCCTCTGCGGATACGCGACGCTGCAGAACGAACACTTGGCGCCGCATGACTGTATACATGCGGCGCTGAAATGTGCTGATGGGGCACAGGGGTTCTTTAGCCTTAACGCTGGTGCTAGTGGTTGGGAAGGCAGGGGAGGGGGGACGATGATCCTGGGTAAAGAGGGGAGTGTGGAAGTCCAGTTCTTTGAGAAGGAGGGGAAGCAGTGGATTAGGGCTGTCTTGAGGGCGGGAAAGAAAGGAGAGCAGAAAGAGGAAACGTTCGAGTCCCCCTCGTGCGGTGTTGCTGAAGAACAGAAATTCTTCTTCGAAGCCGCGAACGGGAAGAAGGAGAACGGTGTGTACTCGTTTACATTCCCTTAGGAAGACAGGCTGACGCGCAACAGACTTTGGCAACCCCCGTGGAACACTCGAAGATGTGGCGCTTATTCAGGCTGCCCTGACGTCTGAGGGGAACAAGATCGAGTTCTCCCAGCTTATTCCCAAGTTCTGAGTTTGCATGTGCTGATTATGTTGTATTCCTGGACAAGAACAAATGAAGATCCGTGTAGCCTGCGATCTATACCACGGTAGGGTGAATGAGAGCCTCACGCCTGCTTCTGCATATAGGGCACGATCACCTCCCTCACGTAGTCCTCATAAGAATGAAGCTTCACGCCGAGCCTCAGCAGTCTCTCCGATGGTACAGCCTCCTCATACGCCGGGAACTGTTCATCGACCCATTGATACATCTACGCGTGTGTCAGTATGTACGTCGTACGCAGTATTTCCACAGCGACGGAGGGAGCGTACCGCTTTGAGCATCGGATGGGCATTAGGACCGTCAGTAGGCTCGTCCCGTACATAGTTCACGTCTTTCCCCGTCACTGTTCCCGAGTCAGCAAACCCTCACTCAATCAAGTAAACCCCACCTCGGCGGATAATCTCCACTTTCTCCTCTCCCGAGGTCTCATAGCTCACTAACGGGATCGGACCTGCCTGCATCGCCCGCCTCGATTCCAAATCTTCCCAGCGGTCGATAGCAGCGACCACGCTTGGTCCTAGGTCGCGCTCTATGTCTGTCACAGCCGCGGGGACGGAAGCGCGAACCCAGGGGTAGTGGAGGTGCCATTTGCTGGGGTCAGACGGATCGCGCCTCAGTTGGCGGAAGGTGGTTGTACTGCAAGCGGTGGGTGCCCGTGAGTAGGGTTGCGCGAGGGAGGGAAGGGACGTACTTGCTCACGAATGCGCCTAACTTGAATATCACTGCTGGCTGGGAGACGGACTTGATGTACTTGTCCATCTCGGCTTTGTCGTCGAACGCCCTGGGGTGTATCAGTCTCGTTCAACTTGCAGCAGGCGAATACTCACTTGACGACGTATTTCCCCCCTGAGGATTGGGAGACGTGGGGAAGAGAAGACCAGACGAAGAGGGGGACGTCATTCGCCTTGCAAGCATCCACGATATTTACCCCTTGCTCGTAGTCGCTCGGCAAGTTTGGGACGAAAGGGGCGTTCGTCACTCCAAATACCTGAATATCCCATCTAAGCACATCGGCGAAGTGGAAGTAAATGGGACTCACAGCATAAGCGCCCTTGAAAGCATCTAACAATGAGGTCTTATTCGTCTGTTGACCAGGGACCATCTCCACCCCCTGGGCGGTGAGCGCTTTCGCTGCTGGGGAGTTTACATCACGCGTTAGTCCGCGGATGGCGAATCTGCGAGCCGCAAGGAGGGCATTGACGACAGAGCTGCCTTGATTGCCGGTCGCTCCGCACACGACGACAAGTTTCATAGACATCGGGAAATCAAACGAATGAGATGTTATGAGATGTAGGGGGCTTGATACGGCGGGTACCGCCATTTATAAGCCTCACTCCGAAACGCGCAGCGGCACCCTTCGGAAATGGCGCAGCACAAGTATCCAAAACAATCGGATTGATCCCAGACATCAGCGAAAAATGAACAAAGCTTTGTATTTGACGACAGCACAAGTGGACGTATAGTAGATGAAGAAGCGCTCGGGGCGTCGTTTACGCCGCGCGGCGGAATGGAAGCGAGAAACCGCGGAAGGGTCAAGCCGCCCATAGGGACCAGCGTGCCTGGGAGAGATGACGGCATGTCTGGATTCTCTGGGACCGCTTTATTTCGCCTATATCAAAGAGCAGAAGCAGAGCCGTATGGCAATCAATAAAACCTGTTCATTTCAGGTATTCGTCTAGAGATACACACTACCAACATATGGCCCCATTGTATGGGTTATCGAAGGGACGCTCACTGGCTCGCCAACCACGGAAGGGCGTTCTCGCGGACATAGTCCTCATAAGTGTGGAACTTGACGCCGAGCTTGACCAGAAGTGGGGAAGGCACTCCACCGGGGTACTTGACGTAGAGGCCATCCACCCACGCATACATCTGTCCGTTAAGTTAGTCGATGTTCAAGTAACTGGAGAAAAGCATACTTGTTTCAGAGCTGGGTGAGCGTTGAAGCCCTCAGTCGCTTCCTCGCGGATATAGTCGCACTCCTTTCCGGTGACTACACCAAAAGTTGAGTGAGTCATAAACCGCGAGCGGAAGGGATGTATTTCCCCACCTTTGCTAATGATCTGCGCCTTCTCCTCGCCGGAGATATAGTAGCTGACCATTGCGATCGGCTCTTTCTGAAGCTCCCGCTTGAGTTCAGGGTTCTCCCAGTTGTTAATAACCGCAACGACACTTGGGCCGAGATCACGGTCCACGTCGGTGATGTAAGTGGGAGAAGTCCCACGCACCCAAGGGTAGAAAAGGTGCAGCTTCTCCGGATCCTGGGAATCACGTCGCAGCTGACGGAAGTTGATTGTGCTGGCGGGAGAGTGAGACATTTATAATGAGAAGGATGGGAAAGATGCACTTGCTCACGAAGCCACCGGTCTTAAGGACCACTGCCGGCTGTTCCACTGATTTGATGTACTTGTCCACTTCGGCCTTCTGGTCGAATGCCCTACATTTATGTTACCGAATGTTCGCAGTGAAACGAAACTGAGTAGAACACACGTCACCATGGTGTACTTGCCGCCAGACGACTCCGAGACGTGGGGCAGGGAAGACCAGACAAAGAGCGGGACGTCGTTCGCCTTGCAGGCATCCACGATGTTCTTGCCTTGATCGTAGTCGTTAGGCGGACCGGGAACGAATCCAGGAATCGTCACGCCGAAGACCTAATGTTGGAGGATCAGCTTAATCACGCCTCCTGAAGAAAGAGCCGTACAGCATATGCCCCCTTGAACGCCTTCAGAAGAGTGTCCTTATCCGCAGGAAGTCCAAAGACCATTTCCACCCCCTGGGCAGCGAGCGCCTTGGACGCAGCCGAGTCGACATCTCGCGTGAGGCCGCGGATAGCGAACCGCCCGTCAGCGAGGAGAGCTTTGACGACAGATCCACCTTGACCGCCAGTAGCCCCGCAAACGACGACAAGCTTGTTAGACATCTGGTCAGAGGTAGACAGGTAAGTTGTAGGTGAGTTCGAGATTCGTGGGTGGGTTGTGAGCTTGAGATTTGTGTAGAGCAGCCAGTTGTCACTGGCACATATTTATACGCATGCGCAGGTACCGGGGCCCCATCGTGGCCATGGACCAACAAATATCGTGTCACCGGGCATCATCAATTCCATGTGCGATGATTTCACTCTCGACCAAAGAAATGAACTCTACGAGCCAAACTGCATTAGGACCACCTCAAAGATGACCAAGATGCTTACATCAGGTATGAACGAGGGCCCTGGGCACACACCCATGAAGGCCTGGTCTCATGGGGACTCGTGAGGGGAAGAACGCACAGCTTATCAGGCCACGTGCTGGATATTCCAAGGGAGGGGAGGGGCATGGGTTGGGGGGATGCGGTGATAGGCGCTAAGCAATTTGGTAAGATACAGCTCATGGGAGGCTTGCAATAACAGTTAGGGTTGCCTTCTTGGGACAGACTAAAAACACTTCGCAGAAATGAAGCGCGTAGGAATCGGATCTTCGATGGCTTAGATGATTAATACTACAAAAATAAAGTCGAAGTAGCCGCCAGTTTGTCGGCCCGAAATTACGTGTTTGCGAGCCGACCGGATCCAGAACCAGTTGGAGCGCAACACCTAGTAGAACTAGAGGCATTTGACAGGTCTAGGACATTCTTAAGGAGTTGCCTGTCATTAAGAAATTACAAGTTAGGATTGAGTGAACCTGCAAAGCCGTGAAATGTGATAGGCGGATCCGCGATCATGATCGTCCGCGACAGAGTGGAGCGCGTCGCGCAGGGGCGCCCGACCCTCCTCCCTTCGTTCGCAGCCTGTAATTACTCAAAATGACCCGGACTCGCAGCTCTACTACTCCAGTGAAGAAGAAAGAGATGCCAAAGCGCGTTGAGAGCGCGTATTTTAAGAAGGGCGGGGCGGGGAAGCGAACTTCGATTGGGGGCTCTACTAGGCCTGCCAAACGCGCGAAGGTGATGAAGGACGAGGAAGAGGAAGAAGAAGACGAAAGCGAGCCTGCAACAGAGTCTGATGACGATGGGGATAATGAGGACAACTACAAGGATGGACATGAAGACGAAGATGATGAAGAGACTGCGTTGAGTGATGCTCTCGATGACTCAGACTTCGAGGAGAAGGCTGCGCGTAAAGCGAAGAAGAGCAAGCCAAAAGCGAATGGAAATCGGAGTCCAGCAAAGTCATCGCCTGTCAAAGGGAGAAATTCGGAGAAGTTAGATGGATTGGAGGTCGTTGGTGAGGTGGTGGAAGCGCCGAAGACAGGCCGAGGTGCGTTTGTCGGCATTGTCAGAGACCCCGAGCCGATGCTGAGGATGCTCAAGTACTGCCCGGGTTGATATCCCAGAACACGTTGGACTTCTTGGCGCATATGAAAGATCCAAAATGTAATGACCGAGAATGGTGTGTCTATATCCGTTGTTGGAATCCTACGAGCGCTGATTGCCGATCTAGGTTCCGACTACACGAACCGGTCTACAGGTTGGCAGAGAAAGTGAGCCTTGTCGTACTCCACGATGGGTCTGATATCTTATTCATCATGGCTAGGAATGGAAAGACTTTATGGAGAAGTTGCTCGAGAGAGTGAGCGAGGTGGACGACGAAGTTCCGCCTCTTCCGCCGAAAGACGTCATCCACCGCATCTACCGTGACGTACGTCCTACTCCCTCCACCACGCTAAATCTTCTGACTCGCCACGGACAGATCCGTTTCAGCAACGATAAGACACCGTATAAGGTGGGCTTCTCGGCTACCTTCTCAAGGAGCGGGAGGAAGGGGATCTTCGCGAAGTACCACATGTGAGCGATCTCCCCGCACCTCTCCCGACTTAAACTGATCGAGAAACAGTCACATTCAGCCCGGTGGTAATAGCATGATCGCCTGTGGGTCATGGTGTCCTGGCGTAAGACTCTTTTCCCCCATTCATCTGATCTTCTGACAGCATCGCCAGAAAAATGAACTCGACTCGATCCGCCACCATATCAAGCACAACCCATCCCAACTGAGGCAGATCATCTCCTCCAAGGCGTTTGTCAAGCATTTCGGACCACCGAAACCAGATCCGAAAGGGAGGAGGCAGAATGTGTTCGGGAGGGAGGACGAATTGAAGACTGCGCCGAAAGGGGTAGACAAGAATCATAAGTATGCTCCGATCCGATGAGCAAGGAGATCTCTTGACGGATACTCAGGGATATCGATTTGCTGAAACTGCGGAGCATCGCAGTCCACAAGTTGTGAGCCCGTTGATTTCAACCATGAATGCCCGGTTGATCTGCGGTCCAGGTTCACTGACAAAGAAGTCCTTGATAAGAAGTTCATAGACAACATTTGCGAAGTCGTAGCAGAGATGAGACCGTTTGTCCACTGGTATGCCGTGCTTCTGATTCCTAACTGTTGGCTGACCATGTCCAGTTTGAATGATTACTTGACAATTCCGGTAGAAAGCGATGAAGACGAAGACGAAGATGAGGAGTGATCTCGTTCTTGATTTCTTTCGAAGTTTCTACCATAAGTTTATGTGCTTTGTACGACTCGATCCGGTTTGGGTATCTTGTATTCGGCAGCATTTGGCTTGGATTATGCATTTGCGCCTCTTGTAGTACAGTCCGCTCAATACTCTATTACTTTCACCTTTCCGTCCTTGAACTCTTTGGCCCACTGCATGATATGTCAGCTCTCGTCAGAACTCGCAACAATAGCACACACTAATTGTGAGGGCACAGGCCTGTGAGGGGCAGCAAGACGATGCTGTACCAGAACACATTTAGTCAAGGTTTAACGTGAGGTGATGGGCAGGACAAACCTCATGTTCCGCGCTATACCTGAAAGCAAAATAGCTGATCACGGCGCACCCGCCGATGACGACGGCGGTGTTGGTAACCCAGTTCTTAGGGCGTGTCCACCAGCCACCTACATGACGAGGAGATCAGCATCATATATGCTGCAAGTAAAACAAAACGCACCGGCTGGTGACCAGACATGTTTTGGGTACGGGAACTGGCCAGGAGGGAGATGATGATGTCCGTGTTCCACCGGAGCATGTCCATGTCCGTGACCTTCAGCCTGTTGGTATTATAAGTAACGTTACATACAAGCATCATGAGCAAGGTATACCATTGTAATAGTCGGACTTGGACGTTGATGAGGAGCAAGCGGCGGCGCGCTGAGCGGTAAGAAGGACGATCTGCTCCCGCCGGCTTCTCTGGTCTTCGAGCCCCAGGCAATTGCCGGCCAAACGCACACGCACACGCTGCGAGCCCATCATCTCGCCTCCCATCTCTCAATCACGCGCAGTACTGAGCAACAACCGCCATACCCATACATTCACTATCATCTTATGGTCAAAACATGTTCACGAAAATAAAGAACTATGTGTATGAGAGGCGGAATGCTATTGGTGCGGTTGCCGGAGTGGCGGCAGGCGTCTATGTTGTGAAGGAGTATATAAGCGACAGGCTTGCTGAACTGAGAGAAGGGGTGATGGAAGATATGGAGGCGAAAAACAAGTACGCTGTTTTACCCTCGGGTCGTCTTTGGAAGCTGACTATAAGGAATTTGTAGTTTACGAAAACGATTCGAACAGAATCAGGACGACTGTGCATTTATCGTCGAAGCGCTTCTCCCGACATTTGCTACAGACATACTACGAGAAATGGATGTTGAGCGCATAACCCAACAGCTCAGCTCTATGAGAGACTCTTCCCGACTCAGCATGGAAAGTTCTGTCTCTGTCTCCTCTGTTGGTCCTTCATCACAAGGCTCCCCTACAAGTCCCACCTCTCTGCCTGAGCGGGGTCGACCACGCCAGCCTCAGCCGGCGGTGGACACTACTATCATGGCACCTATAATGCCTGTTTTGTCCGGTGCTACACCAGCGGGCGAGCATCCGCCTGTCCTGCTTGAGCAGAGTTATGCCAGCGTCACCACAACGACGACCGAAAGTGGAGAGAGCTGGGTGCAGCAGTTCGAGGCATCACGTGTGGTTGACCCTGGAAGGCCAGAGGGGCCTGAAAGGAACTCCAGTTTGAGCGTTAGGGGACACAGCCCGCCTTATTCCTCAAGCGCGGACCACAGCGGGGAGGAGGGAAGCGTCATGACAGGGAGCATGATCAGTGCGGGAGGGAGCGAAGGGGAGGTATCAGGTGTGGTGCGTTGCGTTTCGCCGTTAATCTTCGGATGAGAAACTGAGAGGGATCAGTTTATCCCGAGTGTGACGGTCGAGAGCAGCGACGAGGCTAGCGGGACGGAGAGTAGACCACCCGTGAGAAGACAGACGAAGGCAGAACTGTGGAACGAGATGAAGGTGTTGAGTATGTGATGTATCCTGCTTTGGGGCCCCTTCTGATGATATGACAGCCTTTACTAGACTACTCACGATCATCTATACGACCTCCCTGCTGACGCTTCTTTCCCGTGTTCAGCTCAACGTCCTCGGTCGACAGAAATATGTTGATCATATCATTCAGCTCGAAGCGGAGTCACGTGCTACTGGCCGTGATCCAATCATGGAGCTGCTATATGCATGGATGTACGGCGACGAGTCGCAGCTATGGCCGGAGCAGTGGGAGAAGGAAGGCGTTGACAGGGAATGGATGACCCCTGAACTTGAAAGACGATATCTCACCTTCTCTTGGTGGCTGTTGCACGTTGGGTGGAAGGAGGTTGGGGAAAGGGTGCGAAAAGCGGTCGAGGCCGTTTTCGAACCGTGAGTGGTCCCCCAAAGACGGTTCGGCCTCGACGCATTGACATGCCGAGCAGGGTTTCACCCCGACAACGGCTGCGACCGGAAGAGGTGGAGAGACTCATAGAGGAAGTGCGGAAACGCGTCGAATTCGATGCAGAAGAACGGACGAAACGAGTAAAGTATGTCGCCATACTTTTCTACTATCTCGGGAAGAAACGTAGGCTAACTGGTCGCGGATAGTTTCCTAAGTATTCTGCTGCCCTCCACTGCGGCAGATGCATCCTACGTGCTGTCTCAAAATGGGCTCTCACCACCCGAGCTGGAACCCTATCTACAGCATCTCCTTACCGAGACGGCATCCCTGCTTGCCACGTCCGACATGGATACTGTTCTTGGAGAGTGTTTTGATTGTGCGACCAGGGCGTGCTTCTCCGCATTAGAGCCTAGGCTTAGGCGTGCCGATGCGGGGAAAGGTGGGGCAGAGGGGGCGCGACTGGCGAGCGTTTTGCCGGTGGTAAGTAAATGGGCGCAGGAGGAGGTGTTCGTGCTGCCGAATCTATTCGTGCAGGTATGTGTTCGTCGTTCCTGTTTTCCCCGCTGCCAAGGGGTTCGCGAAGAGTGTGCTCACTGTGGGACAAAACAGGCAATAAATGGGGTGAGGGAGCTCGAGGGCGTCGCGGCTATCATCTGGGCGGGGTGCGAAGATAGCGAAAGTTGCGGAGTGCGGAGAGACGCGCCCCTTTCGGCGGAACAGGGTTGTGGGTTGGTGCCTTATCACAGACCCCCAGAGTCGGGAATGACATATCGGCTCAGGGTTTCTGGGGCCAAAGGGTTCCCGACCGCCGGGTCGAGTCGGGAGCGAATGGAATGCGCCGAGGCGAATGCCGATCGACGATCGTTGTGAGTGAGGCGGGCGGACGCGAGAATGAATGAAAACTGCTTTTTGCCCCGCAATGTTGCAATGCGGACGTCAACTTGTTTACGCTCGGCATACGGGGTAATCGGATGAATTGCCTCATACGCCGGACGTGGCTGTGAGAAAGTTGAATGTGTATGAGATTCTGATGAGGGAAGATGATGGCGTTGGACCAGTCGGAACAGACCGGGGGATATGAACTGTACCTTGTGACGGTCATGGTCACATTTTGGCTCGGTTCCGTCGCTCTTTACGGGTGCGTTTGGGCGTGTCTTCCCCGCAAGCGGAAGCAAGTTTAGAACGGGGAGACGGGGGACCCACAGCCCAGCTCTCACGCCCTCTTCGGGTTGTACTTCGTCATGCGGCCATCCCCCTCTTCCGCAACCATTCAAAGGCTCCCGCATCACCGACGTGCCAGCCCCGCATCCCTTCTCCTCCTCCTCCTCCGCCCCCCTCCTCGTCTCATCCTCATCCTTCTCTGCCTTCCCTCCTGCATCGTATCCTACCTCACCCTGCTTGCTCCACACCATCTGGTTTGTACAGTCGCACGACACAGGCTACCAAAGAAACCAACAATGGAGCACCACGATCCCAACGAGGTTGACTCACACCCCGTCGCACCCCGCATGCACGCAAAGGGTAACCCCAAGCCGCATGTAGGGCCGCACAGGAAGGATTACGAGAAGGAGCACGCTAAGACCGTTGGTGTGCACAGTGATGAGTGGTGGGCCAAGGTCAGTTTACCCTTAGTTCAGAACTCGCCCAGTAGTGAGCTCATATATGCGCCTTAAGATGGCTAGGGAGACCCTCTACTGGTTCAGGGACTTCAAGACCGTCCGCACGGGTGGTTTCGAGCACGGCGACGTCGCCTGGTTCGTTGAGGGCGGTTTGAACGCTTCCTACAACTGTGTAGATAGGTGGGCGTTCAAACACCCGGATAAGGTGAATTCTGCCGAGCACATGCTTCTGCAAGCTCTACTGATGGCGCTTGAACTCAGGTTGCTATCATCTACGAGGCTGATGAGCCTGGTGAGGGGCGCTATGTCACCTACGCTGAGCTGCTTCGCGAGGTTTGCAAGGTTGCCAACATCCTCAAAGACTTTGGCGTCAAAAAGGGCGATACTGTATCCATCTACCTGCCTATGACCTGGCAGGCGGCTGCTGCCTTCCTCGCTTGCGCGCGTATCGGTGCTGTCCACTCGGTGGTGTTTGCTGGCTTCTCTGCAGAAGCTCTGCGCGACCGTGTGCAAGATTGTCAGAGCCGCGTCGTCATCACCACTGACGAGGGCAAGCGTGGCGGTAAGACGATTGCCACCAAGGCGATCGTTGATGCTGCCATCAAGGAATGCCCTTCGGTTGAGCACGTGCTCGTCCTTAAGAGGACTGGGAACAAGGTCCCTTGGACCGAGGGAAGGGACAAGTGGTGGGACGAGCTCGCCCTGAAGGTCCCGGCCTACTGCCCCCCTGAAATCATGAACTCGGAAGATCCGCTGTTCATTCTCTACGTAAGTGGCATGACTTACGATATTGATATGCTGCTGATTTGGTGCATATAGACTTCTGGTTCCACTGGTCGCCCGAAGGGTGTCGTTCACACCACCGGTGGCTATTCTCTCTGCGCTGCTCTGACGGTCAAGTACGTCTTCGACATCCATCCCGACGATCGGTTCGCTTGTATGGCCGACATTGGCTGGATCACTGGCCACTCTTACATTATCTACGGCCCCTTGGCTAATGGTATCACGACCACGTGGGTTCCGTTGTTTCGGATCTCGTCCATCTATCTGATCACACACCTAGTATTTTCGAATCTACTCCTGTTTATCCCACGCCATCTCGCTACTGGGAGACCGTCGACAAGCACAAGATCACCCAGTTCTACTCCGCACCTACTGCCATCCGCCTACTCCGTCGTCTCGGTGAACACCACGTCGAGGGCTATGATCTATCTTCCCTGCGTGTTCTCGGCTCTGTCGGCGAACCTATCAACCCGGAGGCATGGCACTGGTACAACGACTTCGTCGGCCGCAAGCAATGTGCTATTGTCGACACATGGTGGCAGACGGAAACCGGCTCGATCTGCATCACGCCGTTCCCCGGTGCTATCGATACTAAGCCTGGGTCGGCGACCGTCCCGTTCTTCGGTATCGAGGCCGTTATCCTCGACGCCGAGTCTGGCAAGTTGCTCGAGGGCAACAACGTCGAGGGTGTCCTCGCGCTCAAGGCACCCTGGCCATCCATCGCTCGTACCGTCTTTGAGGACCACAAGCGCTACCTCGAGACGTACATGAAGCCGTACAAGGGCTTCTTCTACACAGGAGACGGTGCCGCCCGTGATAAGGACGGGTACATCTGGATTCGTGGTCGTGTTGATGATGTCATCAACGTCTCCGGCCATCGTCTGTCCACCGCTGAGATCGAGTCTGCGCTTATTCTGCACGCCGGTGTGGCGGAAACCGCGGTCATCGGTACTCCCGATGAGCTGACCGGCCAATCCGTCCACTCGTTCGTCACGCTCAAACCGTGAGTTTTCAATCTGCCCCGAGGCCCCACTTTCTGACCCTGAAAATCAGTGAATTTGAATACGACCCGAAGCACGAGGAAGGCCTCGAGAAGGAGCTCACTCTCCAGGTTCGCAAGGTGATCGGCCCGTTCGCGGCACCAAAGAAGATCTACATCGTCAACGATCTGCCCAAGACGCGTTCGGGGAAGATCATGCGCCGTATCATGCGCAAGATCGTCGCTGGCGAGGGAGACCAGCTCGGTGATCTGTCCACGCTCGCTGACCCCAGCGTCGTGGATATGATCAAGGAGAAGGTCGAGGCGAGCCAGAAGAAGACGGCGGCGAAGAAGGCGTGAACTTCGGACTGTTGTCAGGGGTGAGGGTTGTATACATATCTAGCTTCCTGTTCCCTGCTGTGATGGTTTCCTTCCTTCTTACGTGGTGGCTTTCCTTACGGTCTCTAGTGAGAGAATAGTGCGAGGCGTGTATTGACTCAGGACAAGAAGAAAATATATTCTCAATAGTCTGTCAATGAGTGGCTCTTCGGAAGCCGCTTCTCCGCCGTTCCGGGCAAACAAAAGCTCGCGCGGCCTGATTAATCCAGGGATTGCTTCCGAAAGATAGGGGCTCGTTAGGAATTCCACGCGGCTCCGGAAACCCTGGCAGAAATCGTTCTTCAACACCACGATTTCTGGTGGAGCACGTAGGACGTCCGGGCACAACAACAACGACCTGCTTGTGTCTGGAGATCGGGAGTTATATCTCTCTGGAATGAGATCTATCTTGTTTTGAGACAACTTCTGCCTGGGCCCATGACGTCTGGATGCGTGGGTCCGCCGATTCGGCGTTGGTCTACCGGCACCTGCCTTGCTAGGAACTATGACTTGAAGAAGAAACATGTTATCTGATCTGTTGGAGTCATCTGTACCTGGGTACGTATAAATACCTTGACGTCTGGGGGAGAGGAAGTTCAACCAACCAGTCACAGGACTCGTACTCTGCAAAAGCCGATATTGAACTGCGAACTATCATGTCTAAGAAACTCGTTGTTGTCTGTGGCGCTACTGGCCAGCAAGGTACGATCTTCTTCTCACGAACGAAAAGTACTCAACCTCATGCAGGGGGCTCGGTCGTCCGCGCCCTTCTTGACCATGGAGGGTACGCTGTCCGCGCTCTCACGCGTGATCCTGCGTCTCCGTCTTCGAGGGCTCTTGCTGCCCTGGGTGTGGAGGTTGTCGAAGCCTACCCGAACGACAAGGGGTCGTTGATCAGGGCGTTCCAAGGCGCATATGCTGTCGGTCCATAACTGATGGAGCTGGGAGTTATCCGCTGACCTTCAGCAGGTATTTGGGCTGACAATATCCCACACCGCTGATAGCGAGACCGATATGGGACGAAACATGGTCGACGCCTGCAAGGCCAACAACGTCTCTCTCTTTATCTGGTCGTCCCTGCCCAGCGCGAGGGAGACGTCCAAGGGCAAACATACCGAAGTTCGTGCATTTGACGAGAAGGCCGAGGTGGACAAGTATATCGCAACTTCCGGCCAGCCGAGTGTGATCTTCAGCACTGGCGGCTTTGCTGAAAAGTGAGTATGCGCCTTGCTCGCATGGATGTATCTGACCGCTCTCAGCCTTCCGCACCAGCTGAAGCAAGACAAGTCCGACCCGTCGAAATGGCACGTTCTGTATCCTTTCGCAGCGCCAGACGTCGTGCTCACCTGCACGTACGTGGTGAAAGACGTGGGAAGAGCCGGGTTGGAAGGAAGAACTCACGAAGGAGGTTATCCCGCTTTGCTCGTACAGGATCACCGGGAAGGAGATGGCAGAGACTATTCAACGCGGTATGAAATGTGGATATGACTGTGTTTGGTCACTGACAGAGCGGACAGTGACGGGCAAACAGACTGATTACGTCGCGACTGACACGGCGTTCCCTCCTACCATTCCTGTACGTCCTCCCTCCTCCCATTCGTACTAGACAATGTTGAAGCTCATCTTGATATCAGCTGTACAAATGGCAAGCAGACGGATACTACACCTACCCTGGAAGTATCCCTCCTGATATCCTCGTCAAAGCGGGTGTTCAATTCCACACCTTTGAGGACTACGTGAAGGATCATGTCGTTGCCTTGATGAATACGGCTTAGTATTACCGACCGGCGATAGATTGTACTGCTCGAGGCTAGCATGTTCAATTAGATCAGAACACCACTCAAACACGGACTCGATATATTAAATGGTGGCAGAGCTACACGTAAGGGATATATCCGTTGTGCCGTTCAGTGCTGGATCTGAAGGGCATAGCTATAACAGGAAGTCCGCAACTTACTGAGACGGCGTGGCCTTCTGATCCGGAGATTTCGGCGAAAGATTCTCAATAGGACAGTCGGAAAACCTGTTATCCCTGCCTGTGATTGCTCATAACTGACAAGGTATCCATGAGAGGCTCTTCAGCTTATATTTACACCTCAAGCCTTATGCGGGTTTGGTCATCGGCCTCGAGTGATCGCTTTGGAGTCCTGCAGGAGCATACGTACCATACCTGAAAAGACCAAAGAACACTTACAAGCGCCGGATTCGGCTCCGGACGATTTTCCGGCTAGGTTCCTCACCATGATATCACGTCTCAGTCCCTATTACAAGCGTACACTCTGCGTGTCTCTTGTTTGTTGGCCCGTGGTCAAATGGCACTCCAGCCAAGCTGCGACCAGTATCCCTGTATTGAGAGCGGCTCGGTGAACTACATCAAAAGACTACAAGACGCTGATGAGTGCTTGCCGAGAAGTTAGACCGCTGATGCAATTCTGGTGCATTCATTCTCCTGTCACCACTATGGCAAGTCGTCCGATTCACGTGGTCAATAGTGCCACCAAAGAGGACAGAATCTGCAAGAATATGTTATGGCACCTTGTCATGAGCGTCCTGCTAGCTGCCGCTCCTCTTTTGACGTAGACAAGTGCGCACAAGGCTGTGATTGCGAGCGGTCCTTGAACCTCGGGATTCGCCGACATTTCCGAATCATATGTTGATTTTGATCGCCTAGTGAGCGTTAGAATAATTCCAAGGTGTCGGCGTACGACTGAGGTACATTACAGGTGTCACATGGGCAAATCGGCAGGTGTTGCTCGTCCGCCAAACGAGAAATTTCCCACTCTCTTGCAATAGAACGAACATCACAGCCAGTCAATAACCTTGGAGGTCATTCATTTACCTTTATCTGTATTCTTCACTCACACTCTCCCCGCTAGAAGAGTCGATTCCCAGAATTCTGCCATGGCCACTAAACAGGATGACCTTGTTGGAATCGTTGCGATGCAGCCAGATGAACAACCCAACAGTCCGCACATGGAAGGCGAGAAAGACGAGCAAACTTCCCAAACAATCCCTCCCGACCTGTCTGGTATCGCTATCGATGCAGCGGCTGCGACGGTAGCTGAGCACAAGATGACCTTTGGTCAGGCGGTTCGCTTGTACCCGAAGGCGATTGGTTGGTCCATCCTTCTTTCCACCGCCGTCATCATGGAAGGTTACGACACAAATCTCCTCGGCTCGTTCTACGCCTACCCCCAATTTGCGCGCAAGTATGGCGTCCTCCAGTCCGATGGTTCCTATCAAGTAACCGCGGCGTGGCAATCCGGCCTGTCGAATGGTGCCCAGATCGGCGAGATCCTTGGCCTTTTCATCAACGGCATCGTTTCCGAACACTACGGCTATCGCAAGGTGATGATGGCCTCTTTGATCGCAGTCATCGGGTTCATTTTCATTAACGTATTTTCACCCAATACTACCGCCCTTCTTTTTGGCGAGATTCTATGCGGGATCCCCTGGGGTGTCTTCCAGACGCTCACCACTGCCTACGCTGCCGAAGTTTGCCCAGTCGTGCTGCGCGCTTACCTGACAACATACGTGAATTTGTGCTGGGTACTGGGCCAACTCATATCCTCGGGCATCCTGCGTGCCCTACTCAGCAGAACGGACGAATGGGCCTACCGTATCCCCTTCGCCATCCAGTGGGTCTGGCCTGTCTTCATCTGTATCGGCGTGTTCTTCGCACCCGAATCGCCTTGGTGGCTTGTCCGCCACGGAAAAGTCGCTGAAGCCGAACATGTCCTCCGCCGGCTCACACGCAAATCATCCGGCGTACCATTTGATGCGTCCGCCACCGTGGCGATGATGATTTATACAAATGAGCATGAGAGGGAGATCACAGCGGGAACGTCCTACTGGGATTGTTTCAAGGGCAGTGATCTGCGTAGGAGCGAAATCGGCGCAGTAACATGGGCGATCCAAACTCTGTGCGGGAACGTATTCATGTCATACTCGACGTATTTCTTCGAGCAGGCGGGCCTCGCGACCGACTTCGCCTACGACTTCAGCATCATTATGTATGCGATCGGCATGGTAGGCACGATATCTAGCTGGTTCTTGATGGGGTGGTTCGGGCGAAGAACGCTTTACATCGGGGGACTCGCGGTAATGACCGTGCTCATGCTCGTCGTTGGCTTCCTCGCGCTCGGCACGGCAGACGCGGCAAAGTGGGCGCTTGCCTCGTTAGTCCTTGTGTATACCTTCATTTACGACTCGACCGTCGGGCCCGTGTGCTACTCCCTTGTCGCGGAAATCCCAAGTACCCGCCTCCGCGCCAAGAGCATTGTTATCTCTCGCAACGTATATAACATCGTCGGTATTGTCGTCTCTGTCCTCGCCCCGTACATGTTCAACCCCTCTGCGTGGAACTGGAAAGGCAAGGCAGGATTCTTCTGGGGTGGTAGTTGCTTCTTGTGTTTGGTTTGGTGCTATTTCAGGCTGCCAGAACCGAAGGGAAGGACATATGGTGAGCTGGATGTACTGTTCGAGAGGAAGGTGCCGGCTAGGAAGTTCGCGTCAACTGTGGTTGACCCATTCCACCACGGGAACAAGATTGAAACCAAAGTGGAAGAGGCTCTAACGGAACAGGTGTAACAGGGCGTGACTGCCAAACATAATGTTTCATAATACTCCTTGGTTTTACCCTCACTGCTGAACTAGTCTAGTATATCTTGATGCACTCTACGAAACTGTACGGTTATTAGGTATTCATGTCGTGGGACAAGGTATGAGTTATCAAGTTGAGAATCAATACAAAGATGGCAAACGCCGTTGTATGCAGATCTTCAGCTCTGTGTCGGACTCCGGATCCCATACCCTTCTGCTCTGATATGATCCACATCGAAGTCATCCACTGCAAGAAGCTTGGTGATATATTCCAGCGCACGATATTGATCTCCCAGAACCTGTTCAAATGAGTACGTGTTGCCTAAATGGAATTTAGCTTCACATACCCGCTTCATATCCTCAAAGCCTTGCTCATCGGCCACGACCCACTCGCGGGAATCCTTGCCCCCGTCACGAATATCTCTCTCTTTCATGGCTTTGTATGCTCCTAGCGCTGTCCAAAGTTCGTTCACCTTTCCTCTCATACGCCCACTTCCTGTGCCACTGTTCATCTCCGCGTCTAGGGACTGGAGGGCAGTGGCCAAAGCTTCTTCCTCGGGAGAAATGGGCTTGGTTCGCAAATCGGGCATGAGCAGGTGCAGACGAGCAGAGATAGCGAGAATACGATGATGCAGGTACGTCTCGATGAGCTGAGATTGCTGGATCCGGACGGAGGATTGCAGGGAGTACAGTTTCTTCCGTTCGTCGATCTTTTCGATTAGTTGCTGGCGGGGCCAAGATTAGTTCTGTATGAGATTGGAAGCACTCAAGCTTACTTTTAGTTTAACAGTCTGAGCGTTGGCCATTTGCGCCTGCTCAAACAGTCGTTGTCTGAGGGCATGATATCCAGACACAACAACAGGGTATAGGCTGTCTCACATCAGGACAACAGCTTCGTCCGCGCTGCATGTACGCACTTCTGAGGATCAGGATTCATACGCAGTGCGTTCTGCCACTCCTCCTCGGTAACGTTCGCTGGTCTAGCAGGATCTACGCCCATCTCTTGCGCAGTCCGTACATTGTAGAAGACGTGCTAGGCGAACTTCAGTGCACAGCCAAGAGATCGAACATGGGAGTGACGCACTCTGAACTTGCACTTTGTCAACTGCGGGTTCCACGCCTCCGCAATCTCAGTCGCCCTCTGCTCAAGCGTCTTCTCTGGTTGGTGTAGCCTACCAACTAGCCCAGTGCTGCGGGAAGCCAACAGAGGGTTTGCAGGCTGGATGCTGAGCTGGGATACGCCTAAGGGTTGCTGCTGAGCCGGCTGAGGTTGCGATTGACCGAGGGTGGATTGCCCTGCAAAAAAAGGTGAATGAGCAACTGTGATAAGAGACTGTTGACAGACAGCCGCTCACCCCACGTGGCGGCTGCGGGCCATTGAAACGCAGGCTTTTGTTGCTGAGGTTGCTGCTGCTGACCGAGAGTACCGAACGTAGATGGCTGTTGTTGTTGTTGGGTGCTGCCACTAAGCGAAAAGGAAGACAAAGGCTGGCCGAACGTATTGGTTCCCTGCTGAGTTTGGCCGGCTGGAGGCTGCAGGGAGAACGTCGGTACTTGTGTGTTGGTGGATTGGCCCCACCCAGTCGCGGCAGGTTTCGCAGCGAAGTTACTAAATGGGCTCAAACTGCCCGTCCCAGCTGCAGGCTGCGTGCTCGTGCTCGGTTGACCCCATCCGGGTGTTGAGGTTGAAGTAGTGGTAGCAGCTCCAAGTCGGCTCAACAAACTAGGAGGCTGCTGGGTAATCTGTTGTGGTTGAAGCTGACTGAATAGCCCAGTTCCGGCGGTCGTCGGCTGTGGTTGACCGAACACAGCAACTGCAGGTTGTTGTTGAACAGGCTGCCCGAACGCGTTCGTCCCTGCTGCAGGTTGAGTCGATCCAAGTGGTTGACCTGAAGCAAAATTTAAGCATTCAATGTCTTCATTCTATGGTGTCGTCGCTCACCAAATACTGACATCGTTGGCCAGAGGTTGGAGAGCAGTGAGGAACTCGAAGAACAATGGTGGTCGTTGACGGAAGTCTGCGCGTTGTCGACGCGAAAGTCCGCCACCAGGATTCACGGTATCGCGTCACTTGTTTTTCAACACTACTTTGAGTGGATGTTGTGAATTCGATGTCTCTATAAACTATCTACAATTACATTCATTTGATTTTTGTAGCGGTCCAAAATGCGCAATTGTACACATGATGAAGCATTGCATCCTCATGACCAACATAGGTTGTTTCAATCATTCTTTCGTTCTATAAACCGAACCGAGTCAAGACTTGTTTTTGGACACAAATGAGCGAACCACAAACCTCGATCTTGAACCCCATCTTCTCTGCAAGTACCTTAACTTCAGCTAGATTCAATTCTATAGATACGTCTTTTGTGCTGTTGTTCTCGAAGTGCCAGAGAAGAGGACCTAAAACATCCAGCTTAGAACCGAACCTAATTTGGAGGAGGTGCGGTTACCCAAGTTAATCCAGACTCCTCCCGGCGTTAGGAGATGCCGTATTATCTCCAGGTATGAGACAATATTCTTCGCCTATAGCCAGAATAATCAGGTTTTGTTAAGAATCAAGATGGAATGATGTACCGTATCGATGAAGAAGCACGTAAGGACAGCGTCCCACGCCTCCGCCTGATCTCGGGCTCCCAAGCCGTACACTTCCTCGAAATCACCCGCAACCTGCGAAAAATCAGGTCCTTGTTTTCGCTCTCCAGGGAGTACATCCGGAATCATGATGGGCTGCAGAAGAGATGCCTCGCTCTGAAGGTTAGACAGGGAGTGGATGTGAGGGTATATTGTCCATTTATTGGTCTCCGGGGACCGGTTGAGCATGAAGAAGGACGAGAGAAGCTGATACCGCTGTAAGTCGACAAGACAGGAAGTAAAAGAACCCTCACCATAAAGTAGGAGAATTCATTGCCCTGACACGAAAATCCGCGATTAACGACCTCCCATGTCAATCGACCCAATCCCGCACCAGGTACGAGAACTTGAATATCGGACCTGCTTGCCGGGTTATATACAGACGCTTAGACTGGAATGCATACACTGACCGACCATCCTCCGGTATATCCTTAAAATGCTCCTCCAATGCCTGCAAAATCGGCTCGTACTGTTCATCCCTTTCCTTCTTTCCCTGCACTCCAGTCAGCCACCCACTTACCAACACACCCCATAGAGTGCATACCTCGGCACTCCAATCCCTCACGAACTGCTTCAACGTACTCCTCAGTTTATCCATATCCGGTTCGGACACCTTCTGCCGGTGTTCGTGGGCGGGCACAGAGGAACTGCCAACCACACGCTCGTGTGTGTGCGCGTGTCCGTGCGAGTGTCTGCCATGCGAGTGCCCATGGGCGCCATGTTCGTGCGTGTGTTCAGCATGGGGGTGAGCATCTGCATACATTATTCAGAAAGGATGATGGAAACATCATGCGCCTACTCACCAGACGAACTCGCCTCCTCCTGCTCGCCGCCCGTTGACGCTTCCTCCAGATCGTCGACAGACCCAGCAAAGATCTCTGTATCATCCACGATCTGCTCCAAGAAGTCTGCATTGACTAGGATAGCATCGTCCACATCTCCTAGCTTCTGGTACCACCCAACCTCTCGAAGCAGCTTCTGGTGCGGAAGGGGTAGCGAGTAGAAGTCCTTTCGGCGACGGATGTTTGCCGACAACTGCAAGCATGCACGGTGAGATAGCGTAGGAGGTATGATAGGGTGCGTACTGAATACTGCCTGTATTGTCGGAAGGTCGTTACCACCTGGCGGAAATGTGCTTGCTCTTCTTGCACGTCTTCAGCCGACGGGCCGTGGCCGGACATGTTGACGACGGCAACGTCCAAAACTGACGACTGGGGAGCGTTAGACCCTTACACCGTCTGCATGGGCGGGCGAGTGATATACCGATGAGTTTGACGTTTCACTATCTGGAACGCTTATCTGAATACAGGTAACATATGCGTCAAGCAAAAAATCGTATCCATTGCAATATGCTATTCTACATATTCGTGAAAGTCGTGTGCATGGTACAGGAACACATCCATATTAGTTTGTTCGACCTAAGTGTCCACGAGCTTCTGTGAGACTGAGAGGAATTGGTATCATGACTGATGGATATCATGTGCGCAGATCTTCCACGTGAAGCAGCAACCTGTCGTCAACAGCTACATGGATGAGATTGCCACGCGGACGGGACTGCATAGCGCTCAGTGTCATGTTTGCTGAGCGTGATCGGAATGGCGTACCTCGAAAACCTCGTGCACTTCGCCGTGGAAGTGATATGGCGTGTCATCGTTGCAGTGAGCAATGTCTTGCATTGCCTGTGCACTGAGAGCACGCATAAGATGCCTGTATAGCTTGTCAGATGAATGTTTTTCATGGACATACAGGCACGTACACTGCCTTGCCCGCATCTTCGGGGCGGGTCGTCACTGCAACTCCGATGGTCTCAGGAATAACGCTTTGGTATCGATAGAGCATATGTAGATCAGAGCCAGTGAACGAATTCACAGCGCTCTTAGGGCCCGCAAAACTCCAATGCATCTGTCAATAGAATTCAGTGTGATAGTCTTGATCTCAAAGCGACATCGCTTACTACTCCCACCACTTCTGCACCCAATCTCTCACAGTAATCCACGACCACCTCCTCGTCAGTGATACGAGCTTGTTGAGGATGAGAAGATTGAGGGGAAAAAAGAAGAGTAGTGATACAGTAACAATCTTTTACTTTGTCCAGAACTCCAAGTAAAAGAGCAACCGTTTCGAGACCAGCCCTTCGGTTGCCGGCAATTCCTTCAAGGAAAGATGTCATGTAGTTAGCTGGGAGGTGAACAGCTCGCAGCCTGGATGATCCGTATCTGGGAGGCGGCATTTGAAGTTGCACGGGTCGCTCATAGGATGGCAGGCGCCAGTAGTTTGGATCTTGCGGTGCTGCAGCTCCAAAGGGCATTTGGGGCATCTTGACAAGATCGCCAGGACTGCTGTTGAATAGAGCAGAGTCTTCAGGGGGTTTGATGACTTTACGATCGACGGAATTCGATAGCAACGGTGTGCCACTGTCCTTGGATTTGCCATACGGCGATTGCTGATGAGGGAAGGAATATTTGTGCGCGGTCCACGCTTCGCCCCTGCCTTTCACCGTGCCTGCTGGAGCAGGAGATACTTCAGAAGTGGATCCACTGCGTTGGCGGTTCGGGGTGACGGGATTGCTGTCCCGCAGAGAGTCGTGACGATGCGGACCCAAGGCTCTTGATCTAGAGCCGGTCAGCGGGGGGGATTTCAAAGCCGGAACAGCATCCCATGCCATGCCGACAGGGGAGAGTTTCTGGCTGGGGAGTGTTGTTGGCACAGTCGAGCCTCGTACCGGCGTCTTCACTGAAGGCGTCGATTTTCCAGATGAAGGCATTTCCACCGGTAGACTGGAAGCACGTTGAGAGCTAGAAGCTCGGCGACTCAGATGATGTGCGCCGGGGTCGAGCGCCGCTTCGGCTGCTTTAGGACTCTCGGTGTACCGCTCCTTCGAACGGGAAGAGGAAGTTGGAGGAGTCCCGCGGACGACAAACGGGTTGTCGTCCCCCGCACCCGATGACTGCCGCATACTGCCGGCTCCTGTCAAAGCTGCAACACGCTGTGGCAGCTTCGGCCCGTTGCGTTTCACCCAGGCTTCGTGTTCCCATTGCGGTGCAGTTATTGGTAGGGGAGGGTCCTGCAACAACTGGTTCTGCTCTGTTGCTGGTGCTTGGCGGGAGACCTTCACGCTGTAGGACGTCCTTTCTTCCGGAGGAGAAGGCATGGCGCTTCCACCGCGAGGTGCAGCACGGCGCACAGGATCATGGTCAAGAGAACGACCGCGCATATAGGATTCATCGGATATATGCGGTGGGTATTGTGGTGTCGAGTCCTTTGAGCCATCCGTTGCTTGCTCGGGGGTCTTATCTGGTGTGAGAGGAGGGATAGGTTGGCTAGGCATGCTACAACTGTCGTGTAGTGAGTAGCGTGGAACATAATCAACGTTTTCCTTGCCACCGCGGAGGGACGCTTTGCGGCTCACGCTCTTCTCGCGGCGAATAGTTGCGTCCGACGACGCGGTCGAAACCGGAGGGGGAGCAAAAGAGGAGGCAGGAAAGTCGGCAAAGGAGTCGTCTCCTCCAGGCATATAGTCTCGTCTTCCTTCCAATTTCGATTTCCGCTCTCGACCGCGTTCCCTGTCGCGTTTCTTCTTCATGTCTGCCCTTTCACTGGCTTCGGCCTCCTTTCTCTCCCTCAACATCTCCTTGGCCTGCATGCGCTCCATGTCGTGGTCATCTCCTTCGAGTAAATTCTTCTCTCGCAGATGGTCCCGATTGTTGTCACTTCGTACACGTGCACGAGCCTCGACTTCGTCGCGACGCATGCGTGCATCGAACGCAGGGGAACCATCTATCCTCTCTGTTGGGACCCACTCGTGGACGCGGTCATGTCGGCGTTCGGGTGATTTGTCGTACTCGTACAACCACTTATCGAGACCGTTGATGGTCTAAAAGAAAAGGCTTAGTAAGTTCGTCAAGAGCACAATAAAACATGGGACAATATATGCACCGATCTCATGGTGATGAGGGAGCAGTCTGTGCGTGCACATTTATGCCCCATACGGATACCCTCGCTTGCGAATGCGGCCAACAGCCGATTTTCTTTCCATAACCTTGTCATCCCACCCAACATCATCTAGGCTTTCGCCCATATCTGGTGAAGTCCCTCTGATACCAACTCTAACTCACCCTGATGAGGCTAGTCCTCAGACGATCGGACATATTCCGCTCGTACTCGGGTTCCAACAGCTGACGAATAATGGTGGCAGCCTTGACATAGTTGCGATACACTTTCTCGAAGTCACCATTCTTCCTCGCCACATCTGCAATCACCTGCACACGGTCCACCTCAGCCAATGCTTCTTTGACGTAGTCATTGCCATAGGTCGGTGAATGTTCCTGGGAGTGGGATACGCCAGCAGCAGATGCCATGTAGGAGGAAGAGGGAGTCCCTGATCGAGGTCGAGAGGAGGGAGGGGTATAAAGTGTTGGGATAGGGTGACGATAGGATGAGGTGTGCATAATGGGGTGTTGACCATGAGGTTTGTTGGGTATATATGGAGTAGTAATGAAGACAAGAGAAAGCGAGGACGCCCTCTCTGTTAAGAGGAGGTCGACCGGTTGAGATGCGGCCGGAAGCGACGCACTGGCGGTGTGCTGTGAGGCGAAGAGAACGAGTGGTGCGGACACCACGAGGCCCAATACGGTTATCCATTCCTTTTCGTTTTATCACCCAGGACCCCGAACACTGCCCTTCCGCTTTTCCATTGTTTACCTCCCCCTTTTCTTCCGGTTACAATAATCACCTCTTCATCCCGAACTATACAGTCCCCTGCTCTCCTATCATGAACTACCTGGATATCCATTCTAAATATCATCTCCTAGTGGTGCGATCTGCGCTCCATACGAACCAGTGCTCTCACGCGTCAACCACAGCCGCGACACACACCTTTCCCGGTATTACGGCACCATCTTCTAAGATGCACCTGCGCGCACGCACTTATGCGTCCCATGACTTCGTCTACAAGAGGCACATAGACCTGGGCGCGCAGTGCGCCTCTTCTATGTCCGCAGTACCAGTCGTCCTTGGTTGTTTATCTCTGCTCGCCGTGAAGGTGTCTGTTACGCGGCGGTAAGCGGTGCATTTCAGCGGTTTCATGATGATATATGCAATCAGCTTCACTGCACTCGCCCCCATCCGGGCTTGGGCGATTACACCACTACCGATTATCTTAGCCCCACAGCGGTTGCGCTGATGCAGAATCAATCATTCGCGCCCTTTCCGGCTTCTCTTGAACCCGAACCGGCTTTTAGGAGATCTGCCAGCGCACTGCAAACCAATCGGCGCGTGTCGCGGCCAGACCCACATTCTCCTGTTCTGTACAGATGCTTTGTAGTCAAGCTTTCCGGCCCATCTCGGCGTACGTGTCCTATGCAGGCAATGGAGAAGAGTTTCGGTGGTCCTCGGAAGCCTCTGACCTCCTCGTGTTTGGCCAGGCAATATGATTGGTTCCGGATAAATACTACAATCCCGGTTAGGGTCTGGTATGCATTATTTCCTATCTTCACGTTTTTCGCACATGCTCGGAATTCCCCGGCTGGTTGGATATAGGTTGCGATGCGCCGATTGAGAACATGGGAACAACGAAGCAGCCACTCGGTATTCCCATTAGTCAAGCCCATCCCCTCGACAGAGGTGCTCAGCAGAATCAACGCCTTGGTAAACATTCGGACCGTGATGGTTATAGTAAACCATGGATTCGGTGGTGGCAAATAGCTGATGTGATTTGTGATCCATAGTATTGGTACGCGCATAGAATTCCAACCAGTAGGTTTTCCATCTGATGACGAGAACCACAGTCGTGTGCTACGTTGACCCTCTGCCCAACTCATTGTCTCGCAGTCTTACACTCGAGGCCTTTCCAAAACGGGAAAATAGCTGTCTTGGGGTGGCTGGGGTCTAGTCCACCGCTGACTGGAGCCTCGCCGGCACAGCCCTGAACAATTTGAAAAGCGACTGAACATCTCTTGGCGTGTTTGTTTCAGCAGCTTTAGTCGCGTCTAGGCGCATCGAACCTGCATACATCAGCTTAGACGGTCGCTAATAAGCTTTTCTGCGCTTGTACATAACAAAGGCTCATTCTTCTGCATTCCATCAACCATCAATATTCAACGAAAATACTTGCGGCAACAAGACGACAGAAACCCGGCGCTGCTGTTATTGTCCCTGGCTTTGTTGTCCCGGTGGTCTTCTTGTTGACGAGTCATCTTGCGATGCGTCTGGGGCTTGGAAGCGGGAAAGTCCGGTGCAGGATGACGATCGGATCCTTGCCATACACTGGCAAACGTATCTTCTTCTCATCGCTCACTGTATACACCACAAGGGATGATCTCCTCTCGCGCACTGTCATCTGGCCAATTGAACTAGACGCCCAGCTTGACCAGGATATCGACCAGATCTTGTCGCATAGCTCCCTGCCACCCTGTTTCCTGCTGTTCTTTGTTCGCCTGGGCTCAAATCAAATGCTCGTTCATTCGTCTTCATTGTCTCGTACATCTGTAATCCTGCACAGGAAGATCGTTCGGGAAAGGGACAATGTGGTCGATTTCTTTCTAGACAATGCAAATCTCGACCAATATCTGCAGGATCTCGTATAGTCGATCCTAGAAACAGACCTTCGTCACCATGCTGGAGGATGGACCTCTTTGGAGCAAAGAACCTATGAGCACGAGCGAAATGGGATACGGAAAATGAGCTCGACCCCGAATTGTCCCGACCAAAACCACGGTCTATCACTGTTGCCAGAACATCTGCGAATGTTTCCGTCTCAAAATCATGCTATAAGCATATATGTCACGACAACAGATTATCAATACGAAATTCTATTTCCCCTGCTGCTTATTCGATGTGTACAGCCGACAAGGCATTCTTTCTACGGGATAATATTTCGCCATCATTCCTGGGACTTCATCCAAGGAATCAACTCCTCTCGGGCATAATCGTCCAACGTGTGGAACTTAACCCCCAACTTGACAAGGAGGTCAACCGGTATGTGTTCACCGTAGCCCCACAGCCTCTCGTTGCACCATTGATTCATCTGCATTCGAAGTCAGCTACGGAACATCCACATGCAAACAAAACCGAACCTCTTTAAGCGGAAGGGGCAATTGGTCTGAGAAAACCGTGATACAATCGACCTGCTTGCCGGCGACTACAGCGGTGATCAGTTCGTGTCCCAAAATCTCTTGGAGTTGGACCATACCTTTGGAAATGATGGCTGCCGCCTCCTCTCCCGTGATCTGGTACGAGACAAGGGGGATCGGGGACTTGGTGAGTTCGTCGTGCCAGGCTGGGTCGTCCCACTTCTCGATGGCGGCGAGAACTACGGGACCGACATCCTTGTGGGCGTACGTTCATGGTTGGGCGCTTTTGCCGTCAATGAAAAGCTGGAATATGTGGTACTTCGATGGATCTTTCTCATCGCGTTTCAGCGAACCGAAGTGAAGAAGACTGGTGCAGCGACATTAGTTCGAGAACTGAAGGAACATCGTGTTCAGAACGCACTTTGAAGTGAAGCCTCCCGTCCTGAAGACAATCGCAGGTTGGCCAACGGTCTTGATATATTTCTCCACCTCGGCCTTTGCATCGAATGCCCTAGAAAATTTGAGATATGGTTTGTTCAAGAAACAAGATGGAATAAACGGACGTTACGGTGGTATATCTACCCCCGGACGTTTCTTTCACGCCTGGAAGAGATGACCATACGAGAATAGCGACCTCGTTCGCGTGGCAGGCATCAACTAGATTGCGTCCTTGGACCTCTTCATCAATACCACTGAAAAATTCTGGAATCGAGACCCCAAAAGCCTGGACAACAATGAAACTATGTCCATCAACATATCGAAGGAATACCCACAGCGTATACGCCTTTGCATGCCTTCATCAGGGAGTCTTTGTCGCTCAAGTCGCCAGGGAGCACCTCAACCCCTCTGGAAGCTAAAGCAGCTGCGGACACGGAATCAACCGTCCTAGACAAGGCACGAATAGAATACCCTCCATGAGCGAGGAGTGCGTCGACAAGGGAGCCGCCTATGAAGTTTAGTTAGCCTTCAGCCCGACCCGCAAACTCCCAAACAGGTACCTTGCTTCCCCGTTGCCCCGGTGACGAGTACAATCTTCTTCGACATGAGGAGCAGATCAGAGCTACACTATGTGGTGTTCAGTGAGACCAGACAGTGTGGGCGATTGGAGAATGAAGAGATCTTGAAAGCCTTTAGGCTTTGTTATAGGAGCTGACCAGAGTGTGGAACGAGACATGGGCGCGACGAGTATTGAGGGAGATCAAGATGTCCATGTTCGTCGTCTCGAGGCTGTTCCTGTTGCCATTCCAATTCACTGCGAGCGATGAACCGAGCAAACGACAGGGACTGGCAGTGCTGTCCACAAAACAAAGTTGCCGTTTCAGTTCCTCGAGCATATCCAATCCTACACCGGTCCCTCATCCATGAAGTACTCAGCACATTCCACGAACAAAGGTTTGTCACAAGATAGCCTGTGGCAACCCAGTCATCTGCAGCGAGCTCTTCCCGAACATATATTACAGGTAGGGTCGCCGAGATTATCCATGCGCTTGAATCATGGTCACAGGTAGGAGATGTACGGATCCCAACCTCCATTATGAATTATATGGGACAAGAACATCGGGTCCCTGAAGGTCGGGATAGTGCATGGCAAGGTATAGGATAATCCACTGTGATTGGCCCGTTGGGTCCCGCATGGATGTTACCAAGGGTTCTGTGCGCGTGTGGGTCTGAATCCGACGGTTCCTGCCGAAACTATATTTTTAGGACGATCCATTCTCAAATGATCAACATCATCCCATACGAGTTTCGATCTCAACTGGACACTGTCATCCTTACAAGATCCCCTTCAAATAACTCTGCTAATGCCGACCTATTCTACCAACACCTTCCGCAGATTAAAGGGGTCTCATTCGGCGACAAGGGCCATCTGGATCTAATCCAAGGAATTCATCCAGGGAATGATCCTCTCTTTCGCATAGTGCTCCAAGGTGTGGACCTGGACGCCCAGCTTGACAAGGATGTCCGCTGGGATATCGTGCCCGTAGCCCCAAAGATCTTCCTTGCACCAATCGACAAGCTAGGAAGAAGTAAGTTCACAAGGTTCGTATTCCAGACGAACAGGTGCCATACAGGTTTGACAGGAGGGGGCAACGCCTCCACGGGCACCGAGACGAAGTCAACGTCCTTTCCGGTCACTACTCACACGGAGGCGTAAGCTTGCCATCTCATGCAGCACGACAAATGGCTACCTTTCGCAAGAGTGTCGGCAACTTCCCTTCCAGTAGCATCGTACGAGACAAGAGGAATTGGGGATTTACTCAGTTCTCTCCTCCAAGTAGCGTCTTCCCACTTGTTGATCAAAGCTACGACCGCAGGGCCCAGATCTTCCTCGACATAGGTGTACGGCTGGCGACTGTCCGGCGCAACGAACGGGATTACCGCGTGGAACTTCGAATGATCGTGATTATCTCGTTTCAATGCCCCCATAGTCAGGAGGCTGACATTCAAAAAGATCAGTACTGCACGAGATAAGTGGATACGGTGCATACATCCCGGTGAATGCTCCGAGGTGAATAACGATCGCGGGCTGATCAACAATCTTGATGTATTTCTCAACTTCAGCTTTATCGTCGAAAACACTATTTCAAAGATGAAACAATCGTGTTGCGACATGGGTACCAGGGACTCACGGAACAGCGAATCTACCGTGAGAAGTGTCCTTGCAGCCAGGAACGGAGGACCACACGAGAAGTTCCACGTTATTCGCCTTGCATGCATCCACCAAATTCCGACCTTGAACTTTCTCGTCGGCAATCCCCGGACCCGTCGACGGAATAGAGACACCGAAGGCCTATCGAAGTTAGTGCGTATTCCAACGCCAGCCGTGGGTGGTCACATACCGCATAAACCCCTTGACACGCCTTCAAAAGGCTGTCTTTGTCGCTCAGCTGACCGGGGACAACATCTACCCCTTTCTCAGCTAGCGACGTGGCTGCATCGGATTGTGTATCGCGCGTGAGAGCGCGGATGTGATACCCGCCATGCTGCAGAAGGGCCCTGACAAGCGCACTTCCTGCATTCGTTCTTGTTGGAAGGTGTTGAACTTGAAAAAATCTAGCTCACCTTGATTACCTGTCGCCCCACTGACCAATACGATCTTCTTCGACATTTTCTGCAACCTGAGTTTATTGAGTAGTTGGAAGGATATCTGTTGCTATGAGCGGTCCTCTGCGGCGAACCTATAAATGAGCAAGTTCTTTTATAAGCATACAAGATTTCATGGGTAGCACGTCCACGCACCATTGATACCTCATAATACTGAGCCCTCTTCCTAATGTGTGAGATTCAGGGCATTGTCCAGACTGACGATCGGACAAACAACCGTACAGCATTGACGACATGAATCCATGTTCACAATGGCCTTTGACCGCCCAGCCTCAGTGTTCCATACACGGATCCACACGAACAGGACGACCATTGATTAGAGCAGCCTCTAGTTGCTTGTTCGACGTGGACCAAGAGCAACCGTCGCGTTTAAGGAACGCGCCAGAGTCGAAGAGGGTTGTGCGCTGTGATTGGTTGGTTCACTGCTGCATGGAATCAGGTGGGGCGGCGATCGGGAGTGTGGCGGTGCTCGGAAGGCATGGGACGGGAATCACGATGAAGGCAGCTTATGACTTTGACTTGGATCTACGTTGTATTCATTGAGAGGCAGCATAGTAGACTCGATCTATCTCGGGATCTACATCTACTTACTCATGAAGGTCACAATTTTGTCTTTCACATAATCCTCAAAGCCGTGTAGCTTTATACCAAGCTTATCCAGGATGGGAGGGTTCGCTCGCTCCGCAAGTTTGGCGTAGAACCCATCATCCGCAAATTTATAAGGCTGAGACCAACCCTATCAGCTTTGCTTAACAATAATGCCATTTCGCATACCAAGATAAAAGAATCAGGCGTCATCTCTTTGGGGATGGTAACAAAATCGCATTGTTTGCCTGACACTGTCGGGGCGAGAAAAGGATCAGGTGATGAGCCAAGGCAATCCGTACCTACGAGGCACGTACCTCTTTTAACGGTCTCCGCCATCTGCACACCATCAATGGTGCCAACAACGAGGACAAGTGGTTTCTCTGACAGCTCGCTCTTGATCACGGGATCATCCCACTTGTCGATAATGGACACGACAGCTGGCCCAAGGTCAGCCCCGACATAGGTCAATGGCCACAGGCTGTGAGGTCGGGTGATAGGGATGGAAATGTGCCACTGATCGGGATTGACAATGTCTCGCTTCAAGTAGTCGAAATTTAGCACACTAATACAGATGAGAGTAGGCTTCAACAGGATTACATGGACACGCACTTTTCGGCGAAGGCACCCGTGTGTACCACCACGCCCGGCTGGTCGATAGCTTTCATATACTTGTCAATTTCAGTCTTCTCATCGAAGCGTCTATGCAGACTTAGATATGACGGAATCGGAGAGATGAAAGGCACAAACACATGGGTTGTGTATTTTCCGTTGGACAGCTCAGTCGCGCTGGGCAAGGACGACTACAACAAGAGAGGAACATGGTTTTCCTTGCAAGCATCCACAAGATTCCTTCCTTGAAGAATCTGCCCCTCTGGCAACGGAACTGAGTTTCCGAAAACCTGACAAGTGTGAGCTTTCATTGCGACACAAACACAGAACGTACAGCATACGCCCCTGCGAACGATTTGATCAAACTATCCTTATCGAGGAGATGACCGGACACCATTTCAACGCCTTGGGAAGCTAGTTCCTTGGCTACTGGGCTTTCGACATTGCGCGTCAAGCCGCGGATGCGGTAAACGCCACGCTTGAGCAGGACCGTGATGACCGCTCGGCCTGAAGGAGAGTTAATTGAAGAATCATGCAGGAATGTGGTGCACCTACCTTGGTTTCCAGTTGAACCTGTTACAACAATGATTTTTCCAACCATGATGCAGCAACGGTGAAATAGTGGTATACCAGTGAATCCGAATTTGCTACAGAAGACGGGGATGACTGTGCGCTGTTATATACACGCATCATGGTCGAAATCGAAGAACTCATCGAGGGGAAAATGCTGAGTGAGACGCCCGATATCTCGTTGATGCCATCCAGCAGAAATGCGTCAACGACGTCTTCCTCGTTTGCGTTTAATCACAACCGTCCGCCTTGTTCGGCGCAGGACGTGAAGTTGTCCGCTTGATGTCTGGCAGCGACGAGACCCGCTTGGGTGCAGCGGTACATGGTCAGGGACCCCTCTTCTGTGCAAGCGAAATGGGGACCCAGACTGAACAATCTTGTCCGTGTTGGGCGAACAGTGCCTCATGACGCCAATGTTGGAACAAAACACTCGGGGGCCAGATGATGCTGCAACGTAAGCTCTGCAAAGACAGGAGATGACTGTACAGTACCAGCTCAGTCCCAGAGTTGATAGAAGACGGAAGCCGACGTACAACGCCGGATGACCAACACTCGGACCAACAACTTCGGATCGTTCGCACAATCGTTTTGCGGGTCGGGTGTCAGGTCGTCCCTGACGGGTGTCGTGGACATCACGTGAAAACTGTCACGTTACTCATAACGGTCCATGATGCGGTGGTCCATGGTAGTGCGAGTGGGCCAATCAGGGTAGGTCTGGCCAGTATCTGTCTGCCGTAGGGAATTTGCGGGGTCAGCTGCTCGTCCAACCTTGTGGAAAGTCAGATTGCTTATGATTGGACAATTATTTGGTGGTGACAACATTGATCCTCTTCCCCTTTTTGTGTTCGTCGTCGGAGGCGGCCACATGCTTCAACACAATTTGAATCCCATGTTTGTTCCACATGTGATTGAACTGCATGAACACTAAGAAGGAATTTTTTTGCGTACATTGTTGGCGACACATGGGCAGCCGAAAATTGACCGTTCATGTTGTTCATGGACATACCCAACCGCATCCTACAACCACACAGTGCCGGGTTAGCGTTGAGTGAATACGATGGCTGAGGCATCCACGACGACCCACAGACCTTGTACCTGTGAGATCCAAGCCTAAGCATCGGTGCACGTGACCGCCGGTAACGAGTTCATTGACGGTCTCGGCGAACCCCTGGTGGAGGCTCCAAAGACTCGCCCACTGCCCGTTGACACATGGACAATCCAAGAAACGGCCGATATCCAGATCTATTGCAATAGCGCACGGCTACAAAGGCGTCGCCATGCTTCTTGACATAATCCTCGGATGTGTGGAATTGTACACCCAGTTCCATGAACAATGGTGTGGGGAGCCTTGAGGACCGCCCGTCGTCCACGATTCGCATCATCTGAAGAATACATGCGTCAAAAACGGGTCCCCGGGGAGGGGACAAAGTGTACTTTTGTTAACATTTCGTTACTCGGCCTTTCCCTGCTCATTGTCAATACTTTGAATCTGTTCCTTTCTTAGATAACTGGAACACACACCTTTTCAAGGTCTCCACTTTCCTAGCCTGTTGACCAAAATGAGCATGTGAGGATCGGTTCCTTTGTCATCCTCTTCCTGCAGGTTGGATCTTCCAAATGGCCATTGACAGTCGCAACATATAGTCCACCATAGGTTCAATGTAGTGTAAGCAGATGAAATGGTGGGACGTGGAACAGGCGCCACGATAGAAGGAAATGTCTGGGATCGGAGGGGTCCCGGTGCAGATCATGAAACATCCGAATGCTGGGAGTCTGTCAGCCTTTCTGCGTCATCCACTCAACAGTCTCAGCTCACTCCTCGACGAGTCCTCCGGGAATAATAATGATACCCGTCTCGTCAACTTGGCGGATATGATCATCCCCCTAGCTTCTCATCCCACAAACTGACCTGAGTATGCCTTCCTCCTGAGAACGTAGTCGCATCACTCAGGGAAGACCACACCAGAAGCGGGACGTCGTTTACTTCGCAGGCCTTGACAACGTAATTTCCTTGCACAATAAAGACGTCTTGAAATAGAACAGTGACCGTGAAGACATAATGGTGTGTCAATCTGCTGCATGACTCGGGACAGAGGAGATGATACGAACAGCATAGGGACCCTTCGATTAGGGTCTGGCATTGCCATCCCAACTTCGTGGGCCGAGAGGCACTGAGACTAAGCCGACGAGGTATTGCGCCCGACTCCGCTGCAGAGCAGTAGTCACAAAGCCCTCCCTGTAGCCCGATGGCACCGAGGACAACTATGGGCTTGGGCGATATTATACTTCCATCCAATTTCGACTTCCATGGAGAGGAATATAGTCCTTTGTCTATGCGCTAGACCACGCTTGCTCGCAGGGGGAGCGCGGATGGCACTAGCTGCAGTGGGGGATGCCAGTGCACCGCGCCGCGAGGCGGATGTGTCTCTCATCGTGTCGCCCAATAACAGGGCAGGAGTGAGTTCAGCTGAGGATGAGGACGAGGACTGCGAAATCCTGCTGGAATCTGGGTCCGCTGATATACCATTAGCTTGCCATATGTAAAACAGATGATCTGCATGTTGAGCGTCTGTAGGCCAGACGGTAATATACAGGTTTTCAAATGGATATGTCCATCCTCATTAGGCCAGCTATCCACCACGTGCTTGATTGCCCCATTTTCACCTGCTCACCATCCCATCGGCCAAATCCGGTGCGATACGAACAATTGATATCAACATCAATATCATTAATAGTTATCGAAGAATAAGAAAGCAATTATGAGAGACTGCTGGCTCCGCCGACCACTACACCTCCATCTCTCAAGCAGATTTCGCACCCAGCTCTCCAATTTCGATGCACTCAACTCCTAACCCATCTCTTCCGCCTCTCCGGACAATACCTTGTCCACCTCGAGTAATGCGATTCGCGAAGGAAGCTCCGACGCTCCGCGAGGAGAGTCCCCACTTGCTGTCGCAGCACGGTCTGATGATCCCCGACCACGAATGGACTGTCAGGCAACTTCAATTGCTGTCTAATCTCGTGAAAGTGACGCTGGGGCCCATGTTGAAGTTAGCGATGAACCGGGCAGATGAGCAGAACAGGATGCACAAATAAGAGATTGCTGGCATCGTCGATGTAACTTGGGCAGTAGGGGCTGAGCAGATAGGAATAGACTTCTTTTGAACACTCGGTCTAAGAAGAGTCAGCTGCGAGGAGGCCAGGCAGATCAGCGTTAACGCCTACGCGAGAGACCTTCGTCATTTTCCAGTTCACGTTGATATGGTTCTTACGCTCTTGAACAGTCTCTCAAATCACTATAGAGGCTGTGTAAGCACGTAGCTCTCGCGCCCTCGGATCCAGCTACAGCGCGGCAGTCAGGACTGGGCATTGCGAAGCCTGAACACGGAAGATGTACGTCATTAGCGAAAGCCAGGAGCTCGTCCTCCAACGCGCGACTGTTCAGCCCCAGCTTTCTCGCGAGCTGCTTCGCCATTTGCGAATAATCCTTTCCTGCGCTGCGATCTGACCAAGACCAAGAGGCCTCCGGGGTGGGCAGACCGAGTGGTCTGCTCCTCGTCAGCTCCCCCCCAGCAGCATCACGGCGTTGCAGCACCCATGCAGTGGCAGAACCGCCTGGGCTCTGCCAACCACTACACCTCCATCTCTCACTGGGAGGAGGAGCATCTGAAAGAGAGGGAAAGTACTCACCTCGTTTCTCTCATCTTGGCTTGCGCCGCGGGCAGCCTCGCTTCATCATCTGGCTGAGGCTCGTCCGCACCCAGGTTGCTGGTGGGTGAGCATCTGTTGTCCACAGCGTTGTCTTGATCGCTGCTCCAGCTCGACTCGACAGACTGCGCTCGAGAGTTCGTATCTGGGGCCTTCGAGCCCGTTCGCCTTCTTTTGTTGGATCTGCGGGGGGGGGGGGTGAGGCGGTGGTGGGCGTTGTTGGGCTGGTCAGGCGTGTCGCCGTCTGATTTGTAAAAAAAACAAGGGCATTCGAAGTCGATTAGCGCTTGAAATGAGGTTGCGAAGAGGATGGGCGAGGATGAGCAGAGGAAAGGAGTTGATGTGGATGTTTGGGGGTTATACAGAGTGAATTTTTTTTTTGCTGATGAGCGTGGATGCAAGATGCCCCTCGCGTGGAAAGGAAGACGGCAACAGGGCAGCCCGCCTTCCATTCGGCTTATGGAAGCCAGAATTACGGGGAGGCCCGTAGAAGGGTTTGGAGGTTGTTGTAGATGGTCGGCGCTCCGCTGTAGCGTCTCCCTCGTCCAACTCTGGTGATATAAGTGCTTGGTCGTGCTTGGTTAACCTGCGCCTATATGCTTCTTAGCTCTCAGAGGTCAATGGTGAGAGGATGTGAATGGCACGACGCGGTCCGACGACCACTACACCTCCATCTCTCATCGGGAGAGGAGTAGAGTGGTCAGGGGATGCGCCCTGACCACTACACTTCCATCTCTCATCAAAAGGGAGACAAAGTTCATGCATAATGAGAGCATAGTCAACTGCTTACGGTACAAGCACGGCATCTACGTCTACTGCTTTCTTATCGGGCCTTGGCAGTGTTGCTGCTAGACCTCGGGACTCGGGCTCCACTGCGAAGATAGGCGTGCGAAGCTTTTAAGGTATCAGCGTCCTGATCTGTGCCGCGTTGTGAAAGCCGAAGACATTCAGAAGATAGCCGTCCGTGGAACTGTGTTTGATTCCCTTTTGCAGAAGCGCAGTCACTTCTCGTTCTTGCAGTCGTGGTCGAAAGTCCACCGATCCACACCCTCCCAGAGTACAGTCGTGCTGGACATTGATGCAGCACAAGATCTTCTATTACTCGTCTATCAGCGGGCTGACAGATGAGGCGAGGGTTAAAACTGACCTGAGGTATACACACTTGGAAATCGCCGGTGCTCACCAATCGCGGGCACCCCAAGGACTCGTGTGGGCTGCCGATACCGAAGATTTCGAGCAAGATCATCCCCGGTCGAGGCAGACCACTTGCTGCTGGGTCTTGGGTGTCAGGGATTAGCATTTCCGTTACTCTGGCGAGACCTTTCTAAGATCGCGTTAGAGTGAGCAACAAGGCTTCAGAATCTGCCACTCACGTCTCGGCGCACAGAGCTGAAGAAGATCACGAAAGCACCGACTGGTACCTTGTCGCCATTCAGAGCAATCATGCTCTGACCCCTGCTGACCCTTGAATCTCCGCCGCGAAGAGAAGGTCGATGTTGATGAGCAGCCGAGTCACGCAGTCTGATTACCGAATGTGGCTGACTGGATTGTATGAAACCTGGGGGGGAAGGTAAGCAGCCGTGTGAGGGAGACATTCAGCAGCCTCACCGCGTGCATCAGGCGCTTCATCAACCAAGCATCCTATGGCTTTCATCAAGGGCCGAAGCACCGTGAGCTCAGCTAGGAGTGCGGGTGAGGCAGCTCTGTACTCCCCGGTCTGCTTGTCCTGCCATCGTCTGCCGTTGATTATGTGCGTGACTCGGTCAAGATGGGCGAAGCTAGTGGCAATGTCGCGGCTTGGGGCTTGATGATTGCTGTTGACCGACCGTGTCCTGAATACAGAGTTGTAGGATTCATATCGCTCGGTAGCGAAGCCTACAGCGGGCCCAAATCTCCGAACGTTGTCCACAATGTGCAGCAGTATATGCATCTTGGGCTTGGATATCATCTTGATAGGATTGAGGCGGGCCATTGCGTGCACCAGTGTGGTTACGGCCAGTCGGAGTTCGTCCTACGAAGTGGAGGTGAGATGTGCTCAGTCGACCACTACACCTCCATCTCTCAAGGAGAGCTGGAGGTGCTTTGGTGTGATTGACGCACCAGGTAGGTCTCCTTCACCTCGATATCATACTGCCACAGAAGCGCACCCGCTAGCCCTATGACAACCCATGCTTCCAGCACATCCGCAGACACCAAGTCCCACAGAATAAATGGCATGCATTGAGCCAGCGTCTTCAAGTGTTTTCCGATCAAAGAGTGCCGATGCTCCATTATATGCTTCGCGTCGATTTTAGGGATATTCAAGCCTTCTTGTCATAATGAACTCAAGTGGGACTCCACAAGAGACAGTGCAGACTGGGACTTATCTTTTTCCAGATGGTCGATCGTGATGCCGAACGCGTACTTCACCAGACCGAGCAAGTAGGTGTGAAGTATTTTGCCCGGCGTGCTGATTCCGAGTTCAAGATCTGGGCTAGCTTGAGCTTGCGGCGGTCAGGCAATTGGGAAAAGGATGCACGAGAAACACGGAGGAGCAGATTGACTGCATCCAAACCACCGCGTTCTTCCAATTCTTGCTGAAGTTCATGGTGAATCCGTGCCCCGTCCCTTGGGGCAGCCTTCTATTTCTGATTTCCTGAGCTCATTAAGTCCAATATGATTGGCTAAGCATATTTGTCGGTGACACCTGTCGTCTGAGACCGTGCAGTGATGGCGCTGCCTTGACGAGGGTGCGTAGCTGCCTGAAGCAGTTCTCGGACCACAACCTAGCGTCTCCTGAGATGTCCGGGGCGAGCCCATCTACAGGAAATATCGGTCAATGGGGTGGAGGATGTTGAAACCCCTGGCGTCACATACCTTGAAGAGGGATGCATATCCCTCGGGCGTTCGCTTGAACTCCTGGCTCCCTCCGGCGTGGCATTGTCGGCAGAAATGGTTTGCACGCAGGCCACGATGGCTACAAAGGTCTGATTGCATAGGGTTGTCGCCTGCGAGAACAGCGATCCACGCGGTGAATAGCACTGGTGCCTCGACCACTGCATCAAACGCCTCGCGGCCATCAAGATTGAGCTCCCTGAGGTTACTTGTCAGTATGCACATCGACAGGGACTCAGTGAGAGATGGAGGTGTAGTGGTCGGCGCACCACGTCTGACCATCCACTTCCACCAGTTGAAACATGAATATACATACTCCAACATGATCACAAGGCCTTCCATCAGCTCTAGAGCTGTCGCGTGAGGCGACGTGCCCAGGAAGAGGATATTGCTCGAGACTTCCATGTCCTGACGGGGCATTGCAAGGTTGGAGGCGCACACGTTGTAGTGCTTGTACCACTGCTTGGATCGATTTCCGGAGACGTCGTCTTCCCATATCATGAGGGGAAGAGAATACACATGTCTTCCATTTGCCTTCTGCCTCCACGGGTTCGGCATCCTGCAAGCTAGCTCGGAGTATTGCTCTATAATGTAGACGTTCTCAGTACTTCAGCTCCAGACTTGTGACGATTGATCGCACCTTCAAAGCTCAAGACTCCAGTCGCGATGTAATCTTTGAGCTCGTACCAGTTATAGGTGAAGGTCTTGGCTAAGCGGAACTTCCTAACCGCTAGGTCCGGGTGCAAGACGCTGGGGACGATGTATGATTCGCCGATCGGGGAGAAGGGGCCGATCAGTTCCAATCGGATATTGTGGCCGAAGGCGCCCATCTCCCCATTCACGCTCCCGATCTGGACCCATCGCTTCGGTAGGAAGAAGTTGCCATCCTCGCACATCACAAGCTCGTCAACGAACCACGGGCGAGACTCATGCTGAAGCATTGGTGTCATGCAGGCGTCCGAGGATTTGTATGCCCAGAGTGATCCATGCCAGAACTCTCTGAGCTCTGTAGAGCCAACCACCGGATAGAACTGCATGTTCCGGCGCTTCGCGGGGTTCGATAGATCCTGCTCCCCGATGAGTGTACCATACTATTAGACAGACCTAATCAGGGAAGACTCGCCTTAGCCAACATACTGCCCAGATCCTGCTCGTAGTAGGTATTCTTGTGGAGCGAAACGAATCGCGTAACCGGGTCGCCAAGCTGGACGAGTGACTCGCGGGCGCATCGACTCCGTTGCGAGGCGCTGGGGACGGTAATGCCACAGGCGACCATCACCGAGCCCACGAGCGCTTGCATCTCCACTGAGAAGTGTAGAAGGTGGAAAAGGACGTCCAGGAGAAAATGCTAAGGAGTGTCAGCGTGGGACACCATGAATCACCTCGGAGGGACGGAGTAGTGGTCAGTGGACCCCATCTGAGCTCTGACTTCCTCTCTCACTGAGAGATGGAGGTGTAGTGGTCAGCGGAGCACCACCACCTTACTACTCCCATCCCTCTAACGGCTGAATGTATGAAGGGGCTGACCTCTTTTACTAGCGTAGGGGTACCACGACGACTCGACATGGGAACCGAAGTGTCGGAAACCGGAATGATCTGTCGCACCGTGAGCTCTTAAGACCAGGTAAAGTTGCGACCGACGCACCTTCTGACTCCTCCCAATCTCCTCTGTTATCATGATCCAGATGGAGAAGATCATGATAGCGGAGAAGCTGCAGCTGCCTCAGGTCCAACGCGTTGGATTCCTCAATGCGACGACCAATGTCGAGACCTGTTGCGAAGACGAGCTGTTCTCCATCGATACCGTAGAACACCTGCTCATCTTCCAGATCCATATCAAAGTCCTCATCGCTCGAAGGGAGCTCCATCGTCTCCGTGATCATGTCCGGAGTCGTCAGCAGCTTGCGGACAAACCTCTTACCCATCCTTGCGGCGAGCTGCTGGTGTCGATTTCGCGCCTGCACTCGGAGAAGATGCCCAAGATCACTTGCGCGCCTATGCTTGGCGGTTCTTGCATGCTCCTGGAGTTGGTCTCGACGCTGATACCGAGTCAAGCTTCCTCCTCCACGAGACATCTCCCATGGGTACCAGGGGGGTTAAACTCAAAGTCTGGAGGAGACGTTAGACTTTGGTACGTCTTCCCCAGCCGTTCCAGCTGTGCCACTTACCTCTGAGATTGACGTAGGAAGCAGACCGGGTCATACAAGAGAGAAATAACGAATCAAAATGGACCGAAGAGCACCAGGGACTTTGATAGCAAGTTTCCCATGGTTCTTAGGACGCGGAGGCAGTGCTAATGTTATGGTCCCCTGACGCCAGTGAACGTCCCATCCGCTTTCTTGGAACCACACTGATCAGCTGTTCAATCTGTGCTGCTCAAGAATGACCACCACCCGGACTATAACGTTCAGCGACTCAGTTCTAATCGAAGTAATGTGAACACGCTCAAACTGGTGGTGAGCTTTCATCCATCTCCATCTCTTTTGCTGTCTGAAACAGTCATGACATCAGCATATCATTCTGAACATCAACAAGGTGGACATCAAGCTGCAGAGATTGAAAATGCATACCTATGAGGTGGAAAGAGACAATGCCAAGTCAGCTGAAGAGGATATCCATTACACCCTGAAGGGTGCATATGGTTGGTTGTCTGCCAGTGTGGACTGCTCTGACAGGGGCCAAGAAGAAGTGGTATGCATTGTACACTACTTATGGACCTACTTATGGACTAATGTTGAGCACCAGGAACACAATAGTACTCCAAAGCCAACGAGGATGAAGTCTACAAGTGCCAGCATGAGTGTTGGGCCCAGCAAGATGGTGAGAAGTGCTGCAAGGCAATGATCAAGATCTGTGTTGGCGTGGGCAATATAGGTTGCATGGTCTGTGATTACTGTCTCAACAATATGGGCTACTGCTTGGGCTGCTGCCACAGCATCAAGAAGACAATTGGGCATACATTCAAGCTGAAGTCTTGTGGGTGCACCACAGGGGGCTGGGTCTGCCTCCTGGTCTTCTTCAGCATCATCTTGACTGCCATGATCTGTAAGTTTCCTACTTAACTTTACCTCATTCTATGCCTAACAGTAACCCTACAGTCTACTCTCACTCTGGGGGAGCCAGCATCTGGGCTCATGAAGGCATTGATGCAATGTTCCCAATGAAGACTGCTGCCTCTGGTCCTGCCACTCCCACCATGCCAACTGGTGCCCCCAACTCCACTGACACTGCCACCAACAAGACCACATAGAACTGAAGACCTGTCTGCAGGGGAATGCTCACTTCTTTTACTATTACTGTGTTGTATTGCTCACAAGAAAAGTTCAAATGCATTGGTCGTGACGTCTCTTTAACCTTGACAGTGTGGTAAGGCTCACCTCCTCTCTGTGAGAGATGGAGGTGTAGTGGTCAGGGCACATGCCCTAACCACTCTACTCCTCTCCCAATGAGAGATGGAGGTGTAGTGGTCGGTGGACCATGCCTGACCATTCACCTCCTCTGCCATTGAGAGATGGAGGTGTAGTGGTCTGCAGACCACCACACCTGACCATTGTCGAACTGGGAGAGGAGGTATCAAGGGAGGAACAACATTGATGTCTGAAATTAACATATATAGGTGTATCTGCTACAAGGAATAATAATATAACAGACACATGGGCACTCGACCTGCATTACTGCTCCTCACCCCACATCCTAACCTGATATGCAGCCATAGAAATACCAGTTAGTAACTTGCCATCATTCATGAGGAAGACATGCCATAGGAAACCCTGCTGCTCTGCATAAGGAAATCAGCAGATGGAAGACCCTGAAAAGCTGGGCTCCTGCAGCATGTGGTTTCCAGAAGCTGCTGATGGGGCAGTGTAGTGGCAGATCATTCTCAAAATCATTGTGTTGGCAGCTGAGTGCAAAGCATTGCGGTGGTTTATTGCACAGTTCAGCAATTTTCTGGGACTGGTTGGAACAAATGCCAAAAGGAGAAAGGCTGGGATCAAGATGGCCAGGGACTGACCTGTGGCTGACAAGATGTCTTGCTGATTAGCCATCCCTGCTTCAGTGTCTAATATGTGTTCTGCTGCCCCAATTCCTCATTCCAGCAGAATTCCACCTGTTTCAAGCCTGCAATGCATCTGTGACCCTTGATGCACTGCTTTCCCTTACCTGGCATCTTCAGTGAAGCCTGAGCATGGCTCATGAGATCGGTGGTTTAGTCTCACAATGAACATTGAACAAATGTATTATGATATATCTATGTTGTTGACATGCTGTCAGGGCACCAGCTCATTGCTTGGTCAAGAGACATGACTAAGCCTTTATGACATGGAAGTAGCTGGTATACCTTGGCATGTGCAGACTGTTCATTCTGCTGATGCCATGGGGGGGGTGTGGTGATCATTGTTTGCTATTGCATCATTCTGAGTCAACAATCCAGCTGCCTTGAAGCCATGCCACAGTGCTGCAATGCCACAAAGCCCATTGCCTTGATGCAGGGGAGATAGGTGAGGAGCAATGGGTTCAGTGGAGGCTTTGTAAATAGTGATTTGGGCACCACGCAATGCTGCACTGAGGGTGTACTTGCTTTTCAGCTGGCCAGTCTGTGTTGTTTGCCTGCCAGAGGGCAGGGAGTCATTGCCCATTGTGCTGCTGCAACAGAAGGAGAAAGCAATTCTGAACCATTCAGCACTTTGGAGACTCTCAGCAGGAGGAGATGTAACAGAATAGCATTGTATTGGTACACAGAAGCAAAGCAAAAGCTTCAATGATGTGACGTGCCCTGAAATGGTGGAATCAGGTCAGGGTTCAGTGGAATTGTGCTGGAATAGAGTAATGTGTGTGGATGTGTCATTTTAGAGACTGAGGCGCAGGTTGCCTGCACTGCTAATTTGCAGTGTAGGCTGGAAGGTATGGCTGCAGGGACCATGATCAATGAATAGCCGTATGCACAGATCAACAAGAGGTAATAGAAAATCACAAAGCTCAAGAACTTGGTTAATATTGTCCAGTTTGCCGGAAACAAACCCTATAAATGCACTGCCACCCAAATAATATAGAGCGCCTCTCTCCATGACGCGGTCTATGTTTGTGCCGGCCACCGATCATCTCTGCGGTCCGGTCAACCACCAGAACCGGTTTGTGCGGGGCTCCTCTTTCGCTTAACCCGGGGCCCCGAAGATGCTCCGCGGGGCCATGCAAGAAAGACGGTTTCTCTCAGTTTTGTAACGACTCGGTTGCCCCGCACAGCTCCTCGCCCTTCCACAACTGTATGGAGCACGGTCTTCCATCCAGGCACTCCTCCGAACGAAGCATACGATCAATGCCATATAAGACCAGATGGATCTATCTACCGGCGGTCCGTCAGTTGTCCTGCTTCTTCTTAACTGTCACGCAAGATGTCCCGACGCGCGATTGGAGACGCTGTTTACCAGGATGCGGCGGGTGTTATCGTGGCGAACAATGATAGACTCGTGGGCAATGAGATCAACGAGCAAGTCATACACGACGGTGCGATGGCCGACGCACAGGAGCACAAGTCAACGCGCTGGGAAGCGTTCTTGACTCATCGGAAAGCAATATTCTGGAGCATGGCTCTTTCTGGCGCGTAAGATCTTCGTTTTACTGCGATACAAGTGCTTTAAATACCCGATGCAGACTGATCATGGAAGGGTATGATGTTGTCGTCGTAAGTGCCCATTGGTTGTCCGAAGAGCGCTGCCAGATGCTCACCGATTCCGTCAGATTGGCTCTTTCTACGGTCAAGGTACATACTCTATATTGATATCAGAGCCCAACTTCATCTTTGTTTTATTAGCCAACTTCTTGCGACGCTTCGGTGTGCCTGCACCCGGCACTGAAAATGGTTATGTGATCCCAGCAGAATGGCAGTCCGGGCTCAGCAACGGCTCCTCCGCTGGTGGCATCATCGGTCTCTTCATCAACGGTTGGGCAGCCGAACGTTTCGGGGCCAAGAAAGTCATGTTCACCGCTCTAGTGGCTCTCACCGGTTTCGTCTTTATCATGACATTTGCATCTTCCCTGACTATGCTCGTGGTTGGTGAAGTCTTGTGTGGCATACCCTGGGGTATCTTCCAGACGCTTACCACCGCGTATGCGTCAGAAGTGTGCCCAATCCACCTTCGGGGGTATCTGACCGCGTATGTCAACCTCTGCTGGGGAGTCGGCATTCTACTCTCCTCAGGTGTCGTAACTGCAACATTGAATATCGAAAGCGACTGGAGTAAGTCTGTACAACGCCCCCCTGTGGTCTTGTCTCTGATTTCCCTCTTTAGGTTGGCGCCTGCCCTTTGTGGTCCAATGGGTGTGGATCATTCCCTTGTGCACTATTGTATACTTCTGCCCTACCAGCCCTTGGTGGCTCGTCCGTCAGGGTCGACTTGAGGATGCCGAAGCAAGCTTACGTCGTCTTACCAACCCCGAGCGCTTCACCGACCAGGACGCGCGCAACACAGTGGCCATGATGGTTCACACCACCGAGCTCGAGAGGCAAGCCACAGCCGGGGCAAGTTACATCGATTGCTTCCGCAAGATGGATCGGCGCCGAACCGAGATCGTACGTTGTCGAAAACCCGTTTGTAGCAATCTTTCTCACACAGACTATTAGGTTATGCTCACCTTCGCAATGCAACTTCTTTCTGGAGAAAACCTCATTGGACAAGGTGTTCAGTTCCTTCAGCAGGCTGGAATTTCCAATCAGCTGTCTTTTGACCTCAACATGGTTCTTAATTCAGTGAGTGCGGCTGAAAGTGTCATTTCGCAACAAAAGTCTTACCAAGGCGCATTCCAGATGTTCATCATTGGCACGATCTTCTCATGGGGTTGTACGTGTCCATCACTCATGCTGGCAGTCGTGACTTAACACATGCCGCTAGTGTTGAGCGTCTTCGGCCGCCGGACCTTGTATACCTCTGGCATGGCATGCATGGCCGTCGTACTGTTCATCATCGGCGGTCTCGGTTTCGCTACTCAAACCAGCCAAATCACAATGGCAATTGGGTCGTTGCTCATCGCGCTCAACTTCGTATACAATGCAACTCTTGGACCGATCTGCTACACTTTAATTGCGGAGGTTTCGTCCACCCGGCTGCGCCAAAAATCCATCGTGCTGTCGCGAATCGCTTATCAGATTATGAACATAATCTGCGGTATCATTGTCCCTCGCATGCTTTCCCCGACTTCGTGGAATTGGGGCCCAAAGAGTGGTATTTTCTGGGCAGTATCAGCCACTCTCAGCACCCTCTATTGCGTTCTGCGCCTGCCGGAGACGCGCGGCAGGAGTTACGGTGAACTGGACATGCTATTTGAGAGCAATGTACCTGCATGGAGGTTCGCTACCACCAAGGTCGACCAGTTCGGTTATCACATGCGGGATCACAAGGTTTCGGAAGACGCCGGGGAGGTAAAGGGGGATACTGTTATGGCGGACAGAAGGCGCGAGTATGAGCTATAAGTCGGAGATTTCGTTACATGCGTGCTCTTTCGTCATGGATTTATTGGGTACATTGAACGCGTCAGTCAGATCGGCTCGATTTGTGCAACTCCGGCCCGAGACATGCCGATTTTGTTTCGGCTTCGGTGTCCCGAATATCCGGCGTTCACTTGGGGGAATTTACGCTCCAATATGAGATGAAAACGCAGGGAAAACCACGGATCAACCCTCTATCCCGAATTCCAAGCCGAGCCTTTGAATATTGATTTCCCCTTCCGGGAATTTGGTCTAAACCGATCGGAGCAACATTTCGTCCGTCGTGCTTTTCTTGGTTGTGAGAGAGGGCATCCCCACAAAGCGGAGTCGGCAGAGTGCTCACCCTGAAGGGAACACACCGTGTAATCCATACTCGATTCCCTGGTTGGTACGCAGATTTGGTCTATGTCGTTCGGAGAATCTCCGATCCTGGGCGTGTAGAGTCACAGCTATCAGTTACTCATCGGGTTCCCGAGCAAATGTAGGCAATTGACGTCCATTGCCCTATTCCAAACGGGCAAAAGGGGGGATGCTGTTGGCAACAGTGCTCGGTGATGTTGGGGGAAAGCTTTGTTTTTGGAAGCATTGTCCGCTTTGTACTTTGGGAAGAACTCTGCAATAATACTTTTTTCGCCAGGAGATGGGTTGCTACATTGCCCCCGGGCCCACCATTTCCTCCCAGTTGTCGCTATCATCGGTTCACAGTTCGCCGTTTTCCATTTTCGGTACCAACTCGTCTTTCACATAATCCTCAAACGTGTGAAACTTGACTCCTAGTTCGACGAAAAGTTCCGTGGGGAAGGGCACATTCGGAAAATTGAGGCCATCATCGACGAGCAACATCATCTACTGCAAATGAGCAAACTGTGTGGATCCTGCCAAAAGAGAAAGCAGACCTCTTGTAGTTCCTCTGTAGGCATTTGGGTAGGGCGCGTATACCGAATCTCTGTGCCCGTCACTAGGTACTTATCAGCCTGATGTCTCTCTCGGGCGAAGAGGTGCACCAACCCTTCCTCAAGACATCTATCATCTGCTCAACACTCATCGTGAATGAGCATACCGGGATCGGCGCCCTTGTCAGATTCTCCCTGCCCTCCCCACCGGCTTCCCACACCTCCAGGGCACGGATCACACAAGGGCCGAAGTCGGGCCCAATGTAGGACAAGGGCAGTTGAGTAGCAGGACGAACAACGGGCCATATGACGATATAGGCGCCTGGGGCCTGTGAGCACGACCGAATGAGGGGCATGTTGTGGAGACTAAAACAGGTCAACGACGTCAGTCAAACCGTACCATGACGCGAGACATGAACGAAGGGCAAGAAGCAGAGACGTACTTCTCCACGAATCCCCCTGTTTGCAAGATGATCGCTTCCTGCTGGACGCTTTTGATGTACTCATCAACCTCGGCTTTCTCGTCCCAATGCTTAACCTTGGTGTATTTTCCACCCGAAACCTTCTTTGCTTCGCTCAACGAGCTCCAGACCAATACTTGTACGCTAACCGCACGGCACGCATCGACGATATTCTTCCCCTGCACGAGTTCGGGGACAGCCGTGAAGGGAAGCGTGACGCCGAAGACGGCCCAGGCACCTTGAAAAGCAGACAGGAGGGAGGAAGGGGAGGAAAGGTCGCCAGCTACCATGTGCACGCCTTTCCCCGAGAGAGAGAGTGCAGCGCTGGAGCTGGGGTCGCGGGTGACGCCACGGACTGCATAAGAAGGGGAGGAGAGAAGGGCGGAGATGACGGAACCGCCCTGAAGTCCTGTGGCTCCTAGGACCACAACGAGCTTCTTGTCCGACATTTCAAAGGCGACGTGGAGTGATTGCAGAGGTAGTTGCAGAGGTACCGCAGATTGCGGAATGAAGAGCGAGCAGAGATGATAGTGATTGCCAACAATTTTCTTGCCGTTTTCATAATCAAACTGAACAAGCAACAATCCATTACGCCGGTTCCATCTTGCACGTCCATTCCGATCGACAACAATTATCGCGTCCCGGACATCGGACGGCAGTCACCAGCAATTTTGCTGCGCCAGATTCGCCCGAGAACGAATGACCAAATAAGTAGGAACAGCTAAATGGATGAAGGTTAACGTTGACAAAAGCGATGTGGTAAGCAGAACATGAACAGCCTTCGTCGTTTTCCACGATCGAGTCCTGGAAGACAGATGACAGAAGATCTAGGTGTGCCGGCGGTAAAGCTGACCTTGAACAGACAAGTTCTGAGAGAAAGCACAGATAGTAACAAATCGATCGAGAGAAGTCGATGTTGGCAGGAAAGACGCAGGAAGTGAGTGGAAGAGAATGTTTGAGCATCGGTGCGATGACCAGAGATGACTCCCGATGGAGCGGAAAGATGTCCCAGAGATCGTCCGCGAGTGCTGGGATCGCGCGAGTTGCGGAGGAGCGGCGCCGGTCATACCGCGTGGTGAGTATCGCCAGAGTGTGCGCGTCGAGTGCATGGCCGCTCTGATGAAGGTTCACCAACCATTCTTACGTCTGCAGTGTATGATGTCTGCAATATCCAAGGGGTATAAAGAGGGTTCTGTTGTCCAGAAAGAAAGTCGCCCAGAAGGATAAGTTTCGTAGCCAGCGGCATAGAAGGAAAGTATTCCGCTCCTGTTCCTCGGGCGCCGGAACGACCTGCCTATTCAAGCGTCAGAGTGTTGTCATCGACACCGTTTCGGTGGTACGAGACCGCTTTACTGTGCTGTCCGAGGACCGATAAGGATCAAGGGTTAAAGAAGGTTAGACAAAACCGGGGCCACGGTCAGGAACCTTGACGGTCTGGACGACGTAACGGTTGTTATCTCCACGAAGGAAGCCCTTCGTCTAATCAAATGGTGCTATCCAAGCCACATGTAGACAATCTCCGTGTTTACATCGGTCCAACATTGAGCTCTGGACTCCAGACAGACCGGGAGATGTGTGAGCTCTTGTTGTCGCTCAAACTTGCTGGGATCATGATTTCACTTGTACGCCATGCCGGAGGAAAGCTGTGGAAACGAGGTCCTCGAAGACGCTATGAAAGGTGTTTGTTGGATGACTTTTAAGGATGGTTGGGTATGTGGTTTGGACTGTTTTGACGCAGTGACATAAGAGAATTACTGAATATGAAGTCCGAAGCGCCTAACTCCGACCACGGTGGCGCTTCGGAGTCGGACGGAACGCTTGAACTGTACAGTTCCTTTGAATTGTGGCTTGCCTCCCCCCCCGCCACTCTACGCGCCCGGCACCCTATCGAGAGCAAACGGTTCATCGGCATTCAGGTCCTCGACGTCGACTATTCCTAGTGCTTGCCCACCACCTCCCGTTCATTCGCAACCACCACCGCACCGACAAGGTGAATAGCTTGCTTGAATCGCTCGTCCTAAAAAGACGGCGACACTCATTCTGAGCTCTGGACTTACGACGATTCTTTTCTGGCAGTTTCCCCGGTCCTTTACTCCCCACCGTAATTCAACATGGTTCGCGTATCCGTCCTTGTGCGTGCTACGAATATTCGGAACGGAAGGATAGAGCTGACGGGGAAATAGAACGACTGCCTCAACAACATCGTCAATGCCGAGCGCCGCGGCAAGCGCCAGGTGCTCATCCGCCCCTCCTCCAAGGTCATCGTCAAGTTCCTCTCCGTCATGCAACGACATGGTGCGTACCTGTCCCTCTCTGCATAATCCTCCTTCGGCGACGTCTTTGCGCTTGCTGTTTTTATCTCTGTTGCCTCATTCTCTTAGGTGTATGCTAACTGAATGGTCTATAGGTTACATCGGCGAGTTTGAGCTGATTGACGACCACCGTTCAGGGAAAATCGTCATCCAGCTGACCGGTCGGCTGAACAAGACCGGTGTCATCTCCCCCCGATTCAACATCCAGGTCAAGGACATCGAGAACTGGGTCAACTTGCTCCTTCCTGCACGTCAGTTCGGGAAGCTTATCCTCGTGCGTAACCCCCTCTATATGCAATAACATGGAGCGCTAAATGCGATTTCAGACCACTTCCAGTGGTATCTTAGACCACGAAGAGGCCAGGAGGAAGAACGTCGGTGGCAAAATCCTCGGCTTTGTCTACTAGACACCTTTTTGGGTTTGTTCGGGGTAGAGCGGCAGTTGTGGTGCGGTGGTCGGAAGTGAGCGCCGGCGTGCGCAGAGACATGTATTGCTAATGCTTAAGATATGCTGAGCAATATGACACTTTACGCTATCATTTCTGCCATTGACATTCTAGCTGCTTCATTATATTCATCTGAGATGCTCGACTCTCCTACGTTCCCATCTCTGCATCTCACACCGCTTCGCCGATCTTGCCAACCTTGACATGGAACATTTCCTCAATGTCAAAGTATTGCCCACTCGCCGGGCCCCATTTAGCGACGAACTTGTTCCAACCCTTATCCCCGCTCTTCCTAAAGTCCTCCATATGCGCTTCCACGCTCTCCCACGAAATGAAGACGAGCGCCTTGGTCGGGTCTTCCTTCTGCCACCCAAGATTATATCCCTTGCTCCCTGGATAGCTGCCGACGATCTCGAGCGCCTCCCGGATGGCGCTGAGGAAGAATGGGAAGTTGTCGGGTGTAGAGGCAGTAGGCTTCAACGTGATATTAATCACTTCGTACACGGGGACGGGGGTGGTGAACTCCAGAGGACCAAAGAAGTGGAAGTGGGCGAGCGAGATGACGGAAAGGGCAGCGCCTTCACGCGCAGCGAGGAACTTTGGGTATCTGGCAAATGTCCTTGAGCTAGGTCCTCTAGAAGTGAGAAAGAAGCGCACAGGTCGCTCGCACGGAAACGCATGTGTCCCTATACACGGGCCCACAACCTCAGCAGCGTCACATCTTAGACAAGGCAGTACGCACATCAAACGATGTCCACTCCAGGATCCTCAGGACGATGCTGTCGTCCTCCGTCTTGACCCCCTCGAGCGCATAGCGCACTAAGTCCGTGTGTGTGCTCTGGATGGCCACGCCGGCTGCGGTCTTCTCCCGTGTGAAGGCGGGGTCGGCCTTGTTTGGCTTGAAGAGAACGACTTCAAACAGGTAGGATAGATCTTGAGATGCCATCGTAGTCAGGTGGTAGGAAGAGAGGAGGGAGGGACACAGGGAGGCATGCGTGCTGGCGCACTGAGCCAGTCGGAATGGACCCGACGGGAGGAGTCTCCCCACATGCCCGCAAAATCCTTGACGCCTAGAAGGGTCCTCATGATGCAAGACTACAACTCCACTCTGAGGAAGTTACTTCATTGCTCGAGACTAGTACAATAACTTGAACATAAATCACGGTGCTAAATATCCTGGGCTTGTCATCCATGGGACATACTTCAATCGGTCTTGGCCTCCATGCTCTGCTGAGCTTCCTTCCGATAGCAAGTGATTTCCAGTCCCATATCCCTGCCCACCAGCATGTGACTCTCTACTCTGCTCACATCGAGGATAGCACGGAATGCCTCCTCGAGTGAAACACTTTTTGTGTCGTCGTACATCGACGGCTGGCTGTGACTAGCGGACGTGGGCAAGCAGCGAAGGAGCAGTGATTCCAGCCGGGGTGCCTTCCGAAATGCTGTCGCCCATGGAGTCTGCATACATATGCCATCAGCGTCTTCCCCATATCCATGTCTCGGAACTTACTAGATGGTTCATAAAGTCAATGGGGAACTTGAGATCCTTCCAGTCTCGCATTGGCCCCCAGTTCTGGCGTTTCAATGTTTGCTTACTCCTCAGTCTTTTTACACCGGTCAGCACAGTGATTACCTCGCGTGCCGATATCTCAAGGCGGACAAGATTCGGGGCAACATCAATGACAGTCATGATGTCTTGATCGGAGGTCTCGGTAAGACTGATGCTGAGCTTCTGCAGGAAGTTGGCAATTCCAGGCAGAATGTCGCACAAAGCAGCAAAGTCTGTCCTGGAGAGCGAACTGTGAATACGAAGGGCATGTGTCGGGCAGGGGTCCAGCGTCGATTTCGACGTCTTCGGCAGCAGGGCCTTGGCCAGGCGAAAGTTGGCAAGGTCCATGTCCTGAATCCTGGGAAGCTGATCGTTCTTCCCTCTGATGGACGGAACGAGGGAATCGGATATGCTGAGTTCCTTGAGGCGATTATGTCGCGTGAGGAAATCCATGAACTTCTGAGCAGAAGTGATCCGCCCATGGGATAGGGATAGACGATAGAGGAAAGGCCACGTGAGCTCGAGGATAGGGTCGACCTTCCAAGTGGGGTCATGATAGACGTTCCGAGCGATAGGCACGTTGATTTGCAGGACTTCTAACATCTTGCAGTTGGCGATGGACTGAACGAGGCGTGCAATAATGGATGACAGGACAATACTGGAAAAACCGGTTGCGAAATGGGTATTGAAGACAAAGGTGACCTTTCGAAGACCAGATATCGTATCCAACACGGGCCAAATTGGGCTGTCGAGCTGGGGCGGGAACCAACGCCACGTGATCGAAGTCAACTGAGGCATACGACACAGAATGTTGTCTACTTTATCGGTCATCAGAATCTTGCGGGCATCGACACGTTGACCTATCACAAATGAATTGTTCGCAAGTTGTGCCATATTCTCGTACATAGCAGCTGGCAACTCTGGCAGAACAAAGCCGTCACCGCGAACGTAATCTTGCATGAACCTCGGGGCTTCCCGTGTTCCCGACTTATCGATCGAGATGGCACGGATTGCGTCCCAACGGTGAGGAGCTGCGCTAAGAAATTCTTCGCAGACTACGCGAAGTTCTCCGAAAGGATTCGGGTCTTTGACTGAGGTAGATCCAGTATACCAGGTACCATCGTGGGTAGGCCAAGTGAAAGCACGATAGTGTAGAGGAAACATGATCGTGACAGCTTTCAGACGAGAGCATGTCAAGGCAAGAGATAAGACGTCGCTGGCTTCGTCGATATGCGTGACGATATGATGAAGAATCTCGACTGGAAATTCTGTTAGCAGCATTCCAAGACAGGTTCGGTTCAAGTTGCAAGTGGTGGGAGTCACGCGTTGCCATCCAGAAACGCGCCGCTCACGCGACAATTGCCTCCGCTTAGGGACCGCCCACAAAATTATTGTCGAGCACCAACCAACGACTGCTCCGCGAAACATCGTCTCACCAGCCATGACCGTAACCATCACTAAGAAGACCATATCTGCGCCTACCCGCGATGATAAGAAGAAGAAGAACACCGGTGATGTGTATGGGGCACCGGCGCAGCATGGACAGAGCAGCAGGAAGGGGAAGAAGGCGTGGAGGAAGAATGTCGACCTTGTCGAGGTAGAGGAAGGGTTGGAGAAGCTCAGGGAGGATATCAGGACAACTGGGTCAGCTGAATACTGTACCTTACGGCGAGAATGTCATTATTGATGCAAGTGATAGGGGTCCGATACATGAGAAGAGCGACAAGGACCTGTTTATGGTAGACCTTACTGGTAGTGAAACCGGTTTGTGTCCCTTCTCTTGGGTCGTCTCACGCGTCTGACTCCCATTAACAGTGCGCAAACGTATAGGAAAACCACTGAAATCGCTCGAAATTCTGCATCAGCGGTCGGCCGTCCCTGCGGTCCACTCCCGTTCACGCCCCATCACTGATTACACCTCTCGCTCAACAAAAGATCGTCTCCGCAGAAAGGCGGGGATGCATGAGATTTTTGCGGACAGGACAGTGCTGGAGGTTACGGAGGCTGTGAGAGATTCCGGAAAGTTTGATGTGTGGGACGAGGTGGCCGAGGAGCAAAGGGAGAGAGATGAAGGGTTAGAGAGGCTGGGGGAGGAGGGGAGGGAGTTCGTTGGCGAGTACGTGAAAAAGCCAAAGCCAAAGGCATGTCTCTGTACTTTTTCTCTACCAAATCGACTTACGTCATATAGGCCCCAGAGCACCCAAGGATAGCACAGCATATCCACCTAGAGGCAATTACGACCCCGCACGCGGGTCAGTCATACAACCCCACACAGGAAACACACCAAGAGCTACTTTTGCAAGAACACGCGAAAGAGGTTGCAAGGCAGGAAGAATATGCGAAGGAACAAGCGCTCCGGGCACAACTGGAGAATGTGCGGGGACTCAGGACGAGTGACAGTGATGTCGTGGGTGCCCCAGGCATGCAGGTGGATGGAGAAAATGAAGAGCCTGGTTCAGAAGCTGAGTCTGGGGAGGTCGTCGTTGTCCGCAATACCGTCCCTCGTCGTAAAACTCGCCAACAACGCTTGAGACATGCAAAGCACCTTGAGACTTTGCGTGCCCAGCAAGAAAAGACAGCCCGTCGAAAGCTGCTCGCCTCCCTTGCCTCCATTCCCTCCATAACCAAGACCCTCGCAACTCAACAAGCTCAGGCGCAAGAACGAGCACAAGTGCGCCAGCTCGCTCGCCAAGAAGCTCTACGCACTGGTCTAGCAGGCAAGAGGATGGGCAAGCACAGGGTGCCGGCAGAGCGCGTAGACGTACAGCTGGGAGACGAGCTCTCCGAGACCCTCCGCACGCTGAAGCCGGAGGGAAATCTGTTCAGGGAACGGTGGGACAGCTTCATGCATCGGGCTAGGGTGGAGCCGAGGGTTGTGGTGACTAGAAAAGGAAAGAGGGTGGGCTCGAAGACTGTCGAGCGGTACCGCTACAAGCGGTTTGTATAGTCGCTGTCGGCGGGAGGGGAGCGATCGGTGTTCCCAAGCAATGGTTGATAGATTGCCGTGTTATTGCATCCAGACCATTATTTGCTTGCGGCACGTAATGCATGCTGTAGTGCTAGCAGGTACCTATTCTGCAAAAAACGGCGCACGCGGTCTGTTCTGCACTACCACCAAAACCCGCAAATATAAGGATATAATTCTCACGGTAAGCTGCAACGCATTGCGCGGTAGTTCCTATTACAACAACAACAATTTAATGGCAACCGATCTCTTTATCCCCTCAACCCAACTTACAGCTCGGCATCCATGCACCTCTATCTCATCTGGAAAAGATCTGATATCCATTTCCTAGTGTCCGAAGGGGCATCAAGGCTTGTGGTCCGGCTGGGTACTTGCCGCTTGTTGGGCGACATACCCGCTCCCAGTGGCTGGATGACGTATCAAGCCCTCGCTGAGCTGTTCGTACTCCTGTGCCCGCTTAGGATCGTTTCGTCGCTTGTCCAAAGTCTTCTTGACTTTGCGCTCGGGGCGGACGACGATTACGGGCACCGGGGAATGAGATACACACCATCTGCAGTTTAGGCGCCGGGGAGACCACAGGAAATGACGAGTTCGGGGAAGCAGCGAGAAAAGAGCGAACATGAATAAATGTAATCAGCTCCCCCCGATCGTCTGAGGCACTTGATGGGCACTGACCGAGACACACTGCCCATCCCCGGAGCGCCCAGCGCAGCTCCGAGCGCTTTCATGCCCTTTCTTGCCCTAGTTCCCACAACAAGCGAATCCGGTCGGTAAAGTGCGATGAGGCGCTCAATGGTGTCTGTTATGCGGCCAGCGACAAACTCCACTGTGACGTTGAGGGAGCGTGTACCGTCCGAGAGCTGTGTATTCCGTTCTAGGATATCGAGCAAGAGCTGGTGGGCTTGCGAGCGAAGGAGGTCTTGTTCTGCGAGACCTACAGCCAGTACGCATGGATGGAAGACATATTGTGAGAGAGAGATCCAGGAAGAGAGGGAGATGACAACGCACTCCCAGCATCCTCGGTATCGAAACCTCTCAGCACGATGAGCTCATCCCCATCCTGGGCAAGTGTCTCGACCGACCAGTCGAGTGCCTCCTGTCCCGACTCATCAGGAGAGGCCGCACACAAATATATACGCGTTTTCCGGGAGCGTTCGTAGTTCTCGGACTTTGCCTGATTGGGAGTATAAATTAAGTACCGACAGGAGAGCGAGAACGGGACGGACCTGGAGCGTGTAGGAGAAGAGCTCTGTCGTGGACTCTCCCATCGTGTCGAAGCTCACTCCACTCTTGTACCCCGCCATCGGAGTAGTCAAGCTACTCGCCGTGCTCAAGCTCCTGGGAAAGAATCCGATTCCATTTCCTCCGCTTGATCCAGATCTGAGCGGACTTGTGAGAGGGGGCGAGAGTAGCGCCGGCGCCGAGGACGATGTAGGAGCTGGAGATGCAGACAGGGAATGCTTGAGCGCCGGTCGAAGAACTGGGTGTAAGGGCAGGGGGTTGTGAGTCGGGGGAGGAGAGATGGAAGGAGAAGGCGAAGGCGAAGTCATGTTGCCAGTGAGAGGATGAGGAGTACTTCAATAGCCGCCTTTGTGTTCTCCTTGTCCCGTGTCAAGGGTTCGTCACGGGAGAGACTACTCCCGTGTGGCTGTGTAAAAGGACCCTGAGTCTATTTTAGCTCACTGGGTTCATCTTGCATCCGCTCGTTTACCAACCTTCTCTCTATTGAGGAGAAGATCAGTCGACTGTTGCTTTGCTGTCTCTTCATCGCTTGACTTCACTACATCACTCGTCAACAAACCGATGCTAGCCAAACGTAAGGCTGAAGAAAACCTCGAAGGAGACAGAGAGGAAAAGAAGGTCGCCCTGGAGCCTGTGGAGCACGAGCAGTTACAGACAGAGGATGCTGAGCATGCGGAAGCTGCGGAGGCACCCGTCGAAGAAGACCATGATGGGGACGCTGGAAAGCAAGAGGAGGATGAAGAGGAAGGCGAAGATACCAAAACACCGGACGACCCCACCCTAGACGAAGACGACAAAGAGGAAGGCGAAGCTGAATCCTCCAACGACCCATCCTCAGCCCCAGCCGACTCATCGTCTGCCGCTCCTGTTCCAACTCCAGCCTCAGTGCAAAATGACTGGCAAGCCATCTACGCAGCCCCTTACAACGCATACTACTTCTATAATGTCAAGACGGGTGAAACGACTTGGGTGAACCCTCTCGACCCTTCCGCTGCAGCCCACGTCGAGGCACCATCGGGTCACGCCACCGTACCAGCCGCGCACGTTCACCCTTCTGCTTCCCCATCCAGTTCTACGCCAGCGCCAACATCGACGTCTTCCGCTGCGAACGCTCTGAACAACCCCTGGGCAGCGCCTGTACAACATTCAGATTCCCCAGGGGAGGGCATCGACCCTTTGCTGTATCATCTCGACTCGACCCTTTCCTCTCCCGCTCTCACCTCATCACATCCAGGACAGTACACCTCCCAAGCGCGGTTCAACGCTCACACTGGCAGGTTCGAGAGTGATCCTACTCGCCGGCCAGAGAAGATGGGCGAATGGGAACGTTGGCGCCGGATGGGGCAGGTATACTTTGACGTCAATAGCTGGGAGAAGGAGGTAGAGGAGCGGAAGGAGAGAGAGGAGAGGGAGGGGAAAGAGAAGAAGAAACCAACGAAGAAGGATCTTGTGTGTTTTATGCTTTTGGTGCTCTGATCACTGGTACTGATGCGGTTGTGCAGGAACGGTTTGCGGAAGCGAAGAAGCGGAAAAAATTGGCCAAGACGGCTTGGTTGAGGAACTGAATAAAGCACGCGTATTTCTTATGTACTGAACCACTGGACAATATACCATGTAACATCCTTCGCAGTGGCTATCTCTTCGTCGCGTCCAACATGACGTCCATCTCAGATCATATCAAGGGTGACACTCCACATCGTATAACGCGGCACTGTCTGTGAGCTCCCCCTACTGCTTCGCCATAAACGGAACAACTTCTTCCCTCACATAGTCCTCAAACGTGTGGAACTTCACGCCCAGATCCTTCAACACAGGAGGAGGAAGCTCATCCGGGTACCAAACCTCAGCGCAGAAGTCGAACATCTGCCGTGATCGTAAGTGCAAATGTTGGTAGGGAAGAAGGGCGACGTACAGTCTTCATAGGCTCCGGGACTTGAATGGGAACGTACTTCACTTCCTTTCCTGTTACTGCATCCAACATTCAGCACCGAACCTCGAGCAATAACAGGACAACTCACCCCTTGCAATGGTCTGTTCCATCTCTTCCCCTGTGATCATGAACGAACACACCACAATCGGCGCCTTCGTCAGCCTCTCTCTGGCGGCAGGATCTTCCCAACGGTCGATCACCGCCAGCGCCGACGGCCCCACATCAGCGGAGATATACGACAGCGGCTGGGGGACAGAAGCGGGCACGATAGGGTAGAAGATTTGCCATTTCGTACGGTCGGCGGAGACAGGCTGGAGCTGACTTCGACCCATGTGTTGGAGTAGACTGGGAAGGGTCAGTGAGTGGGAACACCAGCGGAGAGGGTTGAAGGACACACTTTTCGCAAAAGGCGCCGAGGTAAAATACAACAGTTGGTTGACCGACTTCGGACGCGTAAGCAGGCACTCGGCATTTCTCTTCCATCAACCTGCATACATCGTCTTGTCAACGTGCTGTCTGATATATCGTGGGTTAAAACACGCACTGGACGTTAAATTTCCCGTTAGACACCTCTAAGGAGCTTGGCAGGGAGGAGAGGACGAGCAAAGGGACGTTGTTCGCCCGGCAAGCATCGACGATATTCCTTCCCATCACGTCCTCGTTCACGCCCGTGAACGGTAGTGTGATTGCATACACCTTCTTGGGTCAGCTTGTGTGCAAAGATTGGAGGGAAACTTGACGTACAGCATAAGCACCCCTGAACGCTGCTACCAGACTGGACTTGTCGATGAGTGATGCTTGGACCATCTCTACGCCTTTAGCAGCCAGATCCTTAGCTGGGAGAGATTCGGTGTTACGTGTAAGACCGCGAATGCTGTATCCACCATGATTGAGAAGGGCGGTCACCACTGAACCGCCTGTAGAATCGTCAGCCAGGAGGAGTGCAAGGCAGTGAAGGCGGCGTACCTTGGTGTCCAGTCGCTCCGAGCACTACTACAAGTTTGTTCGCCATGTGTGTTGAGATACGATATGAATGCAGTTGACTGTTGTTGTTATGTTAACCTCGCCACGAAGACGTTGCGTTGATTATATACATTATCTAGTTCTCCCCATATTGGATGTCCCCATCGGCATCGGAGACGGAGGTCTGCTCGCTGCAGAACAGGATAGCATCATTCACGTGACTGAACCTGCCCCCTTTGGAAAATAGAGAGCGAGATAGAGACCGAAAGGCGTGTCGAAGCGCCGTTGCGGTTCACAAGCGCTCATGCACGTGATTATTTCATCTCCCGATTTCTTCCGTCCTTGACTATTCACTTCACTACCGGCGCAGTCCCACCTCGCGGTTGGTGGTTTCGGAGGCTTGCTCGCTGCAGGGCCTCACTTATGTCGGGCAGTCGAGAGATATAGGATCGGCCCGATGTCGGACGGATCTCCGATGTACCACCAACATTCAATAGCGCTGACGTCGACTTCGCACGGACCACGTTCTGACAACATTCGTGTGTGTCGCAGCGACCAGCACGACAAGTTATGGTGTCTTAGGTGTTTCTTCTCATGAGAGGGGATCGAGAGTTATCATGATAGCTCACGCCTCATTCAGTAGTCACAGTTACACACACGGTATCAAGATTCCTGTTCCCTACTGCGCAGACTGGATAAATTGCACCACTTCCTTCCGCGCGTAATCCTCGAACGAGTGCAGTTTGACTCCCAGATCCTGGAGCGTGGTCTGTTGGGGATAGCGGAAAAATCCGTCGTTCGCACACTCGTAGGGCGCTTTCTCGGAGTCCAATGCTGGACGTTCGACGTATGTGAACTCTTTGCCTGTGACTGGGAGGTATACGTGAGCAAGACAGACGGACGCGAAACGACTAGGGCGTACGGTTCTTGAGGGTACTGATAATTTCGTTGATCGAGACAAGGTACGGTGCCGCGACGACCACGTCCTTGGTCAACTTCTCCCTCCACGTCTCATCATCCCAACGATCGATAATCGCAGCAACGATATTGCCTAAATCGGCTGTAATATATATGCTAGGGATGACCACATCGGGGCGCAAGATAGGGTAGACGATGTTCCACTTGTTGGCATCAGATGGGTCCTTCTGGAGCTGGCCGAACTTGATCAGGTTCTCCATGAATCCTCCGGTGTGGATGATGACAGTCGGCTGTCCCGAAGACCGAACATACTTATCGACCTCGCTCTTCTGGTCAAAGTGACTATGTCTGGGTCAGTACGCTACCTCCGCGCAGAGGAACTTCACTCACTAGATGGTCGTATACTTGCCATGGGATGCCTCGCTCGTGCTGAACAACGACGACCAAACAAGAAGCGGAACTTTCGCCTCCTTCGCGGCGTCAACAATATTGCGGCCTTGCAGGACCTCGCTATCCTTGGTGAACGGGACCGTGACGCCGAATACGGCGTATGCGCCCTCGAACGCCTTGACCAGACTGGGCGCATCCGTCAGCGAAGCGGAGACGACCTCGATTCCCTTGGCCTTGAGCGCCTGCGCCTTGGCGGAAGTCGTGTCGCGCGTGATAGCGCGAACGGAGTAGCCACCGTGGGCCAGAAGCGAAGTCACCACGGAACCCCCTTGGGTACCGGTAGCACCGAGGACGGCAACAAGTTTGGTAGACATGTTGACAGCGGGTGGAGATTAGGAAGCAGAGACAGGTTGGGTTTGGATGAAGCGAACAGGTCATCAACAGATTCAGTGATATTTATAGCCTCGAGATTTGTGTTATCGACAGGTTCACGAAGGTCTGCATGATGCGGATTCCTTCCATGGAATGCACGATCAGCCCAGTCTGAGGAGCCTCGAGGATTCCGCATCATCGGGCTATGTCAAGAAACAGCTAGTGCTGCGCCGTTGGTGGGTTAAGGGGAAAGGTTCAGGACAAGGAGGGAAGTTGATTCGTGCGACCGGACAACTCTCGGACCTGTTGGCTAAGATGTGCACCTGTGCTCACGTAATAAATAATTAGATTACAAAATCAGCAGGGGTCCCCTTACCAATGGCCATTGGTTTTAGTCTGAATCAAAGGACCCCTGTGCTAGGTGCCTGATCATCAACAACATTCCAGTTAGTCATCGAATGATCGCGTGGGGTAAGCGTGGAACTACTTCGCGTCTTGTCGTCCACGTCTCAACCTAAAAAAACTAACCCACGCCGGAAGGTCTACTCGCTGCACTCTCGTCAGTGATATTGAACGCGTGGACTCGTATATATCATGTAACTCTGCTGGATGTACTCTGGAGCATAAATATGACCGGGGTTCTGCCTGGCGGGTTGTCTGCTTCAGCCAAATCAATTTCACTCCACCTTCATCCGAAATTCAACTACTGCCAATATGTCTGCTAAGCTTGTTGCTGTCATTGGTGCGACTGGCACGCAAGGTGGATCCGTCGTTGGTGCTCTTCTAGCTCATGGCGGCTACTCCGTCCGTGCTATCACGCGCGATACGAACTCGGCAAAAGCACAGGCTCTCAAGTCCAAAGGAGTCCAGGTCGTCTTCGGATCCTTAACCGACGAAGCTAGTGTGGTCAAGGCATTCGAGGGCGTGTATGCCGTGTTTGGAATAACGGTTCCGTTTACCAACGACAGCGAGGAGTTGCAGGGTCGCAACATCGTGGACGCAGCGAAGGAGGCCAAAGTTCCGCTTCTGGTTTGGTCCTCGTTGTTTAGTGCAAGCCAGGCATCTCACGGGAAATACACGACCATCTAGCACGTTCTTCTTTGTTGTCCCTTGCTGCTACCATACTGATGCAGACGTAGCCTCTTCGATCAAAAAAGTGAAGTCGACAAGTACGCCCGATCCTCTGGGCAACCTACTGTGATCATTCACACGGGCGTGTTCATGGAAAACCTGATCAAAGGACACCTGCAAAGAGATGCATCCGATCCTAACAGGTGGAATCTCGCATATCCTGTGCTCCGTCCGGATGTTCCTCTCCCCCTCCTGTGTGTGGGGGGCGATTTGGGTCGGATTGTTGTGTCGATTATCGACCACTGGGAGGATGACACGTGGAAGGCGAAGTTGACCAAGGACGTCCTCGTTGCAGCGCCGCACCTGGCCTCGGTCAACGATATGATCAGTACCCTTAAGAAACGTACGCCTATCGCAATGGTGTGCTGTTTCTGTAACTCACTGACACACGGCAGTTATCGACAAAGAGTTCGCCTATGTCGAGCTTCCAGCTTCGTAATTCGACAAAGCCGTGTACGGACTGGTCAACGACGGTTACTTGCAATATCCACAACAGACCATCCTCGAAGAACTGGGCATCAAGACAACCTCATTCGAGACCTACGCGCAGGAGAAAGTCTTGCCATACCTGCAGTCCAATCAGTAGCGGCGCCGTGTCTTTGTAATCCACAGCGCCTGTCCATAAAGATGAGAGTGTGCCAATCCGAGGTGATGTTCGCAGTGTGTGTCATTGAGCGCACTGGACGTCGAAGTTGGACTCCTCCTGAATACACGTGATCGATCGTTTATTATTAGAAGAGCATATAATAAAATCAACACAGCACTCCGTCCCCTACTCAGATTTGTTCATATAGGGCACCACTTCCTCGCGCACGTACTCTTCAAATGAGTGGAACTTGACACCAAGCTCGATCAGGAGAGGAGATGGGACTTCCTGGGGGTACCAATACTCCGAGAAGAAAGAGAACAACTGCGGTTCTTGTCAGCCCGGTGGTCACGGCAGGCAGAGAAGGGAAGTACGAACTGTCTTTGCAGGTTCACCCATTTCCAACAACGGAGAGTACACGACGTCCTTCCCCGTGACTGCGTTTGCCTTAGCCATGATCAACAAGATCAAGTCCATCCGGCTCACTCTTGGTAATAGTATGCGCCATTTCTGCCCCAGTGATCGTATACGAACACACAACAGTCGGTTCCCGGGTTAAGATCTTCTTCCATTTTTCATCCTCCCAGTGGTCGATAGCGGCCACGACGGCCTGTCCAAGATCGCGTTCAATCCATGTGATCGTCTGGGGAATGTCGGCCGGCACGATAGGGAATCGTATCACCCACTTCTGTTTGTCCGGTGTGACAGGGTGCAGCATCACATGATGGCCAAGTAGGCTGCACGGGTCAGCATTGTCCGACCAGAATGCAGAAAGACGTACTTTTCTGTGAAGAGTCCAGTGTAGAAGATCACAGCCGGCTGGCCAGCTTGCTCGATATACCGATCAACCGCTGCCTTCTCTTCGAATTGACTAGGCAGTTTCAGATTCAGGTCGGAACGCACTGAAGAACCTCCTTACCGCATGTCGTACTTTCCATGAGTGGCCTCTTTCATACTGGGCAGGGAGGACCAAACGAATAGAGGTACATGGTTCGCCAGGCAGGCATCAACCATATTCTTCCCCATCTCCGTCTCGTTGTCCTTGATGAGTGCCACTGTCACACCAAAAACCTGTATCAAGATGAGGAAGGTTCTCGCAATGATGATCCCGAATGTACTGCATATGCTCCTTTGAATGCCTCAACGAGACTGGCCTTATCCGTCATTGACGCCTGAACCATCTCCGCTCCCCTCGCGATGAGCGCTTGGGATGCGGCGGAGGTCGTATTACGCGTCACTCCACGAACGGCGTATTTCTCATTGGCAAGAAAGGCGTTTATTACAGATCCGCCTGTAACCTTGTTAGCCTGGACTCGATCTGTCAGTGCTAGACGTACCTTGCGATCCAGTCGCACCGAGGACGACAATAAGCTTCTTCGGCATTGTCAGATATGTGTATTTGGTCAATGTATGCTCATGCTATTCCATATTTTATGCTGGTTGCACGGATAGCTCCTTGACCTGCGGCGCGCATGGCGCAGTCCCGTGTTGTGCGGAGTCAGGTCAGAGAGGGAGGAAGTTGTAGATGGCCGGCACTTTCGCATCAAATCCCCGATGATACTATACAGTATTTCAGCAAATTCGATGAAGTCGGTGAAGTCGTCGCCGACACCGGTCGACGCGTAGTACTTTGGAAGTTGTTGGTGCGTCGCGGACAACTCTCGGACTTCTGCGCTCGTACATCACGTAATGTTCCCCCACCAAAGGGAGCAATTAGTTGTCGTAAGCCTTTTTCGTAATCACATGCACAACTTTCCTGTCCACCACAGCCCACGCCTCTAATCCATGGCTGCACTATCCCTGATTGCTACACGCTCATCGGAGAGATAAGGGACGACGTGGCCTGATGCTATGCAACTTGCATATCTTTTACGTTGTGCGAACAAGGAACGCGACATGGGACGCTCTGCTGTGTGAGGCTTGCGTAAGCCTCTAATCTGCCAGATAGCACGAGATGGGACTATAAGTATGGCCTGAACTATCTGGTGAGTCGTTCGAAACAATCTACTTCTACCTGTTCGATATTCAACACCGATATGTCTACCAAGCTTGTTGCCGTCCTCGGTGCTACCGGTACCCAAGGGGGTTCCGTGGTGACTTCGCTTCTGGCCCACGGTGGCTACTCCGTTCGCGCTATCACGCGCGACACGACTTCCGCCAAGGCGCAGGCGCTCAAGGCCAAGGGAATCGAGGTCGTCTCCGCTTCGCTGACGGATGCGCCCAGTCTGGTCAAGGCGTTCGAGGGCGCGTACGCGGTGTTCGGCGTCACGGTCCCGTTCACCAAGGATAGCGAGGTCCTGCAAGGCCGTAATATTGTTGACGCCGCGAAGGAGGCGAAAGTTCCGCTTCTCGTCTGGTCATCGTTGTTCAGCACGAGCGAGGCATCCCACGGCAAGTACACGACCATCTAGTAAGTGAAGTTCTCATCTGCGCGGAGGTAGCGTACTGACCCAGACATAGTCACTTTGACCAGAAGAGCGAAGTCGATAAGTACGCTCGGTCTTCGGGACAGCCGACTGTCATCATCCACACCGGAGGGTTCATGGAGAACCTGATCAAGTTTGGCCAGCTCCAGAAGGACCCATCTGATGCCAACAAGTGGAACATCGTCTACCCCGTGCTACGCCCGGACGTCCTGATGCCCCTCGTTTACATCACCGCCGACTTGGGAAACATCGTCGTTGCGATTATCGATCACTGGGAGGATGATGCGTGGAAGTCGAGATTGACCAAGGATGTCGTCGTTGCAGCGCCGTATCTTGCATCGATCAATGATATCGTCACTCTGCTCAAGAAGTGTACGCCGATGATCATGCTGTAGTCGTTTCTTTGCTGATTAGGATATTACAGTGTCTGGCAAAGAGGTCGTCTACGTCGAACGTCCGGCGCTCGACTTCGAAAAAGTAGTGTATGGGTTCGCCAACGAAGGCTACTTCCGCTATCCAGAGCAGACTATCCTGCAAGAGCTAGGTGTCAAGACGCACTCGGTCGAGGACTATGCGCGTGTGGAAGTGTTGCCGTATATCGAGTCTGCCCAGTAAAGGACGCGCGTCGTGGTAGATCTATTCACAGCATATGACCCTGAATACCCAATAAACATCGTGTGCCATCCATGTTCAGTTCCTTGACCGCTTATCCATGCAAAAACGGAGGCGATGACTGCTTTCGGCTCCGAAATAATTCTGTCGCAAATAAACTGCCCAATGACCTGTCAACCGGCATGTGCAGCGCCCTGATATCACGTGAACAGCTGCCCGCGGAGGGGCTTGGAAGGTATGAAATGTACAAAGGTCAGAAGTGGCTGAAAGTTGCACGGATCACATTTACACGATAAGGTAGTACATGTATGCCACAACACAATCCTCACCTGATCGAACTATCATTACACTGCTTTGACTTTGCTCAATACCTCTTCTATATGCGGAGCCACCTTGTCGCGAACATAATCCTCAAATGTGTGGAATTTCACGCCGAGCTCTAGCAGGAGCGGCGTCGGGACTGAGACATCGTATTGGAATTCTGCGGCAAGGGAATAGAGCTTTAAACGTTTGTCAGACATTGCACCGAGTACACATCACGAAATGAGCGTACCGCCTTCACCGGGGGTGGCAAGTTGTCATACGGGGCCCATGTGACCTCCTTCCCCGTCACTATGCCTGATCAACTCGTGGCTCCCAAAGATTAATATAGATGACTAACCTTTTTCGATAGTCCGACACATGTCTTCTCCACTTATGACATACGAACACTGCAAGATCGGCTCCTTCGTAAGTCGCTCTCTCCACTTCTCATTTTCCCAGTGGTCGATAATGGCTGCAAGTACCGCGCCGCTGTCCTTTGTAACATATGTCGTCGGTTGGGCGACGTGAGCAGGCACGACAGGGTAGCGAATTTCCCATTTTTTCCCATCCTCGGAAACAGGCTGTAGTTGGCACTTGTCCATATGATTCAACAGGCTGCTTATCAAGTCAATACTGACGCGGCAAAATCATATTAGTATACGCACTTCTCAGTGAACACACCAGGCCAGAGAATCACGGTCGGTTGACCCACGGTCTTGATATACTCGTCGACTTCTGCCTTCTCGTCCATAGCGCTGCATATTTGTGAGTTTGAGATTGTTCGTCTATGGAGGACGGCTCACCGGACATGATACTTCCCACGCGAAACCTTTTCGGCACTAGGCAGGGAAGACCAGACGAATAGCGGTACGTGGTCTGCCACGCAAGCGTCCACCAGGTTCCGACCCATCTGGGCTTCGTCGTCCTTAGTAAAGGACACCGCAACACCGAAGACCTGTGGAAACACATCAATGAGTGCTAGCATTCCGGGGCTTGCAAGACATACCGCATATGCCCCCTTGAACGCCTCGATAAGGCTCTGCTTGTCCATCGGTGATGCTTGTACCATCTCCACACCACGGTCGGTCAATGCTTTCGCCGCCGCGGAGCTCGTGTTACGCGTCAGGCCGCGTACGATGTACCCGCCATGGGCGAGGAGCGCGTCTATAGCTGCACCCCCTGCAAACAGAATCAGTGCAGTAACAATACGGTGGGCCGTTTGCGCGCACCTTGGGTGCCAGTTGCTCCGGCTACGACGACCAGTTTCTGGGCCATTCTGTCGATACAATGATGAAGTTACTCGTTGAGTGATTGTTGATATTGGTACGCGTCCGGACTTGCCGCGCGTTCTCTATTTTTATACCACTCCACATCCACAGTATACCGCTGGTTGTCCGATGATCACGGAACTGGAAGTCATCTCGGACATTAACAGAGACATGGGGTGTCGTGGCTGGACGGCGCCATCAACTATGACGGGTTCCGGGTGGGATCGGACGGCAGACGTTTAACGCGCGTCTCGGCGGAACTGTGCAACGCGCGGCAAAATATCAATCAAAGCAGCAGTGTATGGCACATGGTAAGTTGACGTGATGTATACAGGAGGAACGTTGGTACCGTCGACTTTGCGGGAAACAAAAAGGTGAACACAGGATGGTCGCTGACAAATCATATCACGTGACCTACAGTCTCCTTCGTACGTAGATCGTCTTCCCATTTTCACGATAACCCATACATATTCGTCTTGTGCACGCTGAGGTGACGACGGAGTGCCGAGGGGTCGCGTAATGTCCGTGGTCATCAATTTATTAGTCTCTGAACATCAACTCTTAGTTACTGAGCGGATTAATTCCGCAATATCCTGCATCACGCCGCGTTCATGAAAGGAACAAGTTTCTCACGCACATAATCCTCGAAAGTGTGGAACTTGATCCCAAGGTCTAGGAGGACCTTTGACGGAATCGCTTCGGGAGTAGGCCAGTACTCAACGCAGAATTCCCACATCTTGCTTCCTGCATCAGTGCCTTTCACATGCGATACAGCACAGGAGACCGTACCGTCTTATAGAAATCTGGGACATTGTTACTCAATACGTAACTGACATCCCTTCCCGTAACTGATCGAACGTTCAGTCCATTTTCGACTGCAGGCGACCGGTTGCTTACTTCGGGCAATAATACCTGCCATCTCCCCGCCTGTGATATTGTATGAGGACATTTGAATCACGTCCTTGGTCAGACGCTCCTTCCAATCGGCATCATCCCAGTGGTCAATAAGTGCGGTGACGGCTTCTCCCAAGTCCTTTTCCACGTACAGGAACGGCTGGACGTAGTCCGCTGTTGCAACAGGGTACTGAATTTCCCAAGTGTCCGACGCCACGGGCTTGAGCTGACCGAAGCTGATCAGACTACCCTCTTATTAGAGCTTTCGTACTTTCAACCACAAAGACAGCGCACTTTTCGGTGAAGCTTCCTGGCATAAATATGACCGAGGGCTGGCCCACGGCTTTGATATACTTGTCGACAGCATACTTATCGTCCCAGAACCTTCAAACCTCTCAGATCAAAATGCCACACTGCATCTCTCACAACATACCTCATGGGATACTTTCCGTTCGAGAGTTCACTGGAGCTCGGCAGGGACGACCAGACGAACAGATCGACCTTGTTCGCAAGGCAGGCATCTACCATGTTTTTACCCTGCTCAAAATCACTCTCTTCCGCCGGGACCGTGACTCCAAATACCTGGACAGCTCCATTAGCGTGTCGTGTGTTAAAACAATGACCGATCTTACCGCATATGCGCCCTTGAAGGCGTGGATAAGGCTGTCCTTCTCCATGAGAGATGCCTGCACCATTTCAGCGCCCTGGGCAGTAAGCTCTCGGGATAAAGCAGAGTGAAGGTTCCTCATCAAGCCACGAACGGTGTACCCGCCATGACGGAGCAGGGCTGATACTACGGAGCCACCTAGAAGAACGGTTAGAAGGAATGACGTTAAGGGTTCAAGTGATCCGGCAGACCTTGTTTTCCGGTAGCACCAGTTACGACGACGATTTTCTTAGACATGTTCAAGAATGTACTAATAAGTGTTGTGGGTGCTTGAATATAGCAAAGTTTGGAGTTGCGGATGGATGGCTGATTGCTTATATGCCCGAATTCTGTAAAGCGACATCAACCAGTTCGATGTTGGAAGTGCTGCGGGCGTAAACGCAGTCCGATTGGCAATGGGGCTGAAGAAGGAGTGTGACATCCATGCCCAAGATGTGTAAGATGCAGAGCTTCCATTATCCGCAGCCTCTTAACAAGTTGTAGCTTAGAGATAGGAAGTTGGATATCATCGGGAGGATATGGTGGACGTTCGCGGACAGCCGCGGTGTTAGGGGTCCCAGCTGTCCGCGAAAGGCCACCAGACGTGGTTGTTGCTGGACAAGGGTCCTCGGCATCTAATTTTGCTCGAATCCATGGTTTTTCTTTATTTGGGTTTAATTCCGATGATTTTTCTGATTTTGTGGCTGTGAGTAGAGTAAAAGGTCCGCAATTGAGTCCAGGGTCTAGGATCTGTTTAGTTCTTACTCGCTTCCGTTGAGTTTTTTCTTCTTCCAATTGCTTCCGCGGGAATATATTAGTTTCCGCGGATGCAAATAGCTCGAGACAAATCTGCACAGCATTTTGAATCCTCATTTTGAGGCCATGTCCCCACCAGCATCAGACCCCATCGCCGCTCGAAGGACCCCTAACGAGCTGTCCGCGAACGTTCACCATAGGAGGAAGAAAGAGCATGGATGTTTTCCCACGCAACTACCATTACGAATCACAGGGTCGCGTCTCGTTACGTAAGCAGTGGATACGGAGCCGGATTGGTCCGGCCTCAGTCCCCGTTCAACAGCGACACCAATGCTGCGGTTTTCCTCATCCACCAGCTGTGTTTATATCTAGCGCTGCGGCCTGCGAGTTGTTTTCATATCAGCATGCGAGCTGATCGAAAGCATGTACATCATCTTGTGTTGCTGACATATTCTCCGTACACTCACCATGGGGGTACAATAATCCATGGATGTGAAGCGACGTCCACTACGCATGAGGACGCGTCACTCGCCTGGTACTCACTACTCTCCCCGTCTATGCTCTTCGATGGCAGAGGCATGGAGAAGCATGGGCGGCAGTTCGAGCCTCACACTTGAACGCGACTGGTTGGAGGGTGTCAGAGATGCATGGTTTCTCATAGATCATGACGGTGATGTCAATTGAATACCCCTTCAACTCACTCACTGACGGACTGTCCAGAATTTGCGACGGCTCCCGCAAAATGTCGCTGCTCTTACGAGTGCTCTCATCTTCACCACGCTAAGGTGATATCGCTCTCATGAGCACATATCTTGACGGGTTGATCGTGGTTCGCTTGTCAGTGAGAAACATCTGGAGAACGTGCGCGTGCCCTTGAAAAAGTCCGCACAACAAGGGGGTTCTAGAAAGAGGGAGGTTCCAGGAGAGGTGGGAGCTGAAATTTCAATGGACTGAGAGATCAGACAGGACATGGACTTATTGGCGTATGTTCCAGAGTCTCGTCGTTCGAGATATTTCTCACACAAATGGCGACAGCACAAATGTCATTTCAGTGGTCTTGTCCCTTCAATGTATCAATCACGCCTTGTCCTCAGCTTCTGATTTCTCCATGAACGGCGCTACTTCCTCCCGGACGAAATCTTCGAAGGTGTGAAACTTCACTCCAAGATCAACGAGGATCTTGGGCGGAATCGGATCATCGTAGTTCCAGTACTTGACGGCCATAGTCCACATCTTGCCCGTCCGTCAATATTGGTTCGTGCAGAATGAGAAAAAGCGACGAACCGTTTTCAAGGGCTCTGGGACAGTCTCCTCCTGCCTCTCATATGTGACTGTGCTGCCCGTGGCTATGGCAACATCAGCGAACGCTCTTACAGTGAGACATGCTGCCTTACTCTGCGAGAGGATCTTGGCCATGTCTGTACCAGTTATCTTGTACGAGCACATCGGGATCGGGTTCTCTGTCAGCTTCTCCCTCCAGCTGGCATCCGACCAGTGATCGATAATCGCGACCGCCACACCGCCTGTATCCTTTCCGATGTACGAAAATGGCTGTCTCATCGCTGCCGGAGCGATAGGATACTGAATCTCCCATTTCCCCGGAGATACACGTACGAGCTGACGTTGGTTGAACAGACTGCGGCCAGTGAGATCCGTTCCAATCGGTCTATACTGTGAACGTACTTTTCGGAGAAAACTCCCATGTAGAGAGTCACCGCTGCTTGCCCGGTGGTGTTCAGGTATGTGTTGACCTCGCCCTTGTGGTCCAGAAGTCTAATATTGCGTCAGTTCCCGATCTCTGTTTCCGCGTGAGAGCAGCCAACGCAAACTTGGCATTCTGCCCAGCAAGGTCAGAAGCACTCGGCAAGGACGACCAGATGAACAATGGGACATTGTTAGCGAGGCAAGCATCGACCATGTTCTTGCCTTGGACGCTTTCAGAATCCGCTGATCTAAGGATCGTGTATCCAAACACCTTGATCGCTGTCAGTGGAGCTTATGTCTCTCTGTTCGAACCTACGGCATAGGCCCCTTGGAAAGCAGCCGCAAGACCAGCCTTATCTGTCACCGAAACCTGGACCATCTCGGCCCCTTTTGCTGTAAAAGCCTTTGAGGCGGCCGACGTGGTATCACGAGTCAGTCCCCGTGCTAGATAACCACCATGTTCGAGTAGAGCATTCAAAACCGAGCTCCCTGAGTTAAGGTTCAGTAGGCCGATGAAACAAGTGAAGATCGAAATTCAACCTTGCTTTCCGGTAGCATTGGTAACGACAACGAGTTTTTTGGACATATCGTAGATTGCTTCGATAAACAACCGGTAACGTCAAGGAAAAGGTCTTCGATGTTGTGAATGGCGATTGAGAAGTACCCTCTCTTATATCTCGCTGTGATACCGCTGAATTACCTGGGGCTTTGTCTCGGGTTGATGGGTGGGTGTTTACATAGCCATAGAAGCTGTATGCGCAGTCCCAAGGATTCTACATTGTCAAGAAAACACAATTGCGCTGCGCGCCTCTGGCCAGTCTGCCTGTTAATGCCGTTGTACCCTGGCGATGAGTCTGTTTCTGCAATTTCGCCAAGGATATTCCACTGGTGTGGACAATGCGTGGGGTCGGTTCCACTGTCGTTCTATATATAACCTGGAATCAGTAATCAGGGTCTCCTCATGTTATGGCATCATCGGACAACACATGGAATACTTGGCACCAGCACCGGAACCGCTCATGGATCGGATTGGTCCCCCACGTCTGTTCCCCATGAAGTGGCGCTGGACATTCTGAATAGGGCAACATTCGTCTAACATACTTATTCTGCGTTAGACTGAGAATGCAAACAGGACATGACTTATTCGACGCGTATGGACCGACATCGCCCTCATCAGATACTTCCTCATGCGACTATATCACATCACATATCCTGTTATTTCGACGGTCATTTCCGTTAAAAGCGTATCAACTACGCCATCTGCTCGCCTTCTGTCTTCTTCATGAACGGCGCGCCTCCCGGACGAAATCCTCGAAGGAATGAAACCTTACTCCAAGATCAACGAGGATCTTAGGCGGAATCGAATCATCGTAGTTCCAGTACTTGACGGCCATCGTCCACATCTTGGTTATTTTCCCAACTGGCAGACTAGAAAAAGAATGAACGAACGGTTTTATAAGGTTCTGGAACAGTGTCCTCTTGTCTCTCGTACGTGACCGTACTACCCGTGACTCCGGCAACATCAGCAAACGCTCCTCCATGACAAGCGATCTCCCCTACTCTCCGAGATAGTCTTGGCCAAGTCATCGCCAGTTATCTTGTAAGAACATGTCGGAATTGGCTTCTCTGTCAGCTTCTCTTGCCATCGGGCGTCAGACCAATGGCGGATAATCACCACCGCAACAGCTCCCATGTCCTTCCTGATGTACGAGAATGGCTGCCTCATATGTCCCGGAGCAATCAGGTATCGAATCTCCCACCTTCCTGGAGCGTTATATACGATCTGACGTTGGCTGAAGAGACTGAGGCTCCTTAGATCTATTTCGATTTGCTTTAACGAAGACGTACTTTTCTGTAAAGGCTCCCGTGAAGAGCGTCACCGCGGGTTGCCCGCTGACTTTCAGGTATGTATTGACCTCGCTCTTCTGGTCAAGGAGCCTGATCTTGCTTTAGTGCTCAATACCAGTTGTTTGAGATTGACTTACTGGAAGTTGCCTCCCCCCACGGCAAGATCTGCAGAACTCGGCAGGGACGACCAGATGAATAATGGCACATGATTTGCGAGGCATGCGTCTACCATACTCTTGCCTTGACCGCTTTCAGTGGCGTCCGACCTAGGAACTGTACAGCCAAACACCTGTGCCATTGTCGGTAGCGCTTTTGTCTCTCCGTCAGAACCTACGGCATAGGCCCCTTTGAAAGCAGCCACAAGACCAGCCTTATCTGTCACCGAAACCTGGACCATCTCGGCTCCCTTTGCTGTAAACACGTGTGCAGCGGCCGACGTGGTATCACGAGCGAGTCCCCGTACTGTATAACCCCCGTGTTCGAGAAGCGCATTCAAAACCGAGCTCTCTGAGTCTAGGCTCAGTCGTCCGACCTAATACTTGCAGTGAATACCAAGATTCTACCTCGCCTTCCCGTAGCATTAGTGACAACCACGAGTTTTCTGGCCATCTGCAGTCACTTTTATAAGAGACAGGTTCAGAAGAAGGAGTTCGACGTCGTTCATGTTTAATAGAAAGCGATCTCTTTTATACTTCTAGTCTGTGATACTGCCGCATCAGCAGGGTCAACGAGTGGGTGTCCGTGTGACCCTGAAGAAGACTTCCTGAGCAGTCCGAAGAGATATCACATTTGTTATAAGGTGCCGCTTTTTGTCCGGTGGATTTGCCCACAACATGGTTTGGTGTGGATAACGCGTGCCTTCATTCTACTGTCGCCCTCATGAAAAGCATGTCGTAAGCCCGTCCAGAAGCCGTTCATGGAAAAAATCAGCCCATGTCTTGTCTCCCATGGCCATGCATATTCTATAGGTACGGAACCGCCCAACTTATTACATTTGTTGAACGGGCGGTGCGTGGTAGTTTACTGCGCAGACTGAATGTACGGCAAGACAACGTTAGATGCAGAAAGCGTGCTGACTCGGAAGCATCGGATACACGATCGGGAGCGGATCTGCATGTTTCAATTTGGGCATCTCTACACTCAGCACAATAGTAGGGATGTACACTGGTCCCAATGACGGGAAGTTCAAGCCATCTCCTCGTATAAACCGACTCCCGTGTAAGTCGTTTGCCCCTGAATGCCACCAACAACGCTTCCCACCCACCTTGTGTGCAGGCCAGGATAGTTCACAACGGCTTGATAGTTTGTAACGTTCAATTCCATGACGCCCGCACTGCCCATGTCGTAGACGATATGGAATCCGGTGGGAAGCAAACCCGGAATAGGTGGATAAGCGGAATTTGCTCCGGTTGGGCGAACAGGTGTGGCCCCGCAAGAGTCGGCGATAGCGGTTCCATTGGAGGCGACATACCCGGTTTGGTGCTCGACACCATTGATGTCGACAACGTCAAACCAAACAACTGAATAAGGTCCCAGACGTGCATGGCCCCAATACCAGCTGTTGATGCTTGCGCCAAATGCACGATTTCCCCAGTTCTGCGTCAATGATGTTAGTACGCGACATTCCCACAGCTTGATAGACGAACGGTATCATGATATCCACGTCCCTGATAGGTGATGGGCTGATCATTGTAGTTGAGGTTAACTGATGCTAATGAATCCGGCATGGAATTTCCCCAGCCGAGGTGGGGAACAATCTCTAGTGAAGCGCCGGTAATGGGCGGTCCACAAGGTGCGTGAGGAGGGGCATCCTATACCAGGCTCAGCAATCCGCTCATTGATATGGGAGATATGTCGGCTCACCGAGTTGAACTGTATGCTACCTGACAGACCATTCACAGTGTCGTTGAAATTGAGAAGGATATTCGCCAGGTCCGGTGCTTGATACCAGCTGTATCCTGCACCATTCATAACTCCGGACGCGCTATTTCCAACAGTTGTGATGGTGATGTCCTCTGCGGCTGCCGACAATGCGACCAAGTTACCGTTGGGCAACTGGATATTTACTTCAATGAAATTGAATGGAATCGTGCCAGCCGGGACGTCGGAAGCACCAGGGGCATTGCCTAGGAATGAGATGACCACAGACTGCTTGAGATCGGTTGACACTACGTCGAAGTACCACCATTGCGCTGAAGTCGCATTGAAGAAATCGATCTTGGGGGCATCAAAGCCACTCGATCCGAGTGTGTACTGTACGTTACTGTCGCCAGGCTCAGCGGAGGTGGAATAGGTGGTGACGACTGCCGTCTGACCAAGGACGACGGATGCAAGAACTGCAGCAAGAAAGAAGGTGAAAGCCATTGCTGTGTGTGAACCAGGGGATGGTCGAATGAAGGTGATGTCTTCAAGGCAGGCCTTTTAACATGATGGCAAACTGGCATAGGGTTGCATCAGACCACACTGCTTTCAACATCGTGAGGAGAATCAAAACTACCTCTTGTCCTGATAAATCACAATATCCAGAGATCTCTGGCGCTTGAATCACGGCTGCCGTAGTTAAAGTTATCGTATGACCGCCAGAATGTGTGGCCCATCGAATTTCATGCTTCAAGAGAGGTTACGGGCGCAGAGCTGTTCGGCCCGTTCCATAGGCGGATATCAACAACACTGGGCTCTAGAGACCAGCCAGATGGTAGATATCCACTGGGGCCGGGCAAATGAAGCAGGCCACCGTACACGACAAATAGATTTGAGTCTACCGATTCTGCCTCATGGAAGTCACCAGCTGATGCAGAAGATGATTCAGCTGCTGAGTTGCGTGATCCGAGAAGGACAGCACTCGACGTATGTGGACGTGTCCAAGTGCTAACTTGATCGCCGAAAGACCATGCCATTCAGTTCAGAACAAATATTCTGGCCAAGGCGGCAAACATTTCCCTTCCGAGTTCCGCCTGCGGCCGACTCATCTTTCGTGTGTCGTCCGTTCGGTCGCGTTGATGCACCCTGTGCTCGGCATCCTCGGCGGCCGCAAAGGTTCCGATTATGAGAGACAATAGCTTATGGGCGTCTTTAACAAAGATAGGGCGGATCTGTTTGAGAGTTGAGCTGTTTCCACAACTGATGGCCAGAGCATACACGAACCTGCTACATATGAAGCCTTCAGATGTGTCCTCCTTTTAACGTGTCTATCCGGCTAGACTTGCCAGGCAGCATTTTACAGAGAAGCAGGCACATCACTTGATAGAAGAAGCAATATTGTTGGGGAAACGGCCCTGGTAACGAAAGGTCAAAGAAGACTGGAACCGCGGGAAGAACCCCTTGTGTGGCGCCACGACGTTATTGATTCCATAAAGATATCTCAGCACGAGTCTACTGTCGAAAATTGCCTGAGCATAACAGCATCGGCGGCACCGGAGTCGAGAGATTATTGTGCGTTTGCCGTGAAGGCCGTCCTGGCCGCTTCGTGACGTAAGCAGTTTTCTGTTGCACGTGATGTGGAAGCATTTCATTGCATTGACTGGTCCCGATTGCGTCTTGAATAACAAACGGCTATCCAGTACTGCCCTGTTCTGCGCAGCAGCCCAGGAGGTCCGACTCCGAAGGAAACCGGAGTTGCATCTATTCTCTGCTCTCCCGAATTATCTCTTCCACTACAGGGAAAGACGTACCGAGGAAAATGCGCAAGCAACCCACGGCTAACCCTAGATGCGAGTCTAATTCCTGAGGCGACCCTAAAGGTGAGTCTAATCTTTCCATCGGCGCGCAGTTCCATCAACCAAAGGATAAAAAGACACAACCGCGTTGGGAGAATCATGGCTAACCGTGGAATTCAACTGTTCCCATTGATATACATACTCTCATAGAGATGTCTACAAAGCTCATTGTTGTTACGAACGCTACAGGCAAGCAAGGTTCAAATCCCTCCCAAGTACTGATTCTCTCTCTGATTCCCCCTCAGGTAGCTCTGTGGTCAATGCCCTGCTTTCCGACTCCAAATATGTTGTGCGAGGCTTAACGAGGAACCTCACTTCTGCTGCATCCCAAGCTCTCGCAGCAAAGGGTGTTGAAATGGTTCAGGTATCAGTCATGGATCCGAACGGTCTTCCTGCATCCTTCAAGGATGCCTATGCGGTACCGATCAATGTTCTTGCGTATAAACCCTGCTGATTGAGGTCGCAGGTGTTCGGCTATACGATCCCGCTCCAGGCGGATAGCGAGTTGACTCAAGGCAAGAACATGGTGGACGCGTGCCTTGCTAATCACGTTCCACTCTTCATCTGGTCATCCTTGCCCAGCTTGTCAACACTTTCGCACGGGAAGGTCGATTATGCGTAGGCTATTCTGCAAGTACTATCACATAAAGATCTGATAAATATTCAGCCTCATGGAGCAGAAAGCCGAAATCGACAAGTATCTCAAGGAGGTCGGCCAGCCAACAGTGATTTTATACACAAGTATGTTTTCTGAGAAGTACGTTCCTGTCCAGATTCCTTGTTGATAGGTTCTGAAAATCTCGTAGTTTATTGAATCAGAATCAACTCAAAGCCATTTCCCCAAAAAAGTGGGAGATCCAATATCCGATCGTTCCTGCAGATATGAAGCAAGCATTCTCGTATATTGACCAAGACATGGGCAGTACAGCCAGGGCTGTGATCGATCACTGGACTGAAGCGAGCTGGAGGGAAGCGTTAACCAAGGAGCCGATTCCAATGTGTTCCTATAAAGTCACGGGCGCTTATATGGCAGAGACTATCACCCAGAGTGAGCGGAATGGATCCAATTGCAAATTACCACACTGAGATTTGCCACAGTTAGCGGAGAAACGGTCACCTATGAAAGACAAACCGACACAGTCCCGGAAGCGCTCAGAAAAGTCCGTCGTTGTTTCTTCGTCTGTTTGGTCAAGTACTGATAGCCACGTAGATATGGGAATTCTTGGTGGAGTCCTGGAATTATCCTGACCCGATTCCTCCCAAGATATTGGTAGATTTGGGTGTTAAGTTCCACTCGTTCGAAGATTTCGTTCGAGAGATGGTCCTCCCTTTTATGGCACGCGTGGACACGGGAAAGAGTGTCGGGGCACATTGACGTCAAGCACAGACTCATCGTCGGTATAAATAATAAATCCAAATCGGTTTCTTCTTCCTCGATCATCACTAGCTCTCAAAGATTCCTTGTGTGATTCGTAACTTCAGAGTCGTTATCGATCCTCCGACATGCACATGGAGCGGCTCGCATGGAAGTAGAAGTTGCGAATCGGTGCCGGAAGATCGTTCGACTTAGGCCGTCGCCAGTTAACTACATCTTTCGAAAAAGGAACCTGCGATACTTGTTGTTTTGGAAGTATCCAAAGTCCCGAGGTCATATTCCGACCTCTTTTGGGAAGGATTTGGTTTAGGTTTGAAGGATTGGTTGCGGACAAGAAAATATTTGCTCAATGGCTCGCGTCCTACGGTAGCTTTCTTTCCATTTAAACGGTATAATTTCTTCCAATGCCGTTCTGTGGCCCACCCCCAGCCACTCGTAAATCCCCACTCCTTCGTAAATCTCTTCGTCTCTGATCCCCCCCAACAGTGCTCCCGCTCCACCTTGTGTATGTCGGCTGAGATACGAAAGTCTCGTGGTTTGTGGCATTCACCTCTAGAATCCCGTGCACGCCCATGTCGTATACGATATGGAACCCAGTCGGTTCCAGGAAAGGGACAGGTGGATAGATTGTGTTGGGGCCCACAGGGCGGACGGACATTGTACCACAGGACTCGCCCAAGACGACACCGTCCTTGATAGCATAACCTGATTGATGCTCCATTCCTTGTTTATCGAGTGTGTCGAACCACACCAGTGAATATGGACCGACACGGGCATGGCCCCAGTACCAAGTGCCTAGCACATCGTCCAACGGGACGTCTCCAAAATTCTGAAAAACAGAGTCATGGTGAAGATTCTACCACCATGAAGGGAACATACTGAATCATGATATCCAACGCCTTTAAACTTGAAAGGTTTTCCATTAATGTTGAGATCCACATGAGCCGTCGCGTCAGGAATGGCATTCGCCCGCCCCAGGTGAGGGATAATAAGTAAGGATGCACCGTCCTGGGCAGGACCACACGGTGCGTGATTTGGCGAATCCTATGTGATCATTATTAGAATACTAAATGGAAAAGGAAATCTGTCGCACCGAAGTCATCTTTATAGATCCAGTCACATTATTAACGGGGTCGTTGACATCGATGGAGAGGAAGGAAAATCGGAGGATTCAAACCAATCGTACCCTGTTCCTTCCATGTTACCGTGTAACCCATGATTGTTTGTGGATATCTGGAGAGATCCTCCGGGTACACCCAGAGCGCCAAGGCTTCCATCGGCAAACGAGGGATTGAGAGAAACGAAGTTGTAGGGCACTAAGCCGAGGCCAGCGGGAGCATTGATCAGGAAGAATACAACAATGGTCTGAGTCAAGTCATCTGAGACCGCGTCGAAATACTACCATTGGTAGGTGGTCTGATTGAAGAAATCTGCCTTGAGCCCATCAAAGGGACCGTCGATCATGTACTGCACAGTAGTTGAGCCGTTCACGGGGTGCGGGGGAATGGCGGTGACCGAGGATGCATTGGTCGAACCGAGTAGTGCAAGCAAGAGGAGGCTGAATAACATGGTGAACAGGACGATTTCAAGAGGCGTTGAGGGTCGTATCGTGCCTCGGCTTTTGACTGTCGCTGAAAGAATAATCTTATTGATACAACGTATGTAGCAATACATAGAACGGCGCTTACTTCCACCTCCATGATGTGATCCGGTCCATTCATCGGCACCAAACATATGTCCAGCATTTCCCCGAGTTGGGGTATTTGTTGGTCAAGAGTAATGCAATGGGTGACATCCCGTAGCATTGATCTGCGAGCCTCGGGGCTCGCAGATACCTAAAACGCTTCGCGAAGCTCAAATTGGAACTCCGACCCTCTCCTAGATCTCCTCGGGTCCACATAGATTGCTCATCTGTGTGAGGGGGTCCCCCCCTCATGCAAGCATAACGGTACAAACATCTTCATATTAACTGAGATTAGTGCCATTCATTGCGTGTTGACCCTTGATATCTGAGGCGAGGATAGGGTATCCTGAGTTGGCTGCAATAACCCATCCTGACCTCAACATCAGAATACCTCCATCCAGGAGGCTTTCAGTCAGCCTAGCATAGTGTAGAATGGGCTTACCTTGTCCCAGACTAGGCATAGTAATGAAATCTTCTTTCAGGTTGGCTGTTCAACCCTGGAATGGGGCCAGACTGGGATTCCTGTACCAACAGCAATGGGGAGGTTTGGATAGTCACTTATTCCTTGCTGGAGTAAGATACATATATTAAAATTAATGTCAATATTAATGTTGATGAGTCTCTTCCACATCGGCTGCCTCACTTTGGTCAACAGCAGGGGTATTGTCAGGCTTGGTGATGATGAGGGAGATCTGGGGAGAGGGATCAGTACAGGATAGACAGGAGGGCTGGTGTGAGGGCACTAGGTCTAGCAAGGTCGCCACACACTAATCCCAAACAATAGATGAAGTGCTAGGGGGTCTACTGCGGTTGAAAGCAGCTCTAACCAGCAGTACTAGTCGATATCTATGTCACCAGGGCCAGCTGGATTATTGGGAGGGTCCAAGGGGGTCACTGGGGGGTCCCAGGGGGTGTTATAAGTCAGTTATAGATAGCTGAAAAGTGTAGCAAGAGTTGTGGAGTCAAGGCAGGTTTCTGAGAGCAGGGTGTTCAGGTGTGTGTAGAAGGGGGTTCAAGACGATGAGATGACTTAGAAACTGCTTGTAGACTAAGGAGTTTCCTCAGAGATTAAATCTGAGGGATACAGCATCACTGTACTACTGTTTATATACCTTGTAGGTGTTCACCAGAAGCCCAGGAGTCCAGGTAAATTATGGGGACTCCTACAAGTGTCAGATAGACATCCTAGCAACACCCCTAGGCCTCCCAAACCTTTCCAATAAATTGTGGAGACTCCTACAAGTGTCATCTTGCATCCCACTACTCCCAGTAGGGGCCTTTAGCACTGCTATGTCTCACCCCAAGTGTCTGGACACCACAGTCTTGTGGTGTCCTCTGCACAATGTCTTGTACGGCCACTGCCATCATCCTAAGGCAGTTACCAGCACAGGAAGTTCCAGGGGCTTGTTGTTTCATTGCTCCTAGGGCAAAATGGGTGGCCAGGGGTGGTAACAGGCAGTGCCCTGACAGTTGGGCTGCTCATCACCTAACACCAACACATGATTGGATGACTCACCTTGCTATTGCTCATGAGCAGCTCCTTGAGCTGCTCCTCATTCATGTCCACCCCCTCTCCATACTTTGCCCTGAAGGCCTGGAGCAGGTGTGAGGCAAGATTTGTTGCCTGCACCAACAAAACCTTTCCCTGCCCCAGTTTCTCCTTCTTAGGACTGCTCCCCTTCCCTGCACTCTCTTGCACCTCTAACACCATCCTCTTCCCTTCTTTCTTCCCCTCATGTGTGCTTTGGTTCATTTTCTCCTTCATGGGGCCTTTGCCCTTCCTGTTGAGCTCAGAAGGAGGGGCATGGTTGCCTTCATCCTCCTTGGAGGTGGATGCAGGAGCTGTCTCATCCAGCTTGAAGAAGGCAACCATGGGAGCAATAGCTGTCTTCACATCGCTGAGGAAGCCAACTGTTGTTGCCCAGTCTGGATCCATGGTGAGGTTGCCGATGTCAGCATTAGTAGACACTATGGAGGGGCTGGAGGAGTTGTTGTTGCTGATGATCGACATGTTGTGAGATCATGGGAGAGAAGACAAGGAAGGAGGGATGCCTCCTCATGACTGAATGCAGGTTTTTGCCTCCAGGCTGTGCTTTGTCCATTCCCACCCCTTTTTTTAATTTGCCTCATGTTGCCCATGAGGTAAATTAATAGTCAGATTAGGCATAAGGCATCAGGCATGCTGAGAACTTGGGAGTATTGTTGATTGGATGATGTGTTGCATGTCGGACATTGTATGCCAGGCAGATGTTTTGCAGTAGAGCCATATCCCCCCCCATTCTCTTTGATGTAGTTGCAGATGCTGTCCAAATGAGCATTTGAGTAGTGCAACTACAGATTCAGGCTTTAAGGAAGGATACAGCTGAGTATTAACATTAATATTCATATTCATATGGACAACAGTTCCTTACAATATCACATGATGTGTAGCACCTGAGACTTGGTGCAGGCACAACTTGAAACCAGCTGACTCCCTAAGTCCTCAAAGGTTGGTGTCTGCATATGCATGTCACTCCTTGTCATCTTACTCACCACCAACTTACCAACTTGAACAAACCTGCCATTGAAGTAAGTTGGACTCTAAATGTTATATTATTCACTTACTTATTGGCTGACTCATAGATGGAACGCAAACTTGATTGGATGGAAGAGCATGTCATCCAGCTTCCAGCCCTGCTGTGGACCACTCTGTGTAATACCGTGCAAGTGAGAAGCAGCAATGGTACACCCCTCACATCTCATCACACCCTATCCCTTACTGACCATATTGTAGATCTCAATTATGCCTGTCAATGCAGAACCCAATTGGGCTCTCAGAAAGAACATGGTGCACTCTCTGGGGGCAATGTCAACACTGATGATTGCATGAACATTGAGGAAGAGACTGCCAATCTCCTTGATGGCGAATCCATTAGTGCCTACACATGACACCAACACATGATTGGTGGGGAGGTCTGCCTGCAAGACCTCCCACTGCTATCCCCTTCCAGGATAGCAACCCTGCTTGCCTTTGGAGCAGTCAGGTTGCCAGCACAGCAACCTCCCCTGAGTCAGCCAGTTCTGCCAACTCAGAGGACCCTACAGTTGTAATTACCCATGCTTCACCTTCACCAGCCTATCAAATTACGCTTCATGCTGAACAACCCCACCTCCAGTGGGGTGTGTCAGGCCAATATACCCATGGCTGATTTGGGGCCTCAGAGACCATTGCGCAGCACTACAGACCCTCACTACATGGACAACACACCCCAGCAACAAGTCTCAACCCCTCCCACAGATATTTGGCATGGCAACTACTACAATTCCCCAGGCAACGGGACCACTCGGATATTTGGCATGATGATGGTGGGTTTTCTCTGCAATGGGATTGACCCACCTGGATATTCAGCATGCCAATGCTTGCCTTAGAGAGGTATCCAGAGACCAGTTTAGTATAGAGTACAGTTTAGATTAACTAGTATAAGTAGTTTCTTGAAACTCCTGTATCTAGCTTATTCTGCCCCTTTTCCGTTAGACTTATATGGATGCAATTTTCCCCTTACTGAATAGGCAGCTTTGACTTGACTTAGCGGATTTGACTCGACTTATTGTGACTTTACTAGGTGGACACCAAGCTCCGATTATTTGCATACCAATTTCTGACAGCTCAGCTTCAGGCTGACTCTGGCATTTTCTACTGATTTTCCCCATCTCCCCCATCTTTCCCTAGCAAGTTCTCACACACCACCCATCAGACCAATATTTTGGACACCTCTTGGGTTGGATCAATGCAACCAACATCATGAACAATGTCACCAGAGTTGCGGGAGGAGATGCAGAGGTTTGGGAGGAAGTGGGAGATGAGGAAGATGAGGAAGAAGAACAGGAGGAAGAGGGGGATGAGGCAGATGGCCAATCGGCAGAGTGTTTGCTGATCTACCACAAGATTGACAATCTGCCCCACTACCTGACCCCAGCAGCCTCTATGTCAACCGGAATCATGCCTGCATCCCCAAGCTCATCACCTCATCCATCCCCTCCTCCCACTCCTTGCAAGAAGAGTAACCTTCCTGTCATCACTACATTCTACATCCCAACAAGTGCAGAAGTCCATGTGGCTTGGGAAGACTGCAACAAGTTGCAAGACTTCCAGCCACCAATCTCTGCTCCCAGAAAGCATACAACCGGCTTCTTGGCCTGCATGTTCAAGCACAGCAAGCACCGTCAACACAGCAACTTCACTATCCCACCTCTGTGTTTGTGAAGCTCCCTTATAATCTCAATGGGTACCTGGCTTGCAGAAAGTATCTATCTCCTGTTATGTGGACCAAATGCTCAGCTAACCCCTCTCTGCTAACCTTCCTTGCTAACCCCTCCTTGGCTTATCACTTCCTTGACTTATCACTCCCACCACTCCCTCCAGTCCCTTGAGCTTAACTTGCATCTGCATATGCAGAGCACTATCATAGATAGATAAGCTCATGTATTATGCCATGAGGGCCATTCCCAATGACACTCATTCAGAAAAAAAAAAGTCCCTATAAGATTGTCTGGCCTGGCATAGGATAGGTAGTCCCTGGCACCCCTGTTTGCACATTTTTCATTGCTCTCAGCTCCATCTCCTTTGACATCAACCACCTTGCTGACATTGAAAAGGACTGTGACATAAGGCTGATTTGAACAGTACTCCTTCCTAGTCTCTGAATGGCAACTACAGCTGCTTCACCTTGCCATATTCTGAACATGTTGGCACTGGATGCTGGGATGGTAACATTAATGGCACAATATCAATCCACATGGCATGCACCCCGACTGTCAAGGCCAAGAGGGTCATACTCTCCAAGGGCATGCAGCAGTGCCTGTGCTGTCAATGCAAGACTGTGGCAAGACCCAATGGATGGGCACTCACAAAGGAGCAGATGTGAACACATTTGTGCTATGTGTCATTGCAAGCTCCCCATGAGACTCAGCAAAATGCATACTATGGTGCCCAAGAGGCAGACATGGTATTTGGAGAGCATGAAGATAAAGATGGATTGGACATCAAGGTTTCACGGATGACACCACTCTCATCTCATCTCAATGGCTGCTGGGACAGACCTCCTTGTCCCCACACCCATCTCCTTCCCTCAACACCTTCACATTCCAGACATGCTCAGTTCCCTCTGGCAGTCTGGGTGATGATATTGCTGGCTGTCCATCCAACACCAACACTTCCACCCCCCCCTTAACTGTGCCTGCTGCCGTTAACCCTCCATCTCCACTGCAGTTGACCCCTTCTTCACGAGTGTTAGGGCAACACAGGCTGACTAAGTCTGCTCACCTAAGAGTGCCAAGAGTCTAAGCAGGCAACAAGGAAGTGGAGTAGACCTGATGACTAAGACCTATCTACAGTATAGGTACCTGTGGATGATCCTAAGAGACCAAGTCTGAAGAGACAGTCCCAGGCAGAGTAGGCCTTATATTTATACCTCTGTGGTGGAACCTGCTAGAACATCTTGCTTACTCAGCCTAGTCAGGTGATCAGGTCATATGACCAAGGATGAGGTCATATGAGGTCATGCACAGCCATGCACAGCAGGTCACCTGACCATCCAATCCTTCCAGCAGGTTCCAGCACATGCCAAGGTATACCAGCTACTTCCATGTCATAAAGGCTTAGTCATGTCTCTTGACCAAGCAATGAGCTGGTCCCCTGACATCACCCCCCCTTCTAGACATGCTGTCCCAGCATGTTGATACTCCTTCTTCTGCTTTTCCCTTCTTCTTTCCAGATGTCCAATCAAAGAGAACCCTTTTAGGTGGTATAGTATAGTTAATGAGTGGTGGAAGTGAAGCCTATCAAAGGTGATGGCTGAAATCCTTCTGGAGCAGAGGGTAAAGCTATGGAAATCTGCAATAGCCTTTTTAGCATTGCCTAGATTTCCTAAAGGCTCCCAAGTGTTCTTAGAGGGAGATACCCCTTTCACTTGATAAGGTACTGAGGTTT